AAATTTTATTTTATTAACTAAAAAAAACTAGTAATATTTCTAGGGTATTTATTTATTTTATAATGCTAATTTTTTTTTTAAAAAAAAAAATTTACCAAGTTATAAGATATTATTATAAGTACTACTACTAAGCCTTCTATTTATATTACTAGAAGGAGAAGTATATAAATAAGTCTTATTAATAATATTTTTTAGGTTAATCTTACTCTAGAAAGATTTTACATCTAGAGATAGTTAGAATTTAGTAATAATTAATTCTAAATTAGTTCTAAATGCTACTTATAATATACTGCAGCCTTTTTGCCTACCTCTAGGTAGTAGTACTAATTTTAAACTTAGCAGTCTTTCTACTATTCTAGTAGTAAGTAAGAGCCTAACTATATATTATAATAGTTATACTTTATGCTTTATATAAAATGCTTTCTATAAAGCAAGCAGCAATTTATATAGTATTAATATTAAACTATTGTAAAATTCCATTAAAATCTAGCTAGAATAAATTATAATTTAATTATAAATTACTTACTTTACTATCCTCTTTATAAAGCACTTTAGGCTTAACTAATATTTAGTAATTTTAAGATAACTTTATAAATATATAGAGATTTATATTTTTACTAAGTACTAGTTTCTTTAAGTTTTAATAGAACTTTATATATAAGTTAATTAGTATAGAGTTAAAATTTAATATAAATTAATTATTAATTAATATATAAACAGCTGCCTAGTTATTAGCAGAAGAGAGAGTACTAGCACTTAACTATAATACCTCTGCTCTATATACTATAATAAGATATTTCTTTAATAAATAAGTTAAAGAAAAGTATATATCTTATAGAGTATTAGTATTAAACCTAAATTAAATAATAATTAATTTTAATTAAATTCTAACTTATAATATAATATATATAGCTGTTCTCTATATTTATATAGTAAAAAATCTTACTAACTCTAATAATAAGATTGCTCTATATATTAAATTTATAGTTAGAGAGACTAAGCTAATACCTGCCTCTCTCTCTACTTATATACTACTAAAATGCTTTCTAGTTTAGAATTTAATTAGAGTTAATTCTAAGTATATTTAGAATAAATTCTAAAGAGAATACTTATAAATTCTTTATAATATAATATTATTTTAATAGTATAGCTTTAGTTTAATAAAAAAGTAAGGCATAAAGAAAAAAAAATTTTTAGAAGAAAGCTATAGCTAATATATTAAAATTTCTAAACCTAATTTTTATAAATATTCTATATAATTTAATTATATTTTATAATAATTTTCTGCCTAATTAAAACTTATTTTGCTCTATCTTTTACTTTACTAAGAATAGATTCCTTAAAGAAAATCCAACTAATTAAAATCTATTATGCCCTCTTATCCCCCTATAGCAATAGTCAGGTCAGGTCAACTATAGTAGTCAGGTCAGCTCAGGTAGGCGAGCAATAGTCGGGTCATCTACACTCTCGGTCTCAATAGATGAGACGCGTCAGGCGGCGTGCAGCAAAGCATACTTGTAGTGGCTCCCAGGTGCTCGGAACTGCGGCCAGGATTCCCTTCCCGCATAGCTGTTCAAAATTCAGTGTCCACCACCGCTCCATCGAAAAGGCGCAGACGCAATGAGGATCTTAGTCCATCTCCAACCTTCTCCAGTCGGGACGCGTCAAGTTGTTGAAGCGCATTGCCACAAAATCCCACATGTCGTACAGCGTTGGATTTCTCCCTTCACACCATTCAGGGCCAAGCCCAAAAAGCTTGCTAGGGCGGGACTGGCGTTGAAGTTTGGCGCGGCTGGCTGAGGGCAACGCTGGTCAGGCATCCATCAGCCGGTGCGGCCACACATGGCAACGCATGCCTCCTTCGTACGTGATGGCAGACTTGCACGAACTGAGCACGTCGCGGACAAAATGCATGCTTCCAATGCTGAGCTACGTTTGAACGGTCGAATATCAGGTGCGACTGAGCCGACGAACTAGCCGTTTGGTTTGGAGACATGGGCTCGTGCCACCGTCGCCACCACGATGCTAGTCAGCCTGGCCAGGTTATGAAACGTCAACGAAAGTCACGTCTCTCTTTGTTGTATCGGAGCCCTCATCAATATCAGACACGCCGCTGAGACTGATTGTGTCGGCCACGTACAAAGGGCTTTTCGCGGGGTTTCATCTCGCCTTGGAGGACGCCGACGCTCCAGGGATCCCCTCTTCTTGATTTTTTGCCACGCATGAACTTGGCTACGTAACCAAGTCAAGTCGTAGGCCGCCGTGTGTATTCTGCAGATGTTCGAACTTGCTTGGTAGTAAGAAGTGACAAATCGCAGCAGAAGAGACTAACCTCGTTGCTGGTTAGCGGGCGAGGCTTCAAGGACGAGGATCGGCGACGATGGTACATACAGTACATGGCCCGGACTCGACGGGAGTGGCATCGGCGCGGAACGAGCACATCCATTTAGGCCGTGCAAAAACGGCACAAATGGCAAGCCAAGATGAGGTGGTATCTTGAAGAGCCGTGCTCCGCGTGTGTGTGTGTGTGCATCCCTCCTTGGCGCTTGTGGCCCATTCCTCCCAGTCTGCCGGAACCAGCTCTCACTGTGCACTGCACTGCGGCCACGCCGGCCTACAATGGAACATGGCTGACGACTGCCTACGCGTGCTTCACCACGGGCATGGGCATGGGCATGGCATTAGCCTGTCACACGTGCAGCGTGACGAATTGACGTAGGGTCGAGGGCGCAAGGCCAGGCAGGGGCAAAAACGAAACCCGATCAGAAGCCCATGCCAGCTGTGAGCAGTACTCCGTAAGCAAGAATGCTAGCGTCACGGCGCCGCACCATTGACGTGATCCAAAAAAGGCCACATTTTCATGTCCATGTGCAATTTTGGAGAATTTGCCCCCAGAGGCCGCGTGTTACTAATTAGCTAGCTCCTGTGGCTGCTGAAGCAAGAGCAGCCAGCGATCCCTCCATGCATTTAGCGCGCCTTCCTTGCTACGTCGCTCGATCGCCCACAATCCACCATGGCATCACATCCGAAGGTCCCTCGCTGGCGCGCTACACGACGGCAGAATACTCCCTCCGTGCCAGCCCCAGCACGACTGCACATTTTTCGCAGACAATCCGTCAGTCAGTCCAGCCAGCTTCTGGAGCTTTCCCCACCCCTCAAATGCCGGCGTCAACTTTGCGTCAAGTGCGTCAACTGTACCTCGTCAACCCCGCTTTGTCCGTCAATTCGGCAAGTACCCCGTACCTCCCTAGGCAGGTGCCTGGGTACATCTGACGGGCTATTACGTCCCCCCTCTGTTCAAGTACTCCGTAATGTCCCTGCCTGGCCCACGTCCTGCCGGGTCTGCACTCCAACGCCCCCAGTCTGACCTCCCCGACCCGCGCCTCGCACGTCCTCAACTCCTCCTTCTTGTTCGTCTCTTGTCTTTTCTTCTTTTATCTTATTTTGCGCACCTTGAACGTGCTCTCTATCCCAGGTGTGCACTGTCTGTCTGTCCAAGACTTCTTCTTCTTCTTTTTCGTCTATTCCATCGACCTTTTCTCGTTGTGTCGGACAAGATGGCCTCGCACCTCCAGCTTGTTTCTTCCAGAATGAAGTCTGGTCCTTGTTAAGGCGCCTCGCGTCAACACACGCGAGCAACTGGGCTCGCGGTCCATTGACACTGCTGGCTTTTCTCTTCACGCTTCGTCAACTCGTTTCAAGTTCGAGTCGAACCGATGCCCTCGCCAATACTACCATCTTCCGTTCTGTCAACGCCTCCTTTATTGATTGTCACACAAGACAGTCTCCACCCTCTACCACCAATTTGTATCAACCAGACGAGACTTGGTGACCAAAAGCTCGCACACGCCTCTGCACTCAAGCCATCGAATTCCTGCATGAAACAGCCTTGTCCGATATAGACTCGACGACTGTCGTGGAATTCTTCCGCCTATGCGTCATGGCATTTAAGAGAAGCTCCCGTATATTTGCCAACCAAGGAGCCGCCGGCGACCCAGGCCACCAAAGTCAGATGGCCTCGGCGTATTTATCCCAGCGAAGCTCTCGGAACTCTCTCCAAGACGGCAGTATCGAGGCCGCTCATGACAAGGAGGAGAGTCAGCGCAATGATGCCATAACCCGGGAATCACAAGCCACTACTTCTCGGTCACATAGTCTCGCCGCCAGCGACAAGGACACGCTTATGAATACTTCAAGTAGATGTGCCGAAAATACAGGTATGTCATGGGTTAGCCCAGCTCGGTCTGCCGCTGCATCATCTCAACTAAGAACTTGGCAGCCACGTCGATGTCTCCGTCTACCTCTGTCTCAGACTCTCTCGATTGCCTTGTGCCTGGATCAAATGGCCGCCCGATCAATTTCGGCGTAGTGTTCCCTGGTGTATACCGGAGCAGCTATCCAAAGCCCCAGGATTACCACTTTTTGGGAGATTTAGGCCTCAAAACAATCCTGTACGATTCGCCCCAATGTTCCTTGAACGGTGACAAGACTAACGTGCTCACAGGACTCTGGTGAAGAAGGACCAAGTAGATCATGACTTAAAGTCGTTCTTAACCACAAATGGTATTCGCCAAATCGTCTTCAACATGAAGGGAACCAAAAAAGAGGCCATCCCCATGAGCACCATGAGGGCTATTCTTGAAGTCGTGTTGGATTCAAAAAATTATCCCTTAATGATCCACTGCAACCACGGCAAGCATCGAACTGGTTGTGTGGTGGCTGCGATCCGCAAACTCTCTGGCTGGCAATTGAATGCCGTCGTCGACGAATACAAGGCCTATGCAGAGCCGAAGGTCCGCGAATGTGACGTCGACTATATCAACGCCTTTCCTTGCCTGCAACACTTGTATCACGTGTACGGGGAGCCCGCTAGATTCAGCCCAGTTCAAGTGCGATCCTTCTTTCGGGGCCTTCTCTTTACCTCGTTTGCCATGGTAGTTTGGCTGGTTTCAGGGTCGCGAATACATCTAGGAACTCGCGATTCTGTCATGTGAGAATGTTTCATCAGCCTGTCTTTGACTGGCGAACCACATTGGCCACCTGTGGTTAATTAGCGTGTTTGCGGGAACGCTTTCAGCTAAGAATATCACTGTCTCTAGTGAAAATCAGGCAGCTTCAGAAAGCTTAACCCCTAAACCGGCAAACACCTGGCAGCACGCTCTACGCTTGCTCAGAATCCCAGCTTTCTTTTTTCTCTCTCTTTTTTACATGTGCTTACGGTACACGGGACTTGTGCAGCATATCCGCTTCGTTCTAGCTTCACCTTTATATACTCTCGCTAATCACTAGAGCCGCCGCAAATGAGATGCATTGTTGGACATTTTTTTCATCGAGAGTATTTGATGAACCAGATTTGGGAGGCTAAGAGAAAATCAAGAGCTGAGAAAATCTTGAGCCGGCGTTCTGGAAAGCAAAAATCGGGTGGACAATGATTGGATGCCCTAGCCCGGGCAAGACGGGACGCAAGGGATCCAGTAGCTGCTCTTTTTTTGTTTCATTTTTCTTTGGGTTTGCTTCTTGCAGCTGGCGTTGGCAGAATGCGATGCTCGTCTTGAGGAGCGCAAGTATCACTGCGGATGATAGCGTCAATTGAATGATTGCCACTGTTGACGGGGAGTGACTTGGGCGTTGAATGTTGTGCCCATGACGATGCCTCCAGTGTACGTGTAGCAATGACTGGCAAATGCTTCATTAGTATCAGGCTGGATGGCTGTGGCCTGCCATCTTCATCAGACACGTACATGCTCAGAGCCCGGATGCTTTGCTTCTTTGAACGGGATGCCTGCGAAGCAAAAGCCGCCGGTGCAGTGAAGTGGCCAAGGTCGTGCGTAACGCTCTGCAAATCCGGATTGCAACAGGATCACAGCCTGGCATGGACACCTCGGTAGTTCTCATTCACGGCTTAGTCCTGGCCGTCTCCGCCAACTCGTACAAATACAAACTTTTGCCCAAGTATCACGCACCCATCCAAGCCGCTAGTCCTCGTCCTTGGGCCCCCATCTGTTCCTCCTGATCCTCTCCTGCTCGTCCCTTGCAAAATCGCCGCCAAAGTACACCCATCCGCCGGCAATCGCGTTGGCGGCCCCCAAGCCAACGGCTGTTCCTCTCACCAGGCCCCTCGCGGAAAACTTGCTCCTCAGCGGTTGGCGTCTCCGTAGCGCGAGCAGGGCATACAGCCCCGACCAGGCGGCTGCGAGGCCAGCGCTACCGGTCGTGTATCCCGACAGGTTGAGGTATGATGAGAACAGCAGCGGAGGCGTGAAGAGGAGCAGGGGCAGCTTCTGGAGGGGACGGGCGTGGAGGGCCGTGACGAGGGTTGCCAGGAGGGCCGGGGGGAGGGAAGAAGCTACGGAAAACGAGTTGGTCAACCGTTGCTGCGGCGTGTTTCGACAGAACAAGGCAGGAAAGGAGAGTTCGTCGCCCCGAGGTGGTGATGTAGCAGCGACTGTTTCCTGCAGTCGGATGACGTTGGCGGCCGGGCAAAGGGGAGACGCGGTGCCGCCGTGAAGGAGCTGGGCCTCGTTGGACAAGACTCCCATGCACGTCCAGGCCACCCGCATGCGTTGGGGACTGGGGGACGTGGTGATGCGCAGGGCGGAGGGCATCGAGGTCGTGGCCCATGACACTTGAATGACAAAGCACGCGTCTAGGCAAAGCAGATGACGGGACGGGGGATCTTACCTCCCCAGTCTTGCAGGTGCGCCACGACCGATTTTCTCTGAGACGGCGCGGTCGGAGCGGTTGGTGCATCGGCTCGGGCAGCCATGATGGCCTATGGATGGATGACTGACGTCTGGCGCCTCGGCTGTCCGCTGGCGAGTCGCGGTCGCGGTGCTGGTCAGTCGGTGGTGACGCCGGTGCGGCTGCGGGGACGGCTTCGGGCTCGGGACGGACAAAGCCTCGCGGGCTGTTTTGGGAGGTGCAAGCGATGTGCTGATCCAGGGTGGTTGTCGTTGGTGGTTGCGTCGGGCGAGGCAGCCGAATTGTCGTGAGAACAGAGCTTGGTCCATGGACAGGGTCTGTCTGGTCGTTGGCCGCCGTCGAGTTGGCAAGAAGCAACTCCTGGCAGGCAGTTGAGCCGCATCGAAGCCGCAATGACCAAGGCCCAGCCACGCACTTCAAAGGCCCCTCCCTACACCCGGCCCAGTCGGCCCAGTCGGCCCGTGGTCCAAATCGCCGACACACAAACCCGTGCGTGCGCACCAGCTGTTGCAACGGCGTCTGGATCCCTGCTCCGCGTCTGCATCAGCTCTAAGTAGTTACTTAGGAGGAGCAACTGCCATCGGGCACGGAAACCCAAGCCCATGACACGAAGCACAGTGCAGAGCCTCCAACCCTCCCAGGTCCGAGGTCCATTGCTAGCTGCATGTCTCGTACTCTCTGCTGTCCGCGACGGCGCAAGCGATGTGGTTCCCGGTTTTCTCACCATGCAAAGGCCCTTGTCAAGTGAGTCAGATGCTTGGTCGTGATGCACGCAGATCCAAGTTTGTTAGCCGCCAGCCCTCTCCAGGCTGCAGTCTCCTGTGGTGCTCCGTTGAGCCACGATCGAATCGGAACCGACTGAGATGGACTTGTGAAAAGATCCTCCATCGGACCCCTCCTTGATACGTCCTTGGCCGCAGCCTAAAATGTCTTCCCCAGCAAGCTTCATCTTCACCAAATCAATCTTGAGCTCCAACGGGGGGGCCGTGATAAGTCTATTCACTATATGCATGATGTGAAATTGTCCAATCTGCCAATTCGCCCTAGTCGTCTCCTTTGTAGTGTCCTCCCCAACCCAAAAAAAAAAAAAAAAAAAAAAAGGAACAAAATTGCCACAAGCAAGTGTCGGAAACCGCTGTCGTCGCTGGAACATGCCTAGACATGACCTGGATAAAGACACATACGTGCCTTGCAGAGCCAAGGCTACGCTTCCGTCCGACTATGTATCTATTGTCGTCTTTGTCAAGTCTTTTCTGTCCATGTATTTGATACACCGGCTTGAAAACCAAGCCATTCAAGTTGATCGATGAATACAGCGTGCAGAGTGCCCAAGACCGCCATTTTCAACTGCTTCGTGAAACCAAAAGCAAAAGGAAATCGGACAAGGAGAATGCCGCAAAGAGTTGCCAAACGGCGAGTTCGTCACATCGTTCAGTGTAGTCATGAATCTATACGCTCGAGCTATGCACAAAACAAGGGGAATCAACGTGACGAGGCGTGATGTACAATTTCTCAGTCATCGTTTAGACGGTGAAATACGACTTTGCCCGGATGGCACGTCTCCACATGCAATCACAACCAGGCACAGCCCGCATTGCCTGTCAGTATTTGTCAATGTTGATCTTGGTTTTGACACCAAAATCGGGGATACTCGTTTGTATCCATGTGTTGGTACATGCCGAAGCCTCTCTGGTTGGAGTAGTCTGCAAACCCTTGAGCATCATGCGTGTACATTGCCTGCGAGGATGCAATAAACGAAGGGCCCATGCTGGCAGTGCTTGTGCTGCCATCCAGCACCCATGTGCACTGCGTATAGTCGCCAATAGCTGCAAAATCTGCAACTGGATCTGTTGTGGGATATCCAGAAATCTGCGCTTGCGTGTTCGGGAACACAGTTGCGCAGCTATCAAATGTAGCCATTCCATAGTCAGTGTGGACTGAGCCCCCATGATACATGGTTCTGCGACCTGCTCCTGCTGAAACGCCTGGAGAGCTGCTAGACTGAGGGATACATCTTCTGTCCCTGGGTTTGGATGAATCGGTTTCGTGGGAGCTTTTTGGGCTACCGCTACCATCGCGACCACTTGTTGAACTGCATGAAGACTGAGGCTCGGGTTTTCTGGTCTTTTTTGAACGAGAGGTTTCGCGTCTGTATTCGCAGGCAAGGCCTTGCGTGGTGCATCTGTCACACCCGGCCTTGTCGCCGCTGCATTTTAACTGCTCTCCAAGAATATCTGATTAGCTTCAAGACCTCGGAAAGTATTTGTCTATCGCGTGCTCGAGCCAGTCATGGCGTGCAATGCGTCGTTTCTGCGTGGAATCATGAAAGCCCTTGTTCCCAGCGGGAAAAAGCAAAAGCTTGCAAGAATTATACTCCGGGTAGGGCTGACGACTGAGAAAATCCGTAACCTGACTGTTTGTGGTAGAAGACAACACCAGGACTCCATAATCCGAGTGTGGAGAGGCAGGAATTGGGCGCCCTTGAGACGTAGCGTACCTTCTTCTCGTGGCATCTTCTGCAAGCTTGATGCTGATTAGAGCGTGCTGTCTCGTAATCGTGAGAAGTCTTTAAGTTTTCGACCTGTCCCTGACCCTTGCCGTACTTCCAGGTACCGAACATGGCTAGGCCCCCTCGCGGAAAATGCCTAAAGCAAGATGGTTTGGTGGATGAAGCAAGACCTTATATCCGGCCACTCTACGAGGCAAGCAAGATAGGTTGATGCTTAGTGAATATTGTTTCGAAGGTAGGTTTTGCGGCATCAAGCTGTCAAAGCAGACAAGATCAAGGCCAGGGCCAAAGTGACGGACGCGAAGGCAAACTCAAGGCAATACAGATAGATAGATATATAGATTGCGTAGGATGGAGAGTAGACTAACCGTCCTGATGTCTGGGAGTGACCGAGTTGAACGGTGACGGCAAGGCTGAGAAGGGTCCAAGATTATATATAGCACTGAGGCCAAGGCCAAAGGGCGAGGGCCGAGCTGGTTGAAGAGCAGGCAGTCATGGGTGTATGGAGTCATCGAGTGCACATTAACGAGTCCTTGGCAGAAGCTGCACGCCTTGAGCCCCGCAATGGGCGTCGCGAAGATTGGGACATGTTTCTTTGACGACGGAGTGCCCAATGTACTTGAAGTGTACCAGGCTAGCGAGGGAGGCGAGGGAGGCGTGGGTAGAAGGACAAGTCTCATGGAGCAGAACCAGACGCGAGGAGGGCAAAGAGCTAAGGTAGAGAGAGAGGGTGTCTGGAGGGAGTATGGAGCGTGGTGGAGTGGGATGAGAAGAGAGAGAGCGAGAGCGGGCTTGTAAGTTGTTGGTTGTTGTTGGTTGCCGGCTGCTGGTTGCCAGACATTCGGACCTGGAGGATTCAAAGCTGTCTTTCGGAAAGCCCACTCGGGCACTTGATGTCAAGTCGGCAGGCAAGTGCGCGCCAGTCACAGACTGGAGGTCCCGAGGGACCAAAGAAGCCAAGTGCCTGAGGCAAGGAAGGCACGAAGCACGTTCCATAATTTTCCATGGTCCAACGACCAGTTCTGGTGAGCAACATGAGGCCAGCCAGGCTGCAGTCTCCGCTAAAGCGAAGCTGCCAGTGGATGTGAGCCAACCAGCACAAAGAGGATAAAGCAGGCGAAAGTACGGAGTACTTGGCCTTACATGCCCAGGGACGCATCTCAACTTCCTGGCCTATAGTTGTCTGTCCCAGCACCAGATCACTCAGCCTAGCTCGATGCAGAGTGGGCAGGCGCAGGAAAGGTGAACGAGCAGCGACTGGGAAGGCACATCAGAGACAAGCGCAGGCGCGACAGGCAGGGAACATGCCGGCGCCCCGTCCGACGTCACCGCCAAGGCCCTTCCTCCAGGTTCCTACATGGCTCTATCGCCTCTTGCGGCTTTGTGGGCAGTCGGGCCCAGCTGCAGGGCTCGAGAATCCCAGCATGGTACGGAGTACTGGGCATGGAACAGGACTCCGTACAAGGGGAAGTGGAGTGCGCAAGCGGATTGGACAAATGTTCACATTCTCACTCAGTTGTTACGGAGTAGGCCTGGGCCATTCAAATTCCTCGCTGGTAGGGGGGCGCCTTAGGGGCGTGCATCCACCAACCTCTTGATGCAAGTACTACTTAAGTACTTAAGTACACAAGTGCTGCTGGACTGTCAGCTCTCAAAGTACCAAGTTGGGACTCCAGCTCTAGTGCACGACCAAAGTACCCACGTGCTATGGAGTACTTTCCTTAAGTAAGTACCTTTCAAGTACCCCGTACCTGCTTAAGTACTGAAGTAGTCAGGCTATCGGGCCCCCGCCCTCAACTCTCAACTTGCAACCGTAGATCAACTGAGCCGTTCAAGCATCAACTCTAAACTCTTGACACAAGCACCGACGCCAGCCTCTGTACGACAGAGCTTTCTTCAATACCCTCGCTCTGCCACGTTCAATCTCTCATGGAGTTCCCTTCTTTGTGCCATATGCCTCCGTGTCGTCAGGACCCGTACTCCTGCGCCTCTCCTGACAACGACCCCAGTTTGAGAGCACACAGTACATGTCGTCCATTTTGACATGGATGGTGTTCTTCGTCAGATCGTGGCGGCCGATTGCATTTCTTCACCTGGCCTCGGAGTCGTCCGTCACCGTCGGACCCGTTGATTTGCTCAGACCACACTGCGGTAGTGGCATCCCTACAACATGGCACATGCGACCAAGACCCCGGCGAGTCTGCCTAGCAAGACCCTGACCACGTGTGAACAATGGGGAGGCATGCATGGGGAAACTACCCTACCTTCGAATGGAACATTCGTATGCGCAGGAATACGGAGGGAGTGCCGAGTGCTTCTTCCTGTCTGGTCCTCACTAAGCACCAACTAAGATTTTCGGGCGGCTTTCGGCGCCTCGACAAGGCTTGCCAACCGCCAAAGAAAGCATCCCTTTGCCTAGGCGACCTAGGGCTGACAACCCAGAAACAAATTCTCCCATCAGCTCTAGTAGCGGCACCGTCATCATTTGTCTTCTAGGAGTATCATTCGGTCCGTCATGCCTGGTCCCCATGCTCCGTATGTCCACCCGTATTCAGACCAGGGGCGTCAGCCAATGGCGCCGACGGAAAGAATGCTGTACAAGCGGCAAGACGCCGTTTCTCACGAGATGTCAATACGTATTTTCGGGCGTCTCACAAGGTGCGACAGCGTCACAGCGAAAGACCGTCGCGACTGCACCAAATATAGACACCTGGCTCGGAAACCGTATTGCACAGTTGGCAAACAGAGATTAAGGTGAGGCAAGAAAAATACAATAGCACAAACAAGGTGACGTTGATTGACCTCCGTATAGAACCAAGGTGGTGGTGCTCCGAGATGCCATGCATTCTTTCAAATATTTGTTGGCCATTGGCATCATACACAGACCTCGTCGTAGGCAACGCAATAAAGACGAGTAGTCAAGCCCTAGCGAAGCAGCAGCCAATGAGCGGACCTAATTAAGCCACTAGTATTCTTTTCTGCTCAGCTTCCAAAAAACTTTTAAGCATGTTGAGCAATTACTGGGACCATCTACACTCGTATAGAGCTCCATCCGATTGGTCGATACCTTAACGCTCGCCCCGAAGGGAAGCGTGGCCCATCAAACGACGTGGGTTTCAACGTGGATGGCAATGATGGGTCTGCTCAACACCAGAATTCAGCACTGGGGGAAGACGGCCCACCTAAGTTACAGTCATGATGACGTCCCGGAGCCCGAAGGCTAAATTTTGTCTGAGCTTTAACCCAGAATGTCTATGACCAGAGTTGGCAATGTGGTGATCGCCGATTGGATACCGATGGCAAACGAGACATAAATATCTCGCTTCAAGATATCCAGATCTGGTATGAACCAGTACAGGCAGTCATGAGGGGCGACCTTGCCACGGAAAGTTGTCATCTCATGCCACAAGAAAGAAATACAAACCTACTACGTACCGTTCCTGCAGCAGTACAAAGACCATGTGCTGCCGCCAAGGGGATATCGTTTTTACAAGGTCCAGGTGAGCCGGAGTTTCACAGCTTATAATCCACAGTATCAACTCCTTAGCTGTTACTCTCCAATCGTGCGTCATCGGAGATAAATGAGGACGGAACTCGGACAAGGTTTGGCGTTGGGTTGAGTCGTTTGGCCAATCTGCAGGATTTGCCTGGCACACTCCCGCTCATCCATAATGGACGAATATCAGGCTGATCAGAATGCACAGCCTTGGCCCTTGGCCTTGCTGACAGAACATTTGCATAAATGTCCAAGGTTACTGCAAACGTAGCACAAGTGCTCCCTCCAGCTTTGCATGGTCGTCTGTTCCAAGTTGTTGGCTTGGCTGTACAAAAGTCATTGCAACCACGTTCAATCAACAGAGCGAATTTGACAAGCTTGCAGCGGCCAGATGAAAAAAAGTTGTCAAGGCAGAATACCTTTGCCACCGTGCCGCATTGTAGATATCTTCCTGATTGCTCAGGATATTCCGAAGCTAGACTCACATGATATCAAGCAGCCTTGTCTGTCATCTGTTGCGTTCCTCGGCTTACGCCCTTGTCAGCTGAGACCAAGTTACTGGTACATCCTCAAGAGCGAAGGTCTTTTGGTCCCACAGTGTTTGAGACAAGGTCACAAACCTGAGCTTGGCGTAGGGATCTGCGTCATTTGTTGTTTGTATCTGGTTTTCATAAACGCTTACTGCCTCGTCGGTAATCTCACACCGCATTGCAATTCTCCTATATTGGAAGAATGGAATAATATTTGCCGATTAAGGTAAACCCCGCCGATAGTCAACCCATCGAACAACGTAACACTAGGTAATCTTTCACAGTCAGTTGAACGCGGCCGTTTGCTCAGGCCCAAGCAATAATGGTTCTTGTGCAACGTGACGGTATGACAGCTTCATCACAAACATTGAACATGCGCAGACATGGCGAGATCCAGCGGGCTAGTTCCTCGGTTCTTTTCACGACTTCTATTGGGCCTTTACTCAGTATCTGAGATTACTATTCTCTGCTCTGGGGGAACGTTGGACTATTCCCCGTGTAGACCGTGGATAACCAACGTCACCAACTAGACCGCGCTTCATCCCCGTCTTGCAATTCACTACCCTGCAAGTGAACAAATAACAAACAACCCAAAAAAAAAAAAATAAGGGGGGGAAGGGGGGGAGGTAACAAGCAAGAACAATCCCGCCACATGTACTCCGTATGCCGGGTATTTTGAGCCGCACTAACCCCATGTTGAGCCTGTCTGCGTATGCTGTGTAATGGTGGCTTTGCAGTTCCACGGAAGATTCCCAGAACAACCGATCCACGAAGTATATGCGCCCGGTGGCTGCCGATTGAGAACAAAAGACGGATGGGCCGGTCCACAAAGCAGCGAAACTAACTCGGCCAGCCTTGGTCGACTATCTGCGGATTCATTGCTGATTGGCGGCAATGTCGGAATGCGCGGCTGGCTCTACATCTCGATATGCTTTATGTTATTTTTTGGTTGCTGCTTCTTTGCGATTTCCATGGTCGAGCAGGGACCGAGGTACTGTTTGAGATCCATTCCGTCCGTGAGTTCAAAGTTGAATCCGAACGGACCCTGGACCAGAACAGTGTAATCACGGGAATTAGACGTCAGCCTTGCCAGGAGATCGCGGGCGGACCACTGGAGCGGGAAAGTGATCTTGTAAAAGTGACCCCGATCGTTCGAGAGGCTGTTGGGGGTCATGTCGACGATGTTCATCGTGTGACGTTCCCCTCCGCCGCCGCCGCCTCCGCCACCACCACCACTACCACCACCAAAGATGTAAGTCTCGTGGTAAGAGGAACGCCTGAGACGCTGGCGGACCGGGTAGCGGTAGTCATGGTGGTGGTAACTCGGCCCGTAGTAGTGATTGCCTCCAAAGTGGAGGGGTCCCGGCATACAGTCGAAGAGGTCTACGAGCTGGCCACATGGACAGCCGTCAGGACAAAACATGACTGCGGCAGACGTTGACCGACGGCGCGACAAGGTTGTTGACGGTGACGACGACGACGACGACGACGACGACGATGACGAGTACGAAGAGCGAGATTTGCTGTGGGAGCAGGAGAAGCCCCAGTTGCAGCCGCACCGTTTGAGTCTGATGGCGAGGGAAGTTTTGGAAGTTTCTTTAGTCTCCCTGATCCGGAAGGGCATTTGGAGATGAAACGAGGTGTCTGGGATACCTCTCGATGGACGATGTCGTGCTGGTGTTCGGATGCAGATCGGGATGAGGGAGCACGCAGTTATATGCAGGGCTGTTGGGAGAAGGTCTTGGTCGCTGTCGCCTTTGTCGTCTTGTTTCGCTCATGACGATTTTGTTCTCTTTTATTCTTTTTTGCAAAGAGAAGCAGGCAAGTATCCACAAACGGCAGCGTGGTGCGGAGCAAGCGCTCTATGTGATGGTATAAGGCGCCTTTGTGGGCGCTACGAGGTTCTTGGAGGGCTATGAAGTTCTCTTTTCCTTCTCGCAGTCCACATCTCGCCGCGCTGTTGTGAGGCGCCTAGGAAGCAGGCGTTTGACCGTGAAACGTCAAACGGCAGCGGAGCGCACCACGTCTTTGTTTGCCCGACAACGGCTCTTTGCCGCCAACAATGAAGGCAGCGTCCAAGCAAGTCTAGCAATCCATGTGTTGGTCAGTCACAAAGAACTGGTTATGATGCTTCCTTTCCTTCCATCGCCCACCAAAGCCTTTTGACACGCCACAACCAGCGCCGCAAAAGGAGTGCATTCGACGTGGCTCAGCGGCCGGGGTCGAGCAGTGAATATCTGCTGGGCCCGATTATCACGGCGGCCCTTTTTTCTTTTTTAATTGTCTCCTCCCCCCTCCCCCTGTCTACTGGTGTGGGCTCGCATCACCCGCGATGAGCAAGAAGCTGTCAACTACCCATAGTCGTAGGGCTGACGTGGGCTTTGTAAATTGTGACAAGTGATGGGCACGGTTCATCCAAAGGCGGCGCTGCAGCAAGACACCCGAGGTCTATAGAACGAGCCACGGTGACGGGCTTTTTCACGACCATGGAACCACGCATTCATCATGGGTTGTGGCCAGAGAAGGAGACGTGTAGAGTGGCCCTGGTCGCTGACGGGAGGTGCGCCTGGCTTTCTACTACCCCTGGTCGCCAAGGGAGCTGAGGAGCGCTTGAACGACGGGCCCCAAGCCACCCTGCTGGCACTCTGATATGGCCCATGGGAGTTTGCCCTGTCTCTACGGAGTAACTACTCTGCACGTCTGGCGGACGTCACGCGGGATTCGGGGCCTGCTTGGGGTCCAGAACCTCTGAACGAGCGGTTCTGTGTGTCGCTTATGCGGCGCAGTTGGAACTTTTTTCCCTGCCGTGAGCCGCTGGGATCGGCCGATGGGCCCGCAGGAGTCATGTAACACGTACCGAGGTACGTACTCATAAATACGTGCAGAGCCATGTGGAACGAGAATATGGGGGGACCAGGAGTTGGGGCGGCAGAAGCGGGCTTAGTAGAGCGGCATTGCGGGTAATTTGATGGATAGAATATAGCGTCACCAGGCGGTATCCACTGCTCGTTATCGTTTGAATGAGTTGGTTTGGGTGTACGGAGTATCGTGAACTCCCGAGACTCGAGACTGGGGTGTGCGCCATGGGTTTGCGTGACGGTTAGGGTTCGGGTGCTGGTCCAAGGTGCAACACACAAGGATGCCTCCGAGTGCCGCTGATATCGCTGTCCGGGAGGGCCTCTTCGCCTCATGGACAACTGTGCCCGGGAATCTTTATTGCGCAAAGCATCTGTCTGGGTCCATGCATCTATTAGGGGGTTAATATCCGGCCATGCGCTCTCAAGTCTCAATTTGGGGCAGGAACTGTGATACTCGACGGTGTGAAATGCGATGTGAACCGCTGAGTACTGGCAAGATTTCTCCTGGAAAGCATGCTGAGACGGCACTCGATCGTCGAGATATCGCGCCCTATGGAGGATGACACTCCTGACTCCCGAGTCGACTTGTGGCGCTGTTGGTGCACAAGCAGAGGCAGTGAAGAACACATTGAGCATGCTGAAAGAATCGGCGACCGCAACAGGTAAGCCGCGGGACCTTGTTCGTGATGACTCAGCCGGTTGGGAGAATGGATCCCTTTTAACTGCTAAGAATATAGAAGCATGTCCCCCAGCGCCATATCGTAGAATGATAGATCCAGCTTGCCATCTGGCCTGGGTTTCGGAGACGATGCATCACGCACGAACTGACAGTTGATGTCATGTTGTATCGTGTCTTGGCCAAAAATGCAGCCAGTATCAACTCGGATCCGGAAAAAGGTTACGACGGCACGGCGCAACCCTGTGGCTGAGGCTGCCCTTCCGTGCCTCTGTGCCTGCCTTCGTAACCAATCAGAGAATGGCAGCTACCACGCCTCCGCCACCCCTCGGAGGCAAAAAGGCCAGGTGGAGCGAAACGAGGAAAAACCTTTGACGTTGACCAGCCATTGACTTGGTATTGACTATCATCTCTCCTCGCCACTTCCTCGAAGCCTTGCGACCGCGTTCCTGGATTGGAAGTTGCGCCTTTTGCACTGTCTGCTCCCGGTTGAATTGTCGCCTACCGCCGACCTATCTTTGATTCACTTTGTCGCCAAGTCTGTTAATACCCGCTCTTCATCATGGCTGGTCTCAACCCCCAGATGTGAGTGGTGATTCTGTTTCCCCAGCACGTGGACATTCGTCCCATGCCCCTCCATCAGAAAATAATCACGGCATCCTGTTGTGCCCACACGGAGAACATTTTGCCTCGAGTTGTATGTACCGACCGACATTGTGTGCTAATGCTCCGTCCTCGATAGTACCAACCTGGTCATCATGTTGGGCATGATGCAGGTGTCGAAGCGCATTCCCTTTGACGACCCAAACATCCTCAACACCGTTCGTGCCGTCTACCTGGGCAGCAATGTCCTCATTGCTCTATTATACCTGTACATTGGATCACAGATCAACAAGAAGAAGGGTATGGCCATATTCTCTTCTGCTCGTGTCTCCGGCTGAAGTTCTGCGGAACAAAACACGACGCCAAGACTCAGCCGCGGCAAATGACATGCGCAAGATGAAAAAACTAACGCATGAAACATTCAGACTTGACCACCCTCAAATATGTCGAGCCCCCGCCAATGGGCTCCACTGAGGAAGGCAAGCTCGTCACCACCACGATCCAGGCCTACGACAAGGACCAGCTCCGCTCTCTCTTCCGAGGCCAAATGATGGGCATCGCCATCATGGCTTTCATGCACCTGTACATGAAATACACCAACCCCCTCCTTATTCAGAGCATCCTACCTGTCAAGAGCGCCCTCGAAAGCAATCTAGTCAAGATCCACGTCTATGGCCAGCCCGCCAGTGGCGACCTCAAGCGCCCCTTCAAGCAGGCCGCCGGCTTCATGAGTGCCATGCAACAGGGCCAGGCCCAGAGCGACAAGAAGGCGGTCGAGGCTGCCGAGAAGTCAGGCCGCGGCGGCGCTAAGGAAGAGTAAGCTGGAAGATTACAGGGATATGGGCCAATCTGCACGTGGCAACTGCACAGGAAAATGACTGGGGCTTCTGTTCCTTCCGGTAGAAACGGAATTCATGGGGGCAACAACTTGCTGGGATCAAGGCGTGAGGCCTATTGTGCTGTATTAGGCGTTTGTACCATGGAATGTACAGTGGTTCCTCGGCTTCCCTTGGCCAAGACTCCGGCTCCTCCGTTCGGGATTATCCCCATTGAGTTTGATGTTGGTGGTCATGTAGTTCCACTGTCGCGTGGTGACGAGGCCCATATATGCACGTTGTTTGCTGCGATGATGATGACGGGCGTTTGACATTGTGGAGGAGTTTGTTTCTCGGCTTCTCCTCATGCTAGGTCTACGTCGGGCGTCACGAACTGTAGCCGGTGTCCCCGATCGCTAACTCATTTCAAGTATCTGTTTCAAGTATTTGCTTCACGGGGGGGGCCATGGCACTCTTGGCGTAGTGACACCATCGTATCTCGACGCTGTAAAATTGATGTCTGGTGTTTAGAGCCCCGATCGTTCCGTGGATTCTAGAAGTCGGATTCGATGCGTCATGGAGTCATTGTGCAGGATAACCGGGGTCGGAGCTCGACGGCGGCGTGCAATTCAGAGTGGCCACCGACACGGTCTTGTACTTGTCTGGACCAAGCTTGGTCACTCGACGTAAGAAAAACTCACGGTGGCAAGGTAGGCAACGCACACCGCGTCTCAATCACGGCCTGCCACTCAAGTTTTGGATCTACACCACCCTATGGAGATGCAATCTGCAAGCACAGCCATCATCACAACACAACAACCTTATAGCTCCCATTCAACGTTTGTCCACAAGGACGCCCCCCTCTCAAAGCCGGCTATAGTACCCGTCGCGGTTCTCCTCCAGATACAAAAATCCCACCGAGGGCATACACTACCGGACCTGGAAGCTTTATATTCGCACGCCCCATGGGCAGGGTCAGCAAATTGTCGGGAACGTGCCATCTCGCACATGTCCGTCCCTGGATCAACACAAACGAAAAGACGTGAGCTGTAGGCTAGCCGTAGCAGCCGATGCTTGGGTCTCGCCTGTGTACTGCTCCTCCAGCTGTTGGTGACTCTACTCTCTCTCGGGCTGTCTGGGTCGCCGATGTTCTCTTCCAAGGCTGCCAAACGGATCGTAAAATGTTCAAGTAGATGCGGCCAAGGCAGGAACTTGTAGGCTCAGTTCCTGGCAAACTCTTTTCTCGTAAGAAAGTCGTGCATCTCTGATGCATCTCCTGATCTGAAGTTGCTTCCTGTTTTTGTAGTCGGGAAGTTTCGAGCGGCATCGGGCACCCTGCATTGATAGTCTAGCCACATTTGGCACTTCATCCGCCACAGACCCCCCGTCACCGTTAACATCTGAGCGTCTCGACATCTCGACATCTTGCCATTTTCAACACGGCCATATTTTCCGTCACGCCAAGCAGCTGCCCTAATGCCCCCGTGAAATACCTTCTGCTCTCAACATTCGCCTACCCGCCAGCGCGCCATCTCTAGCTTCAATGGACCGCGGGACAACACCACCTCCATCCAACGCTGGGCCGGTCGCATCGCCACCGACGCCTGAAGTTACTAGACGAATCGTGCGTTATCATATCGCCGCATCGAGGCATTTTTGTCGTCTCTTCGCTCAATATACTGACTCCTTCAAGGAAGAAAACCGATTACGCGCCAAGGCTATCCGAAACCAGCGTGAAGCTGAGCAACGTGCTGCTGGCGAGATTCCGACAATTCCCAAGTCTGCCGCCGGGTTCGTTCCCACCAAAGACGTCCATGTCTCCAAGCCAGTAAATGGCAAGCGCTCGTATAGCGAAATATCTGCGCAGGCTCCGTCTGCGAGCGCGTCAGGCACCAATCGCGATGGCCGTAACAAGGGTGATGAAGAGGCTTTGCGCCCAGCACGCAAATTTACCAAGTTTGTCGATTACAACATGAGCTCAATGACAGATACCAAGGGTGGCTTCCTGACCACTGAAGATGACCCTCATAACTACGCCTTGGGGGCAAAAAAACCGGGCCAAGAAGACGAGCAGCGACCAAAGGGCATGACCGTGCAGGAGTGGGAGCGTATGCAACTTATCCGGAAGCTTCAACGGCAAAAGGCGGGCCCATTTGAGCCTGGAATCAGTGTTCTCGACGATGAAGAGAAGAGGAAAAAGTGTAGAGATTGCAAGAGCCTGGAAATCGATTCTGTCTGGGAGGAGGTCTTTCATGTTTGCGTCTGCAACAAGTGCAAGGAAAAGTACCCCGAGAAATACTCGCTCCTGACAAAGACAGAGTGCAAGGAGGACTATTTATTGACGGATCGTGAGTTTTTTTCCTTCTCTTGGCCCAATCATCAAGTAGCACATTCCTTTTCTAACCAAATTTCAATAGCTGAGCTGCGAGACCCGGAGCTCCTACCGCATCTTTCGAAGCCAAACCCACACAAGTCTCACTGGCATGACATGATGTTGTTCCTTAGATTCCAGGTCGAGGAGTATGCGGTAAACACGAAATGGGGGTCTGCAGAAAAACTAGATGCGGAATATGAGAGGCGAGAAGCTCAAAAGAAGGCGCGGAAAGAGGCCAAGTTCAAGGAGAAATTGATGGATCTGAAACGCAAGACTCGAACAGATGCTTTCCGGCGACAGGCTGGTACATTGAGCAAGTCTGGCGCAAACAAATTTGGAGATTCCATACGAGACACGAAGCACGTACATCAGTGGGGCCGCACAGTAGAAAATGAGGAGGGCTTGACGATCAAGACATGCGTTGATTGCGGTATGGAGGTTGAAGAACTGGAATTGTAATGAACACGAGGCGCATGCAGTTGGATCAAACATGTAACGTTAGATGGATAGATACCCACGGCGTTGGAATTTCTCGGCATGTATGTATAATGTGTATAATGTGCACATTTCAATAGCCAACGTTGAATGTTCAGTAAGGGACCATGACTTGTACTTCTTTGTTTCGAGCTTGGCCGAGCCGTTGACAGAGGAGTTCGATCTGACCAGACATGTTGTCCCGGGCAATGTGTGCTACCGGATACGAAGAGGAGCACGTTGCCGGTAGTTTTGCACCAGACTGTTTTGTCAGAGTAGTCTAAAGCGAAAGGGAGTATTGGTGCATTCGCACGCGTCTGAAGCAAGTCGATGCGAACCGTGTGCGAATGGATGCCTTGCGGCCTCATGGGTAACGGCGCCCTCCAATTGGCCAGCCGGAGCACCCGCAGTCCCAGCAAGAGCAAGGAACAGCAACACCCGAAGCTCAAGCTACCGTTGCCCGCACCAATTGACCTTGGATAAACCTCATCGATTTCCAGCCCCAAAGTCTATCAGCACCAGCACCAGAACCCCAAAGACGTCACGAGCCATCTTCGACAGACGCGCAACCGCAGACGCCTCACAGCTCCCAGTCGGCGACAGAGTCTGCGAACTAACCTCTCGTCTGGCGTAGGCTCTCAATGAGCCCGCCTACGTAAACGAGGCGCGCCATGATGGGCCCAAACGTGGGCAACGGCGCGGGTGGAATGGAGACGAGTATGGGCATGGGCATGGGCGTTCATCCAAGCGGGCCAAATCAACCCCAGGCGACCGAGTATACGCTGCAAGGCGTCATGCGGTTCTTGCAGACGGAATGGCATCGACACGAGCGGGACAGAAACGCCTGGGAAATTGAGAAGCAGGAGATGCGAGGGAGGATAGCCCACCTCGAGGGCCAAGCACGGAGAGCAGATGCTACTCAGAAAGCACTCAAGAAATATGTCAAGATTCTCGAACAAAAGGTCAAGGACCAGGCGGCTCAGCTCAAGGGCACTGCGGCTACGGACGCTGTTGAGGCGGCAAAATATGATCGCGCTGCCAAAATTCAAGAAAAGCTTCGAAGTGAGTTGTATCCCGTCCTGTTAGTGCGATGTGCGAGAGCATTGCTAACGAAGCATGTAGTTTCGTCGGATAAATACAGCGTACCAGGCGTCGAGGGCGTCGAGGTCGGGAGGCCCGACGACGACGCGCAAAGACACGAGCTCAAGACGTTCCTCGATCAATGTCAATCCGAATTCATGTACTTGATGATCACGCCAGCCAATTCTCAACCCCCTCGCGACTCACCGCCGCTCCCGATGATTGAGGACTTGCGCGAAGTTGAACATTTTGGGATGCCACCACCCCAACACATGGACCGACAGTACCAGATGCAACGACAGAATCCAAACCACGTTCAGGACTTCAACGTTATGAATGCCAGACCGCAGCCCTCCCAGGATACGTCGCATGTGCAGCAGCCCTCCGCCAACTTCGCTCCGAAGCAGGAGCTACAACCTCAGCCAATGCTACGATCTGCCGGCGATAATCAGCAGGGCATGTGCGGGACACCAAGCGATTGGTCATCGGTCCCCGTGTCTGTGACGACCCGTCCCGTCGAGGAAAATGCGCCACGCCCCAACCACGACGCCGAGGCGATGGGTGGTGTCCACGACGCGACCGAGTCGAGAGAGAAAGGTGCGCCAAACGCTGATCCCGATGGTTGGGACTTTCCGGAAGGTACCTTTCCAGAACCTGGCGCCGTTGCACAGAATTCCCAGTCTTTGACGAATCGCCCCGACACGGACGTGTTCCCCAATGCCGATTATCTGCCCAAGTCGCCCAACCGAGCGCCTGGCGGTGGACATCGAAGAAAGGGCTCAATGTCCAGAAGACGTAGCGGCGAGCACGAGTTGGGACTCGGGTCTAGCCAAAAGTCGGACAGTGCCAACTTCAAACTACGCTTTGGATTACGGGGTCATCTGGATACCGTCCGCACCGTCATCTTCTCCGGTGGTGGTAGCCCAGGAGAGCCTGAGATTTGCACAGCTGGTGACGACGGCATGATTAAGCGATTCCACATTCCCAGACTCGACCAGCCTGGCCACTTCTCTGGAGGTGCTTCAGATCTGGACGTAATCGCAAACTTCACACATCGTGGTCACTCTGGTTCCGTCCTGAGTTTGACATCGTGGTCGCCTGCTCCCAGCTTTTCAACTGGTGGTCGCGCGCAAGGAGACGGATGGATCTTTTCCGGCGGGCAAGATGCGACGATTCGTGTATGGGAGCGCGGGCGAGTCGACCCCAAGGCAACTCTTGAAGGTCACACAGATGCTGTCTGGGCTCTGTGCGTCTTGCCCACCACACTAGGTGCAATATTCGGCACGTCAAGTCCCTACGGAAACGCAGATCGCATACTGCTCGTTTCTGGAGCCGCAGACGGATCAGTCCGCATCTGGTCGGTAAGCGCTCCGCCGCAGCTGAGCTCGCCGCAGCCAGGCTCGAATCGGGCCATGAGCGGCCGCGGCGGCAGAGTCCGTGGCAACTCGATGAGCTCTGGCAGCGGCTTCTCCAACTCGCCCCAGGCGAGCGTCGCATCCACCTCGCCCTTCCACCACACACTGGTTCACGTCATCTCACGCGGAGATGGCTCCAGGAGCAGTCCTACCTGCATCACGCCGCTGGGCACGTCTGGCGAAACGTTTGTGGTGTCATACTCGGACGCGGCCGTCATTGTTTACGACACCAAGTCCGGCGAGCAGGTCGGGTCGATGGACAGTATGGAAACGTACGATGGGTCAATCAAGACGGGCGTCAACGCGATTGCGGCCACAACGATTGGCCTGGACCAGGGCAATCAGCACCATGGCAGCAGCCTGGGCGGCGAGGAGGAGAACGCGGCTGGCGGGCCGACAGGCGGGCGGTCCATGGCAGGCTCCGGCGTGGAGGGCACCATCATTTCGGGGCACGAAGATCGATTCGTGCGCTTCTTCGACGCCAACAGCGGTACGTGTACACCACGCGCCCCGACAAGGTGCACGGCGTGCGTCTCTGCTAACGTTTTCCCCCAGGCCAATGCACGTACAACATGTTGGCTCATCCCGACGCCATCTCCGGCCTGTCACTCAGCCCCGACGGCCGTGAACTCGTAAGCGCCGGCCACGACGCTTCGTTGCGGTTCTGGAGCCTGGAGAAGAGGTCGTGTACACAAGAAATTACGAGTCACAGAGTGATGCGCGGAGAGGGTATTTGCTCATGCGTATGGAGCCAGGACGGGCGATGGGTGGTCAGCGGCGGCGGCGACGGGGTAGTCAAGGTTTTCGCGCGATAATGACGTCTAGTCTTCTATTTTTATCTTTTCATGTTCCAGTACGGGAACGGGACGGTGAGAGCGACGACTAGGGGCTTGGTAAGATGGCATCAGCGAGGGCCGTCATTCTCCGGCTTTGTATCAATTCAGCATGACGAGGGCACCGCGGCGTATGCTCCGGGGCTAAGGAGGGCCGCACTCCGTATATTACGTCGATACACGGCAGGCCCAAGTGCGCCTCTACCTGACGATGTGACCGTCGTGACCGTCGTGTGAAGGCCTGCGCAATCATCAATCAGCTTGTCGGACCATCGCAGCACCACCAGTCTGCCGCACGAATCGCCCCGTTTCGAACCCAAGTTGACAAATGACGTCGGAACCATGTACACTGGAAAAGCAACGCTATCGTGGCGCCTTGTCAAACAACATTAGACTGGTCATGTACATATATGTAATTATCGCGCGCCCAATCACAGCTCCTACTACGATGGCTGATGACAGCCACTCACATCTTCCGTAGTATAGTGGTCAGTATGCAAGCTTGTCACGCTTGAGACCCGGGTTCAATTCCCGGCGGGAGAGCCACTTTTTTTTGGGATCTTCTGCCCAACTTCCACACACACAAATGTGGGAAACCTGTCGAAACTATTTTTTTGTCCTGCGTTCGTTCACTCATTCGACCTTTGTTACTCGTAGAGGACCTAATTTCATACACAATATTGCTTCTTCAGTTGCTAGCTACCTAGGTGGGCGGCCAGAAGACACCATAGAACGACGAGGTGCGTCCGATAAATACCTCGGTATGGATGTGGACCCGTCCTCTAAAGACGAGCGAGTCTACATCTTCTTTCCGCTGACTTTCTGCGCGGGACCAAACACTCGCAATCATGGACACTTGGTATCATGCATGCTCTTCTAACGATTTCAAGGGTGGTTCGGAGAGATCCGGTGGGAGAAGGATCAATGACGCGGCTGCGATATCCGTTACTTCGTAGCTGGATGAATGACGACTCTGAAGAAGTGAATGTGTAAAGACTCTCTCTGTTTTGGCGATTCCCATTTCGTTGACGCCTCACCATCACTCCCCGAGCCAATTCTCCCACCGGCCAACACTCAAACTCGACTCTCTCCAACCCCCTACTCTACCACCTAGTCCAATATCGACCAGCGGCACCAAGCTGGGACGGCCGTGCGCACACTGAAATGGAAAGGCACATTGTGATAGTCGTTTCACTACCTGCTTGCATTCGTCCATGCTGAGCTCATCGTTAAACATTATGGCACCTGTAGCTCGTCAGTACGCTGCAATAATACCATGGTGCATGTGTCAACCCTACTTCGACAGGATCTGGACTGAAGTAGCGCCAATATACCTTGAGGACAGTTGTGGAAACTAGAAGCCCATAGTCTGCCCGGCTCATAGACCGGGGGAAAGGGTATAGCTCTGTCCTCAAGTTTCCAGATTTCTTTTCTTAACAGGTCAATAGCGAGCTTTGGTTCGGTACGGCACCTTTCCAGAATGCTTGGTGGAAGAGACTTTATCCCAATCTTAGGTTTGTTCTTGCTGCTTGTCTTGTGCGTGGCATACATGATGCCCCATGCACAAAAGTGGCATCGAAATCGGTCCAAGAGCTCAAGTTCTCTGACTGAAACCTCAAATACAATTGGCTTCTCCAGAAATTCCGTCACAGCCCGGAGAGGACTACCCTCGAAGTATTGAGACATTAGCTCCTCGAGACGACACCGCTCATCTGCCGTGTGTTGATCCAGCATGAGAAGTGCCGATAATGGTTCTGCCAATTGTGCCGCCCTCGTTTCATGCAGAGATAGCCGAAGAAGGAGAAACTTCCTGTCAACTTGGCCAATGACCTCAGCTTTGGCCAATGCAGTTCGAGATAGTCGTCCCTTCAAGGACGTCGCAGCTGCTTCAAACTGTACTTCGTGTTCCTGGGAGTAAAATTTGCTGGATGGCCCATCGTACTTTGCATTAGCTGGCCGCTCTACGCAAGTGCCTTGATCAAGGGATGGTATCCGGGGCTCCGTTGGCTCAAAGACAGGATTCTTCCATGAGCGTATGATGTTTTGCAGCCATTCCTGGGGCCGGTCTTTTGGTCGGCTCTCTGGATGCTGTTGAGCTTGCGTTGTCAATGCCGTCTTTGGTGTTGATGGAATGGCCTCGCTCTCCACTGCAATGGCCTTGGACTTGTTCCCGCCTGTAGCTTCCCCGTCGATGACCTGGAGCTCGCTGGTATGCTGTGTCTGAACGAGCGGTTCAATCTCGACAGCATCATTGAATGGCCTTTGCAGCAGGGCACCATTGTCACCTAAAAGACAGCGAGTTGTAGGCTCGTTAAAGGTGGCAGAAGTCTCAGCGGACTGATGGACAGATTTGGATTCAGTTACAGCCCGCCCGATTTTGAGTCGATTCCATCCATCAAATGGGCTGCATGCTCGTCGGACTTCCGGCTCTGCAGCTGGGACAGGCGATGGCCGAGAAGAGCTTTTGAATGCGGAGGTTGACTGCCCGGCAAGGTATCTCGGGGAACGCCTGGTCCTTCTAGTGGTTGGCTCCTTGGCAATTCGTGGGATTTGCTTGGGCTGTAGGAAATGCTTCTTCAGAAACCCGTAGCAGACCACTTTCATCAGGTCGACTATTGCCTGCAGGCTATGTTTCGAGTCCCCCAGGATATTCTCCATGTCCAGATATTCATGGTCTTCGAGCAGCTGTATCTCCAGATAGAACATTGGCCACTTTTCAATGCCTTTTCTAGGCTTCCCCTGGACATCACCAATCTTCTCATCAGCATCAAGCACACCAAAGTTGGAACCTCTGAAAAGCTTGTTGGCCTCCTCGTAAAGAAGATTGGTTCCGAAGCTGTTGGGTATCGGTCGAATGCCGAGGGTCATTATCTGTGACCGACGGGTTGCGACTGGGTTTGTTGAGATGGCTCCTCTGATACGGACACGTCGACACGATGCTGATACGGGTACCCATGAGCGGGCGTCTTCGTTTCCGGCCAGGCCCGACTGTGTAAATAGCCGTGAAATTCTTGACACGAAGTCATCGTTGCCCGATTTTAAGCGCAGTTCCCGTTTTGTAGTTGCTTCTCTCAGTGACACAGACACCTCGGTTGGCCATGCCAACAGCAGTCCGGCAATGTCACGCATGAGAGACTCCCATTCTCTGTCAAGCCGGACGCGGTCAGAGAAGAAAAGACTTCGTTGCTTTACCCTCACGGGCATTGATCCAAATAGATTGCGGATGGCTATGCTGGTTCCGCGGCTATATACCTCGAACCGCTGGGCGGCTGGGGCTGGAACATGGCGAGCAAGGATTTTGCCATTGTGAACGGAAAGAGATGCTTGAAAAGGGTGGCTTTGATGATGCGACGTAACGGTCAGGAGCGAAAAGGTGGCGAGGGAGGCAATAAAGTTGCCATGACTACCGTGGGTGTTTGGGCTTGGCGGAGTCTTTGACGTGTCTGGTGAATGTCAGCAGACATGTTGCGACATGTGAAGACGGGGCGGCACCGTACGATGTGGTTTACACAGACCGCCGTCCTGTTCAAATTCACTTGGGTCTATACCAAGACCGTTGTCTTGGACTGTACAGTTGCCCAGGACATAGTCGAGGCCGATGTTGACCTTGGAGGCGCGGGCGTCGAGGGAGTTGGTGAGCAGGCCGCAGACGACTTGATTTAGGGAGGTGATTGCTGAGGAAGACTGGATTCTGTCCACGACGTGCTTAGGAAGAGGGCGGATGGACATGATACGCACGTCCCATGTTGGCGCGTGAGGTTGAGATGGAAAAGCAACGCAGGGACAGGACATTACATGGGGAGGAGCAGCTAAAGCTGGGAAGCTGCTCAAGTGGGCTACGCACTTTATGGTGGGGGCAAGTGGAGGAACGTTGAAGTCTCTGGGTACTTAAGTACCTGGGCACTCTTGGTGTCTAGGCGGGTGGACAGGTCCCTCGGGGCGGACGGTAGGTGCCTGTGCGGCGTCAAATTGGGCTCAATTACTAAGTTAACTTTAAGTAGTACTTACCCACGCCCAAAAGCACACGGGCCTCGCTGGGGCTTGGGCCAATTGCTGTTCCCCTCTTCACCGTTGTTCGTTTAATTCCGTTTCTTGATCTTGAGGCGGCATTCCATGTTTATCCAGGGCCAGACGATCCAAAGGGCTTGTTTTGGACTGTTGGCATCTGGACGCCGCCAACACGTGAGACGTGAGTCGTGCGGCGGACATGGCTGCTTTGGGGAGAGGTGCGCTGAGCAGGAGGAGCCACAGCGGACACGTTTAAGCAAAGTAAGTAAGTACCTACTTGTTACTTTAAGTACTCACCAGGAGAGGGGCCTCCAATGGGCCTGCGACCCTGAACCGCGCGCCCAAGTGCCCAAATGAGGTACCTACTTATACCTAAGTACTTAAGGAGTACTTAAGAAGTAAGTTGTACTGGATGAGTGGAACATTCGAAGCACATGCACCCAGGGCCACAGCCACGTGTGGCCTGCCCTGCCTGTCCACAAAGTTTGGACGGTGTCAGGTTTGGTCGGGTCCATCATCCATCCATCACCACATCCATCCCCCAGCTCGTTACGGACTAGGTGTACACATCATACTGGCTCCGACATCTGCGTCTTCCTTCACATTCTCTCGTTTGGAAAAAAACACAAGCTCGCCTAAGCCGGCGTCTCACCCAACGCCATCCTAGTTGCAGAGTTGCCTCGTGTCGCCCTCGCTTCCGTTGCAAGCGCCACCGTCAACGGCCGCCTCGAGACACGTGCGATTGACGTCGTGATTCAGCAGCCAGGCAGACCGTTGCTCTGTCTGCCATCTGGTGTCTGTCCGGTCTCTGGGCTTCTCGTCACGTCCAGAGATCCTCAGGTCTCCTCCTGCGTGTGTTCATCTCCAATCTGACCCTCTGTCATCTGCCGTCGGCAGCTTGGGCAACCGAGCATAAAACCCCCGTTGCTGTCATCCACCTCGCCAAGTCCGCCTTGCTGCCATGACTCTGACGGATATGATCAATGAACCTCACGGTGAGCTAGTCCTCAGCCTTGCACCATCAAATTCACCACTACACCAGACGACCGTTGCCCAAACCTGTCCATCTCCCCACCTCGCAAGGTCATATTTCTGATGAATCCCCCTCCAGACCGACAGGCGCACCGGCGACGCCCCTTCTCAACATGGGTCAAGAAATTGACCAATTTCAAGTCCTCCTCCGACGGCGACCGCCCCAAGCGACACACAAAGGCGAAACGCGGACACAAGTTGAACAACCCTTATCCTCAGTCTGGCCATGCGAGCCAAAACCAACCCAACAACCCCAACAACCTGAACGGCGCGGTGAATATCAACGGGGCCAACCACGCTGGAGCGAATGGTGATGGCTCCTACTCCTTTACCGCTGCCTGCACCGGCAGTATCCCGTCGCTTGACCAGCCCGTGCGAAGCTCCGTTGATGGTCTCGGCCTTGCGCCCACAACGGCTGGCACTGTGTCAACAGAAAACGAAGCTCCACGATCTCTCGCTCCCAGCCACGGAGGAGCAAGTTCTCTGGCTGGAACCAGTCGTACCATTGGCGGTGGCATGGACGGCCGAAGAGGCGGCGATAGCACCTTTTCCAGTCCTGCTCCTTCGGTGCGGTCTCTGACTACGACTCTAACTACGATTCAGTCCGTAGCCCCCAACGGAAATACACCATATGTTGCGCCGCCGCCGCACAGCAACACGCAATCCATCCAATTTAGCCAGCCGTTCCCCTCCACATCTCCGGCCTCGGCAATTCCACCACATCTGGCACCAACCAGCAACCCAACCACGTATAACTCCGCCATTGCCAATAATCTCTTGACCGACAATGCCTCCATCTTGACATTGGCGTCGTCTAGTAAGCGCCGGCGCCGACGTTCCATGGACACCGACGCATCGGTGCGCGCACTGGCCCCCTCATCACTCTGGGGAGGGAGTCGTGAGAGTCTCCCACTCAGTGTTCTTAGTGCCAATATTGACCAAGGAGGCATGCCCACGACGCCTGGGATCCCGGGGAGCGGTTCACGGCTGGGTGCAGAGCGAAACAGTATCTACTCATCTACCGGCATCGGCCCAGCCATCAACAATGAGAGAAACAGCATTCTTGCCAAGCAGGGCGACGGTGCGAGTGTTCGGAGCGGCCCTTTGGGTCCCGGACGGCCAGATAGCATCAGCGGAAGCGTTGTAGGTGTAACTAGCCTGTTGATGAGTCCGAGAGAGGGGCCGGAGCAGCAAAAAGCCAAGGAGGACGGGGCGGCTACCGGAACCAAGGAACAGTGAGCTGGGCCGTTGTTATCATGAGTGATGAAAAGCTAGGCGTTGTCCGTGAGAGCTTGTGGGACTTTTTGGCTTTTGGGCCGGGACACTTTGTTTTGGAGCTTGGGAACTGGCAATTGGCTGGATGGATAATGGCGGACAGGAGTACCTCACGAGATACCCGGGACCACAGCTACCCTGCGTCGGAATTTACCAGTATTGGGCCCAGGTGCACACAAAGTGCATCATTAAATGAAATCGCGATAGCGGAGCATTGATATCGATGCTGGATATTCCGTACGCTTAGTGTAGTTACCTTGTTGCGGCGACATGTGATGACGTGAATGATGCAACTGCCTTGGGTGGCCACACGTGCACTCAAGCCACATCTGCCCTTCTTCCTCTAACCTGGGGGTGGGGCAGGTGCGGCGGCGCAGCCAAAGTCACAAGCCACTCCAGCTATCCCAGCGCTCTCTCGAGCTGTCCCATCTTGGTCATCATGCAGCAAGGACATCCACCAACCTCATCTCTCCTTCGTATCGGCACTCGATCATCTGATGTATCGTCGACATGGCGATTTCGGTATGTGGCCTTGACACCTTGTGCGGAGGAAGCCACCCAGTCCATCCGACCCTGAGACGGCTACCGGCCACCCGACAGCTGCTCGACTGCTAACACCCCTCAGTGGAAGTCCTTCGACTTCTTCGAAGTCTCACAAGTCTCCCTCTCTGACGACGAAACACGCAGCCTCTTTGAGGCTAATGAAATATCCAGCGTCTGCTCTGGATCCGATAGCCTCTTTTTCGGCGGCAGCGATGGATCCGTCAGCATCATCGGCAAGGGCTGGAAGGTAGTAAGGAAATTCCAGGCCCATGATGCCGGACGAATCACACACATGCGCCAAGTTGAGGGGACAAGCCTGCTGGTCACCGTCGCCGAGGACCTGAGCAGTGAACCCGTTCTCAAAGCCTGGGCGCTGGATAAGATCGTAAAGAAAAATAGCATGCCAACTTGTCTGAGCACCCTGACCATCAACAACGGCCGACGACAGTTTCCGATTTCGGCTTTCGCAGCCTCCGATGACCTGTCTCAGATTGCAGTCGGCTTTGGCAACGGTACGGTGACGGTCATCCGTGGCGATCTCATTCATGACCTGGGCACGAAGCAGCGCATTGTATTCGAGTCCGAGGAACCGGTTACCGGCGTGCAACTAGCAACGGACGAGAAGCTCACGACGTTGTTCATCTCTACCACCACGCGAATAGTCAAATTGGGCTTGTCTAGGAAGGGTCAGGGGCTTCCTCCCAGGACTGTGGAAGACAGTGGCTGTGCGTGGGGATGCATGGCGCTGGATAAGAAAACGGGCGATGTCGTGGTGGCGAGAGATGACGCAATTTACACATACTCGCTAGATGGTCGAGGGCCGCCAAAGGCATATGAAGCTCCAAAGACGTTAATTGCCATGTACGACAACTACGTGGCACTCAAGTGCTTGCCGACGGGGGCCAATGGACGGGATCCGGACAGCATGCGACGACGGTTCGGCGGCGGCGGTAACGACGACCTGTTCAACGCCACAATGTTTGTTCTTCTGGAACCGGATCTGCGAGTCATTGCGCATTCGGAGACAATGATGTCCCCTTTGAGATTTATTTTTGATGTATGGGGAGACTTGTATACCATGTCGGAGGAGGGAAAGGTGACGGTGACTGGTCTTGAAAATCCGTTGTCAGGGGCTGACGTTTGCAGATTCATCGATATCATGAAAAGCCGTTGCAGCAGCGACTGGACATGTTGTACCAACGCAACATGTTTCCTCTTGCTATTGAGCTAGCAAAGGGCTCTGGCATGGACGGTCAGCAGCAAAGCATCATTTATCGCAAATTTGGCGATCATTTACATCAAAAGGCGGACTATGACGGAGCCATGGTGCAGTATATTCGAGCCATTGATACGACAGAGCCGTCACATGTCATCCGTAAAGTGCGTTTTACCAGTGTCTGGATCGGATCAAAGATGGATAGCAAAGGTGCTGACAAAGGCAGTTTCTTGATACCCAACGAATACATAATCTCATTCAGTACCTTGAACAATTGCACGAGCACAGAAGAGCCACGGCTGATCACACAACGCTCCTTCTCAATTGCTATGCAAAGCTCAAGGACATTGCGAAGCTGGAAAAGTTTATCAAGTCTCCGGGAGACTTGAAGTTCGACCTGGACACGGCCATTGTTATGTGTCGGCAAGGGGGATACTACGAGCAGGCTGCCTATCTCGCCAAACGGCACGGGGAGACGGAGCTTGTTGCCGATATTCTGATTGAAGATTCCAAGAGCTACGACGAAGCGCTGGACTACATCTGGCGGCAAGATCCTGAAGTGGTAAGTCTACTATTTTGGTACGCTATTTATTAAATACATACGGTGCCTGACTTGATGTGGAGGCATACCCATGTATGCAAAAGTACGCTCGAGTCCTTATCGAAAATTGCCCCAAAAATGCGACGAAGCTTTTTATCGATTACTATACGGGAAAATACCGTCCCAGAAGGTCGGTGGCTGCCATTCCCGGCGATGCGCCATTGACGGGAGGCTTCACATCAGGCGCTGCCAGTGCCGTGCAAAACCTGACGAACTATCTACCTTTTCCTTACATGGGCACGTCTTCCGGGCACCCAGCATCGCCGGGCACGCCTAGCAACGCCAAGCAGCCGGCAGGTAACGGAACCGTGGAGGTCAACGAGGACGACCATCCGGCACCAAAGTACACCGTACCAGCACCGCGAACTGCATTTTCTTCATTCATCGACCACCCAGATGAATTCATCACGTTCCTGGAAGCGTGTCTCGAAGAGGGGGATTTGAAGGTCCCGGATCAAACGGATATATATACCACTCTATTTGAGATGTATCTGTACAAGGCAGGCGAGAATAAAGGTCACCACCGCGAGGAATGGGAGGCCAGGGCGAAGAAGCTGATTGAGGGCGAGCACGTACCGATGGAAAGCTCCAACGTGCTCTTGCTGTCAGACTTGTGCAACTTCCGCGACGGCACTGTCCTGGTCAAGGAGCAAGCCGGGCTGGTCTTTGACATATTCCGATCATACACGTCTGCCAAAGACACACGGGGCGCCATCAAGGCGTTGAGGAAGTACGGGCCCGAGGAACCGCAACTATACTCGGCAGCGCTCGCGTACCTCACGTCGGACCCGAAAGTGCTTGAGGAAGCGGGGGCAGACGAACTGGCCAAGGTGCTCTCCAAAATCGACAAGGACGGTCTCATGGCGCCTCTGCAGGTGGTCCAAACCCTGGTTGGGCAGTCGTCGGCCGGCGGGGTCGCAACAATGGGCATGATCAAACCTTACCTCCACGACACAATCACGCGCGAGCGCAAGGAGATGCAGGACAATCGCAGGCAAATCGACACGCTGCGGGTGGACACGGAGAAGAGGAGGGCGGAAATTGCAGATCTGGGGTCCAAGCCGGCCGTGTTCCAAGCAACACGGTGTTCGGACTGTGGACAGGGCCTGGATTTACCGGCTGTGCATTTTCTGTGCAGGCATAGCTTCCATCAGCGGTGTCTCCGGGGTGGCGAGGGCGACGACGTGGAGTGTCCGCAGTGCGCGGGGGGCAATGATCTTATCCGCAAGATGAGGGAGGAGCAGAGGAAGGCGGCGGGGAAGCACGACCTGTTCAAGATTGAGCTGGAGGGCAGTGAAGATCGGTTCCTGACGGTGGCCAAGTGGTTTGGCAGGGGGGTCATGAACGGCGCGCACACGGACGGTGAGGTCTGAGGAGCTCTTTGATTTTCCTCTGGCGGTCCACTTTGTCAGTTGACGTGTCTGAAAGTCACCGTCTTCACGATGGATGCATTCGATGAGCGGCTATTCATCCAAAGTGACGGTTCGTGGTGTGGGTTAGATGTGTGTGGTGGTGTTGGTTCATGGCCGGCGGTTTGGCGGTTTGGCGGTTTGGTCGACAAGGAGTAGTACCAACTCGGGGGCAAAAATCTGCACGCGTTTGAGAGACCTACTGGAGTCTGGGACTGGCTCCCTCGACACAGGCACTCGCATGCATATTCGTGCAGGGTTAGGTTCGTTCGTCATAGCTATTTAACGTTATATACTGGACCCTTCTCTGCGTCATGGGCCGTGGGAAGCGCATGCATGCACACTGTGCGCAGGAGCGGGGCGGGCTTCATGCAACCTCGCTCTGATTGCCTCAATTCTCTCGGCCCCCAAGACAACAACAGCAGACAACAGGAACAAGCACCGCCGCCGGCCACCACAGAGACAGGCGCAACCATGTCCACGCTGCAGACAGCCGGCATGTTTGCGGACGCGCTCAAGGCCTTTTCTGCGTCCCGGGACGCCTTTCGCGTGCTCTCCACGGTGCCGCGTGCGTCCCCGTCGACGTCGCCGCCGCCGCCGCCACGCAGCCTCATCGTCCTCGACTCGAGCTTCAACCCGCCGACGCGGGCGCACGCGCAGATGGCCTGCTCAGCTGTGCGGCAGGCCGGCCTAGGCTCCGGCTCCAGCTCCGATTCTGGCTCTGGCTCTGGCTCTGGCGCGAGACTGGTCCTCCTCTTGGCGGTGACGAATGCAGACAAGGGCCTCGTCCCGGCCCCGTTGGAGGCGCGGCTTGGCATGATGCAGGCGTTTGGCCGGGACCTGCGGCGGTGCGGCTTGGCGGTCCCCATCGACGTGGCGGTCACGACGAGGCCGTACTTCCGCGACAAGGCGGCGGCGATTGCGGCGGCGGGGGTCTACGCGGCCGCCGCGGAGCCGGAGCTGGTGTTTCTGTGCGGGTTCGACACCGCGGTGCGCATATTCGACCCCAAGTACTACCGTGGTGCTGGCGGCATGGCGGGCGCCCTGGGGCCCTTCTTCCGGCGGGCGAGGCTGCGCGTGACCATGAGGCCGGGCGGCGCGTGGGGCGCGGCCGAGGAGCAGGCTGCGTATGTGAGCGGTCTGGGGGCCCGTCTGGAGGCTGTTGGCGGCGACGCCTCGTGGGTGACGAGGATCGAGTGGGTGGACGCGGTGGACGGCGCGGACGGCGCGGTCAGCAGTTCGCGGGTGAGGGAGGTGGTGAGGCGGCCTGGTGGTGACGCCGTGAGCCGTCGGCTGGACGGCCTGGTTGGGGACGAGGTTGGGAGGTGGATTGACGAGATGGGCTTGTATAGGGAGCAGGTCGACGGCACCTGTTCGTAACGGAAGTCGACGCGTGGAGGTGACGGCCTCGACGGCCGGCAGCTCCTCCAGGCCCTACCTACGAGGCACGAACTGGACTCGGACTTGGACTCGGACTTGGGCAACGGAGACGAGTCACGAGCTGCTTTGCTGATCACGGCGGCCGGGCCCTACGAGACACGACGTGGACTCGGACTTGGGCTGTTATAATACCCCCCATCGCGCCCCCGACTCTTGTGGCTCGGGCTGTCCCTGCGGTCATGGCCAGACGCGAAAGCCTCAACCGTGATTCTCGGCTCCGAAGGGGTGCGTCGAGCACTTCTCCAGCGCGGTACAGTACCTGCCTGTGGAGGTCGTTGTCACGGCAGAGTCGCCGGCCGTCGGTCGTGTTGTACCTCCGGTAGGCCATGAGAGATCTGTTGCAGCCGGCACACTGGCAAGACGTCGCGCACCCCCACGGGTCACAAAGCTCTCGATTTCAGTATTGCAGTTCTGGCAATGCGTCGTCAATGTGCCGTCAGTCGCTGTTCCGTCGACTTTACAAGACGGAGGCCCACTGTGCCCGGCGCGGTCGAGACCCGAAGCTTCGCGCCTGCCTCGTGCCCTCGTGTCAGTCGTAGCTTGAGGTTGAGGCATGGTGCGAGGGAAAGGGGACATACCCCCGCCGTTTTGTTTTGCTTTTGTGGTCCTGCTGGCCTGGATGTCGGGCAAAAGTATAAGAGTTGCTGTCTGTGGTACAAGAGTTGCTGACTGTGGTATAAGCGTTGCTGTCTGTGGTATAAGAGTTGCTGTCTGTGGTACAAGAGTTGCTGTCTGCGACTCGAGCAGGATAGTCGTCTCGGCCTCGTCATCTTGGAGGGGAAAAGCCGGTGTTTGATAGTGGGCACAAAATGGTAGATGCGTAGAACGCTGGACGTACAACTCCGGGTCTGTTCGGCTATTGTGTCGCTGGCCTACGTGGCAAGCACCTGAAAGCACCAGCACAAATACCGTGTGGACGAGAACAGGGAAAGAAAACAAGACGCACTGCTTACTACACGCCTCGTGCTACGACTCTACCTGGCGGCTTCGGCTGTACGTTTTGATGGCGATCACGACTACGCCGCCACATGGGCATCTTCTGAACTCGTGTGGAACTGATGCTCCGTTTGTCGATTACACGACACCAAGTTCTACCTAAACGCACTGCACCGCCACGGGCTCATAGCCGCCGTCCTAAACGCCGCAGCCGCCACGCAGTCATGACCGACGCCGACGAGCCTCGCCACCGCACTCCTCGGGTTTCCCCCTAGGTCCCCGTGCCTAAAGACGTTGAGTTGTGCAGCAGTCTTCTGCACTAGGTCTTGTCACCATGACGAAAGGTTTATTTCGATTCTCCTTGCCTCGCGGCTACTTGGGTACCTCCCTACCCTGTACGAGAAGCAAACGGCTCACCCCCTTCACACGCACATGCCCAGGCACAACATCCACAAAACCGCCGAGCAGAGCAAGCGATATTACGCCCAGGGTCCACCTTCACCTTGCCGAAATGAACCATCCACAATCCATCAAATTTCCTGCGTCCCAAAGTCCAAGCAAGCGGACTATCAAATAGTAGAAAAAAAATCCACCCCAGCCACTTTCCACCAGCACAGCAAAACCCCCCACTTTTCACGCCCCTCTCACAATCCGCTCAGCTCGCCAAAGCCCCTGTTCCGCCCCACCCCGTTCTGCCGTCCCAAAAACTTTTAGGCGGTCGCGTCCTCACCGCCCCCACACAAATCCTCTATAAAAACCTCGTCTCCTGCGCTCTCTTTTACCTCTTTTTCTTTCTTTCTTCTTCATGTCGACAATACTTCAGTAAGCGCCCGTCTACCCGCTTCGCCACCAGACTCCCTCTAATATTCGCTGCAGGAGAATCATTTCTATAGTATTCGACCTTCTCTTGGTTCCCTAAAAGAGCCACAGAATCCACCCTGGTTGATGACTGTATATCCTCGACGCCCTAGGGTGAAAGCTCTGGTTCCTCTCGTCCTGTCCGCAAGGATGGCGGCGTCTCGCGGCCCACGCGGACGCTGTATGGAGAGATTGTTCCCGCACGGCATGGCAACATGCCGGGAAGCTTTGTTGGTGATCTCGTCCCTGTTCGTTGTCTCGCCTTTGGGCGCACGGATGGGGTGGGTGTCGATGGACGTCTGACAGGCCTTTTTCTTTACTTTTCATTGCGGTCCGGGCTTGACTCGGACGTGAGGAAGAGTTTTTTTTAACCGACCAACCGACACGTCGGGCTTGCCAAACGGTAATACCGAACGACGTAAGTGGTGGCCACGGCTGTAGATTGTCTCGTTTGTCTTGGGCGGCCGCATGCCACGGCCCCTTTTTGTGAAGTCCACTACAGGCCCGTCGATATGCCCAGAGGACCCTGCACGGATCTCGACTACACGCGCCGAAGCATATAATCCAGATGGCCTGGTTTTCCCCTCCGTCCTGTGCCAATGTCATGCCTGCTCCAATCGCTCTGGTCCGGTTGGCGGCTGGTCATTCGCGCGTCCAAAGAAGAACAAGAATGACGAGACCCGACGCGGTAGGCAAACACTGCTCCTGATACCAATGAATAATCAATGAACTAGGCTAGTCCCATGACAAGCGTAAACGTAAACGCAAACGCAGTTAACCCAGATGCGCCTGAAACCGTCCATGTCCCAACTGTGCGGTAGACGGCCACTCCCCCTTCTCTCACCTAGACCTCCAGCAAACTCGAATTGATACAGCATCGACCGGCAGTAGAGATACACGTACATCATCACCGCTGTTCCACCTACACACTCACCCCGACACGGACCCCAACCAAGGACACGTTCCGTTGTACTGCGGACGATTTTTGTATGATTGCGACGAGCCCCCCTTCCCTTCCCCTTACCCGTCATTCAGATTGCATATGCTCGTCCGCTCGCCCCGCGGCCTGTCGTCTTGAAGCTCCTGTACTTTCCATCCTCCCCCATAATGTCGAATCGCTCCATGCCCATCACCTCGGACGTGAAGCCGCTAAAGTAGAACCCAGTCACCACGACAAAGTACGTCAGCACCAGGATGCTGCCCTTGAAGTAATTGCTCTTCCCTTCGCCGTAGACGTAGCTCAGCAGGAAGACGCACAGAATCACCGTCACCATGTCCCACTGCGGAAACAGCAGGGAAAACGTATACGAGCTCGGGTCGCTGCCGCTGGGGATGTTGGGGTACAGGGCTGAGTAGAGAACGAGCGCTGGAATCTGGAGCAAGCACACTTGCAACGCGTATGCGGAGCCGATTTCCATGGATAGGGCAATGTTTCCATTCATGGCAAAAGATATGGCGTTCTGCAATCACGTCAACGGGCTGTCGGTCGTCTCTGCAAGCATGCTTGCCGACCAAAGGGAGTGCTCGACTTACCAGAAACTCGGTCGTGTTGGGAACCAGCGCAAAGAGCGTGACGCCCAGAAACTTTTGGTCAATCGAAAAACTCTCCAAGACGACGTCCACCGTGTCCACTAGAATCTCCGCAATGACGGCATACAAAATGGTCGCCCCCAAGAGGATGATGGAACTCTTGGCACGACCCCAGTTGGGAGCATCGTGACCGCCCCCGTGGGCGTCAGCATGGCCGGTCACCGTTTCGGCGGCAGCCGTAGCTTCATCGCCCGCCTGAGCGTGATGTGTTCTCACCGTGCCATGTGGGCCGGGGACCGTACACAGCTTTCGCAGCCTTTCCCGATCCCTCGACGCAAGTGTGGCGGCAGTGGCGGCAATCTGGGCAACCTCCCGAGCCAGAGCGGTGTTGTCCGCTTGGCTGAGCCCAGGCACATTGACCGTGGACCGCATCGTGTCGCTTCCCTTAGGAGGAACTACGTGTGGGGTGGCGGCCAGGCCGTTGGCGGCAGCAGCGTCCTGGCGGCCCGTTTCGTTGGGGCGAGGCTGAAGTCCGACTTGCTTTAGCGACTGACCCAAAATGCGCTTGTAAAGGTGGGAGTCGCGAATGTCGGCGCCAGTCGATTCAGCCGCCGAAGGCTGTGAGGCCCGAAGCATCGATGCGTGGAGTTGCTCTTCGTGCCTCTTCTCCTCAATCTCGGCGTTCCAGATCACGGCGGCGTGAGTACGCAGCGTGAACCACAAACCAATCAGGTAGGAGAAGAACAGCATGGAAGCAGCCAGGTAGCAGTACGGCCGTACGGCCTCGAGGTAAAATCGATCGTCAAGCGCCGGTGCCTGCGAGAAGTAGCATCGACGGCAATCGGGACCCCTGCCCGCAGCACCGTTTCCGCCGGGTCCCGAATCCTCGCAATCCGTACAGCTCAGATCATGGGTCCCGTAGATTTGATAGAACAGCGTCGGGCCGAACGCACCGACAACGGCAAATAGCAGCATGGTGGACGTGACACCAGCTGACCTGGCATTGAATCTCTGCGTTTTGCGCTTGAGGGCGCCAAAGCACATGGAAATGCCAGGCAGGAAGAGAATACCGGCGAATATGCTGCCGACAATGCTGCCTTCCACGAGCTGACCCTTGCCCTGGCTGAGAGCCACACAGTAGAGAAACACTTCGACGACGGTGGCGAAGAAGGCATTGATGGCCGCACCAAGCCCCATGGAGGACTGGGCCGATATAGAGGCAACGGCCTGGCCGATAAAGTATGCCAGTGGGATGATGGACAAGAGACTGGCCGTGAACAGAAAAGCCGGGGACGTGATAAAACTGGCCCCGCCAGCCACGCCCTCGAGAACGGCCCAGTCGAAAATCACAAAGCAGACGACGGCCATGAGGTTGATGAGGAAGATATTGGTGCCGTCAACGGTGTACTTCCAGTACTTGGACCCAACGGCTCGATAGGTGCAGACCAAAATGGACGAGTCGGGCGCGTCTTGGTTTCGCATGTAGCCCACATGAGTCTCAAACGACAGAGCGAGTGGATGTCGACGGAGGTGATCGAACAGGAGGATCGTGACCTTGCCCATGGGGATCCAAAACACGAGGAACCAGCAAATGGCCGAGGTGGCGATCAAGACTGGTGAAATGAGGCAGTAGAAGAAGATGAAGAAGACGACCCGGCCAATGTTCCACTCGCCCCTGCCAAAGAGTCGTCGTCGTCTCTTCATGCGAGGAGGCATATTGCGAGACCTGCCTCGTCGACCTCGTCCTAGCAGGCTGTCCGTTTCACTGTTTTCAGAATCGACGCTTCGCCTGGATCGGCCGACGATGGATCGATTGCCGTCTGGCCCAAAAAAGAGCCGGCCATACTCCAAGTCGCCGCTTTGCCACTGTTCATACTCCGAGATGCTTCGACCTTCGTCTCCATCTTCGTGCGAGTACGCTTCGTCCTTCTCCAGACGTACAAACTTGCCAAAGGGATAGAACAGGTAGCCGGCCAGACCCCACAGCACCCGCCCATACTCTTTGCCACTAGGGGCCGCTGCAAAAAGTAAGCAGACAACAGCCCCAAGAGCTGCAAAGGCGGCCGTCCACCATCCGAACACGAGGGTCCAGAGAAGATTAAACAGAAGAAGCCAGTTGCTCACGCGGCCTCCGGGGGAGGAGTGGATGTCTGCCTGAGCAAACTTTTGAATGGAGCGGTCCTTCTTGTACAACGCAGGCTTCCAGACTCTGATACCAAAAGGATGCGTCTGGTTAATTGCCTGCTGTCTGTCTTTGAGGGTAAAGCTCTCGGCCTCGCTAATGTCGCCGTCAGAGTCACAGTCAACGTGCTCTTCCAGAGGCAGCTCGTCACCATGCTCTGGTTCGTCCTCCTCTGTTGTTGTTGTGGGAACACCTCCGGCGCGAGATTCCTCGTCGTCTTCTCCGTCGCCACCGGTTCGATATGGCTGCAGACGTGAGAGTGTAGCACTAGCCTGTTGTGACCGTCGGCGAGTCGAATATCCTTGGCGCTCGACAGCATCGGCCTGGACCTCATGGGGTTCGTCGTCGGCAGAGAAGATTTCACCACGGTGCGGGGTGTTGGAAGACGTCCTCCTCGACAGCGGTGGTTTTCGAAGCCGGGAAAACGACTTGACTTTGTGGGGATGTTTGAAGCCAGGCCGCGACGGCTGAGGCGTTCCTTTTGACTGAGGGTGGTCTTGCGACTGCGATTGGGATGACTCGGCCGGGATTTGGCCACTGGGTGTGTTGGGGGGGTTGTTTATGGATCCTGCAACAGGCTGGGTTAGCGTATAGGCCGACGTGGTGAAGTTGCAACCAGCCGCGCGTTGGAGAGATGGGTTGAGACAGAAACATTGACACGTACCGTATCCAGCACCTTCGGGTCTGTGCCGCACGGTATCGGTTGACTGGTAGCTCTCCCTCAAGCCATCGCCCGGACGAGTAGTGGTCGTGCTGTCCACGGTGTTGCGGCCTGCGTCAGTCGGCGATATCAGCGATGTTTGGCGACGTGCCGAAGACGCGCCGTCCTTGCTTGGCGTGTCCATGGTGCACAGGCAGCGGCGCTGTAGCCGAGAGCTTTCCAGTGTTGGAGTAAACACGGGTCGAGTTGATCAAGCTTTGCTGTCCAGAGGCTGTAGTGCAATCCCGGAAAGACGATGACCAGGCCTTGGAGGTTGGAGAGACGACACGCAGCGGAGCTTTGAGCAGCTCATTCAAGTACTCCAGTCGAGAGCATTTCCCGGCACCTTCCTGGCTCGAGCACGATGCCGCGTTCCGGAAGCAGCCCAAGGGGAATTAAAGAGTGGTCAGGCTTCTTTCTGCAGCAAAAAAGGGTGAAGTGGTAGAAAGAGAAAAGTAGAGCAGGCACCGGCAGACGCGGCAGCGATGCAACATTCCCAGGACGGAGGCACGGGACTAGCGTCAATTGGGAGTTGCTCGGGGACGGAGGCGCCAGGTGTGAGGCGCGAGGCGTGATGGATGGGTTGGCGGAGACTGATCGGACGTCGAGGGCGATGGAGATGATAAGTTAATATGGCTTGCCAAAGGCCAAAGGCGACGACACAGTTCTTGGCGAGCGGCAAATGCTGGGGGCGAGACGAGCAAGGCTCATTGGCCGTGGACCTTGGCAATCCTGATGAACACTGAGGAGTGCTGGCCCTCTCTGGGCTTGGCACCTGCGACTCGCCGACTACGACGGGTTCAAGGCACTTATCAGGTACGTACTAAGTAGGTGCCTTTGGTAGGTACTCATTCAGACGCAGTCGCGGACCAATGCAGCCCTGCCTGGCTTTTTTGTTTCCTCTCTCCAAGTGTTTTGGACTTGCGCACTTATCAGCTTTTGCATGGAAATAGTAGACAACCCAAGTCGAATGGGTTGCCAGCCCATCATCACAAGCTCGGCCCCTCTTTGGATCCGATGGCATGCACTCCAACGCGGTCAACTGTCAAATCGAACCAGACCCGACCACTCGCTCGACGCTCGCCCTTGGACCGCGAGAAACAGTGTCCTCCATGGCCACAGTACACGATACTCGTTTCAAAGCAGGTCTGGTCGCGTCATCCATCCTTCATCAGCTGTGACTCGAGCATCGTGAACGGTTGCAGGGCACCGTTTCGGACCGTCACGGCACCTACGGCCACTGCGACTGCTGCTGTGTGACAATGTCAACACGATTCCATCACTGCTTCCATGTTGCAGTGAGACTGCCATGTCCGTTATCTCAGCCCTCCAGCCGTGCGTGTCCCTGCTGTACGTCTGCTCGTGGTGCCAACTTCCCAGCATGCCGTCTTGACCAATGTGAAGAGGCCAGATGACGCCTCGTAGCGTCCGCCATCCATATTTGGTTAAGTAGTCTGTCTGTACAGGACACCCCGTGCACTTTTCCTTTATTTCGCCGTGACACAGCATCGGCTCCGTATCTCTTGCCAATACCAAGAGACTTGGACCTCTTGTACCTACCTAGGAGGCAGTTGGTAATATTATCCCGAGGTTGCGAGGTTGCGAGGTATTCAGTAGAACGTCAACTTCCATCCGCCTCTTTCAGATGCCATTTCAAAGTGCAAGCCCACAACGTTGACTAAACACCAAGCCTTGGCGGAAGTCGAGATAGGGGTCGCCGCCCCTCGCGGCGCGACTGACAGACGGGCCGGCTGCAAGTCTCTAACGTTCGGTGATTGTTGTCCGTAAATCAAGCTTGGTTGGTTGAGAGAAACAGTGCTTGTAACCTGTGTACCTGCCATCTTCACCATCACGCGGCACCTTCTCGATTGATGCCCTGCATGGGCCCTTGGATCCCCGGATACCAAAGGCCTTGCTGGCAAGCCATGATCCACTGCGGCCCGATGGATGGACCTGGTAACCACCACTTTTCAGCCTTCGGCCTTTGCTTCGCAGAATCTCCACCCTCCACTGCAAAAGGGAACTGGTCTGGTGCTGGTGGTGGCGGCGCACAAACTCGCTCGAAAAGGTGCTAGATGTGGTTGCCGGCCGGTGGAGTCCGGCACCCATCTCTCGAGACCAGCGCCAGCCTTCTCGGAGCCCGGCGAAATGCTCGTTCCGAACAGCCACTCACTTTACTATTGCCGTGCTGCCATTGATGGCTGGCTGCTTACGAGACACCCTGCAGCCTTGTCAAGCTTCACCTCACGGTGCACCTCACCAACTCGCAACGTCATCGAACTCACCTCTGCCGCCGCCTACGCACCTGCGTCTTGCCCTCGACACCCGCGACGCTCGATTTTCTCCTTCTCCATCCCCTCCCTTCCCACGTAGAGACGTCTCGGCACACAAGACAACATGGCGCTCGACGAATACTACCACAACAAGATCGAGGCCATGAAGCTCGAGATCCTCAAGGGTCAAGCTGCTCTGCGCCGTCTCGAGGCCCAACGAAATGACTACAACTCACGCGTGCGGTTACTCAGAGAAGAGCTCGGCCTGTTGCAGCAACCCGGTTCCTACGTTGGCGAGGTGGTCAAGGTCATGGGCACGAAAAAGGTGCTCGTCAAGGTGCACCCCGAAGGAAAATACGGTACGGATAGAGACTGCTTACCAAGATGCGATGACTGTCCTCCCGTGCATTGCTTGCAGCTAACATTGATCCGTCAGTCGTCGATGTCTCCGACAGTGTCGACGTTGCCAAGCTCACCCCGGGAAAGCGCGTCACCCTCCTCTCCGACAGCTACAAGCTCGAGAAACTCCTCCCCTCGTCGGTCGACCCTCTCGTCTCGCTCATGATGGTCGAAAAAGTACCCGACAGCACCTACGACATGATTGGTGGGCTCGACCAGCAGATCAAGGAAATCAAAGAAGTCATCGAGCTGGGCCTCAAGCACCCCGAGCTCTTCGAGTCACTGGGCATCGCCCAGCCCAAAGGTGTGCTCCTCTACGGCCCTCCCGGTACAGGGAAAACCCTCCTCGCCCGAGCCGTCGCACACCACACGGCCTGTAAATTCATCAGAGTGTCAGGCTCAGAACTCGTTCAGAAGTACATTGGTGAAGGGTCCCGCATGGTGCGCGAGCTCTTCATCATGGCACGTGAACACGCACCGTCCATCATCTTCATGGACGAAATCGACAGTATTGGTTCTTCGCGAGTCGAGGGCTCCTCAGGGGGCGACTCGGAAGTCCAGCGCACCATGCTGGAACTACTCAACCAGCTGGACGGTTTCGAACCCACCAAGAACATCAAAATCATCATGGCCACGAACCGTCTGGATATTCTGGACCCCGCCCTCCTCCGACCCGGTCGCATCGATCGCAAAATCGAATTTCCACCGCCAAGTGTCGAGGCCAGGGCGGATATTCTCCGCATCCACAGTCGCAAGATGAATCTCACAAGGGGCATCAACTTGACCAAGATTGCTGAGAAGATGAATGGTTGCTCCGGCGCAGAACTTAAGGGTGTGTGCACAGAGGCAGGCATGTACGCCCTGCGGGAGAGGAGAGTCCATGTTACGCAGGAGGATTTCGAGCTGGCTACGGCCAAGATTCTGAACAAGCACGATGACAAGGAGGTGTCGTTGGGCAAGCTGTGGAAGTAAAAGGCCCCTCCGCAGGCGAGGACGAACCCCGGTGTGCGTGGCTTCGCTGGTCGTCATATATAGAGAGCATCGGGATTGTATGGATGTATAAATGTACCACTATTCGGATATGTCTCCTCCTGTCGCCAGACTTGTAGCCCCCTTGTTCTGTGCCTCGTGGCATCAAATGACGAGGATGCTTGCCGCTCCGGCTGTGGTACCAGGGCCTACGACACCATGAGCCGCTTACAAGCTCGGCAATCTGCTGGCGAGCACAAGATGCACGACGCAAAACACGGGCGCGACACAACTTTCATAAGCCGCATGTCTTCATGTCTAGCTACGACTAAGTGCTTGTCCGTGACCCATTGCCGTCTTGAGCCGCCTTATCGCCCTCTGGGGACGAGATGCCGTGCATACCACGATACTTGGACACCTCGGCTGGCTTCCAGCCGCACTTGTTCAGAAGCTCCCCGTCCTCGAGCCGGTAAACCTGCACCTTGAGCGGGCGGCAGCACTTGACCATTTCCTTTTCGTTGTCGCTGCCAAACCCCCAGGCCGAGAGGTCGCCGCCAGGACAGGTACCTGGCACGCTGGTGAGCAAGGGAACAGAAGGAGATGAAAGCATCCCGACTGTGTTGCAGAGTGCGGCTGGAGAGATGCGTACACCTAGGGACACCGATGCAGAGCACATGACGAGACAGACGGGGGGAGGGGAGGAGGATCGGGGGCTACGCACTCAGGGCCATGAGGAGGTTCTGCTCGGCCAAGAACTCGATGCTGTCGCCGGGCCGGGCAGGACTCGGGTTCATAAAGTAGCGGCCTTGGTCGTCGAGACCGGTGGCCTGAAAGATGTTGATGACGTCGTGGACGTGCGACTCGTCGAGGCCAAAGGGCATGACGGCCCGCGTCAGGTTGGAGTGGCAGTGGAAGTCGTACTGCTCGCCGGCCAGGACGGTGTTGATGTAGGGGTCGCACCGCGTGCCCAGCAGGTCGTGGACCCGGCCGCCGTGCGGATCGACGCCGTACCAGTCGAGGCTGTCGTGGATGATGGTCGCGAGCGGCCGCATGTACGGCAGCACGGACCAGAGGCGGTCGTGGGTGCTCACGTGCGACGCGTGCAGCTGCCTCGTGCGGCTTGCCCAGAAGCGCTCGCGCGGGTTGTCGCGGTTCCACACGTTGAGGTCGCCTGCCGGGACGCGGTGATGTCAGTCGGTCGGTTCTCGCGAGGGCTTGCTTGCTTGCAGCCAGCCAGACAGACGGACAGACGACTCGCCTGCCCGCCTGCCCGCCTGCCTGACTGACGGACTGACGGACTCACCGACCTGGGGTCCCTCGGGCGTGCTGATTCTGACGATGGAGCCGGCGGGCGCCTCCCACGCTCTGCCCGATCGGATGGGGAGCGTGAACTCGTCAATCAGCACCCGGGCGGCCCTCTGGATGGTTGCGTATGCCTCCTTGTCGACGGACAGTGGCGATCCGGCGACGGGCAGGTACGCCGGGGGCGCCTTGGGGATCCCGTCCCTGGCCTTGATGCGGTCTGGGATCGATTCCCCGGTTTGGAGCGGCGGCATGGTGACCTGTTTGCTGGGATTTGATGTTTTACGCACCCAATCAATCGTCTGTCGTGTTTTTATCTCCAGCCCGAGTTCCGATGATCGGAGTCGCGCGGTCCTTCTACGTGTTTCTCAAGTCCCCCAGGCGTGCTTTTGGAGGTTTTTCTTACAAATGTTAGCCATGTTCGGACACGTTTTTATGACAAACGGGATTTCTACCGAGGTAATTACATCATATGATGGAACATGACTCGAGTACCCTAGGCTTCGGTATTGAAGTCGGATTCGATTGCTCAATTCCCTGGACTAGCGGCCGAGGGCGGACGGGGGAGTCCATTCCGCATGAATACACAGGCTTTGTTGCGAAGGAGGAAAAGAAAAAGAAACACTGGGACCGCGATTCGTCGTCAGAGCTTGGGCTTCATTCTGGACAGAGGATACTGCAAAATACGGAACAAGTTTAGAATCACGAGCAGTTTTGACAATGCCAAAATGTTTGCTTCGCCAGGGATAAAGGAGTCGTGTCCCGTCACAGCCTCCTCCCTCCCTCGGTCCTGACAAGCGCCGACCCCGGGGATTCTCAATGTCTCAATGTTCTTTTTCACAGTATGCCTCGTATTAGGCAAATGACCAAGCTGTCAGCCACAAAGCAGCGTGGGGGAAAAAGCAAGAGACGATCCATTCCCACCGCCGTTCCCGCTGTGCCACGCGACAAGTGCGTGACTTGATGCTCATTGCTCCAGGTTCCGAGCTTGCCAAAGGTCGAGGCAGGCGGAGGCGGTCCAGTGCCAAGGGGCCATGATAACTACTCCGTACATCAACAGCCCTACTCCGTACATGCCAGACACGATACTCCGTACGGAGTAGGTAGGTTAGCAAACAAGTTGGCACGCTGCGTAGTTACCAGCCCCCCGTCCCGGGCACACCACCACGCACGCATCCACACGTGTCCATTGTCGAGCGCACGAGGGTCTAGAACCATGGATCGACATGACATTCGAGGACCTCTGCACCTTGGCCCTCCGTTGCGGCGTAAAACTAAACAAATCAAATGCCATCTGACAGGCGGTAGGCGACGGGCGCCCCCAACGGTTCCGCAGCCGCAGTAGGGATGGAACCACCATTCCCATCGAGCGTCTGGGCTGCTGGAGTTGACGACCTCGGCAGCAGCATGGCATACGGCATCCCTTCCCAGCCAACGTCAGTCAGTACACTGAGTCATATCCGACCAGTGACCACATGACACATACCCCGTACATGTTCAAGCTAGTGTACGGAGTAGGCGAGTCGCAGTTGCAAACGCAAGGGACGCGGTCGGAAGTCAGATGGGAACCTCGGGAGTGCGTACGGAGAAGTTGGCCGTGACGGCACCAAAAAGCTTGTTAGTCAAGGGTTTTCGGGTTTTCGGTCGACACGCCTCCATCAGCCGGGGATGGCTTGCCCCTGGCCCTCTTTGTAAGTGCTGAGCAACATCTGGCAGCAGCATCATCGAAATGTCAACTGGCAAAAGACGGCATCGGCGTATTTCCCACAACGTCAAGCTGTCAATGGGTCAGTCAGTGCGCCCGAAACGGCCAGCAATTTCTGTCGGTTGGAGAATCTATCAAAGCGTCTGCCTCAACCAGCCACTCCGCTCAACCACTCGGGATGTACATGGTGCCGAACATCGGCTAGCATGAATTACCTCCCACTGACTGGCGTCACTGTCGATTTCATTCCTTGCACACTCGCGCATCATACGGTTGTGAGCAGATTTCCGGGCAAGAAGGCCATGGCGGACGACGTGCCGTCATACCCGAATATTTCTCACAACAGCCTGGGTGCAACATGGAGCCATGGAAGTCGATGAAACCACAGCATCCCAAGCGCGATATGGAGCAGTGGTTGTTCATTAGGATGTGGAGAATCGCCTCTTGGATTCTTGCCGAACCAGTATCTGGGCGGTGTTACAGACACACTGCGACGTCGTGCGAAACCAGCTTATTCCCATGGCGTGTGGAGGTATTGCCGGCTATGCTGGCAGGCCATGTTGCAACGACCTCGGAATATTAACCTTCCATCGTGCCCTGTCGAAATCTGGATTCCTCGAGTTGGAAAAATGAAATGACTTGACAGGGCCGTCCAATGCTCCATAAAACACATTGTTTGTACCAGTCCAGAACATTGAGGACGGAAGCACGTGCTGGAACCACCAAGCGTGGCGAGACAGAAGAACCGACCCGATACTTCTGACGTCATAGCCATGCACCGTGTACGACTTGTGATACGACTTTACTCCGTAAGCCAGCTGGAATACTCCTGCAACGCCAACATCACTCGGACTAAGAAGCAATCAATCATGAGCTGTTACGGAAGGGAGAAAAACATTGCCATCAAGGCTTCTGAGAGAATTGACTTCGGCACTCGGCTTCTTCTGCGTGCAGCGAAAGTACCAGGGATTTAACAAGTCTTCGCAGTAGACTTGTCGACAATGGCAGCCAGCATTGGGGGCCAAAGTCCACTGGTTGAGTGACGGGCATGACGTGGCGGCCCGAAGCAAAATCCGCCCTGACAGCCTGATTGCGAAGGGCCCCTTGCCGTTCCCTTGACTGGGTGCTGAGGAGGAAGCCATGTTGGTGTCGACTGCAGCAAACGGCCTAGCGTGCTACTACCAGGCGTAGCAGGGAGAGCCAACTCGCCCAGGTGGCTCGACTCGACCATTAAATTCACTCAACACGTACTCCGTACCTGGCGGATTCGAATGCACCTTCTCTTTTTGCTATCATGGGTTGGATGGTTGTTTCGTCTGGACGTGCATCAGCCGGTGGCCGGAACGGGGATATCTAGATCGGTCCTGCGCAGAATACTGTTCTCCGTACGGGGTAACTAGTAAGTATGCAAAAGCAGACAGCCGGGCAGCAAATGTTCGATGTGGATTCTCGAGAATCTTGACGGGTCTGGACTCGAAGCGCCAAGACGTCTGACGGCGCTGTGACGTTTTGCTGGGGCGCCACGGTGGAAGACGCAGGCAAGCCTCCCCTGGTGCCCCCCCTGAGTCCTGACGGCTCGGATTGCTTCAGGGCGTCTTGCTGATGGCTCTCCTGACGGCGCTCTGATCAACGACGCTGGCCTGGATGGAATTCTGGGCAGAGACCGTGGGCCCCTTCCATGACGAGGACCGTGGAGCCCGATGCCTACAGGGTTCAGCAGCCGAGGATTATCACGGAGACGAGATCAAGTGATGGAGGATACCCAGCACTAGAGAGGCACAATACTCCCGAGGTGGCGGGCAGTAACGTTAATTTTCTTTCAAAATTGGATCCAAGGCGCAGGGTCCTAGTTCAAGTCTGATGGGTTTGATGGCCCTGAACTAAGTACGTATGCGGCCAGACTTGCTCACGAGAGACGAGTCGATGTATGGGCCCGGTCTGCCGGGAACTACTCCGTACTTTTCTTTGACTCGGACCATTTGAAGAACTCGCGGCCAGGTACCGGCTACTGCCGCCGGCGTCTTGGTGGCTGGCAGCAGCCGACTCGGGCTCTCATACGGCCAAGTGCTGGCTACACGGGGGCAGCACGACAGGTCGCTCGCGTCCGAGTTGAGAACCTGGTCCAGGTTGACAAAAGTCACGGAAAGTGGACAGCTTCGCCATGCCTGATGCCTGGAGACGTGGTGGAAACACGCAATCCTTGGACGTGGACCCCAACTGCCCAGTTTCCGTGAGCCAAGCGCGCAGTACGTACCAGCATGGAATTGTCTCGAACGCGCCGACCTGGCCAGGTGCTGCCATGGCAAGGCAAATAACCTGGTTAAAGTAGCCGCGTGTTGCGGGTGCGCTCGGCGTCGGCAATGGTGCCGCACGGCCATGAAGATGTTGGTGTTGTCACGACACACACTGGACGTCTTACTTGTTGCTTGATGCTGGGAGTAACTCGACATGGCGACGGCGGCAGAAAGCCACGATGACCATTTACTTCATGACTAGGCACTTAGGCACCTTAGTACTTAAGGTAAGTTTTGAGTACTGAAGCACTTGGTAAGAGCATCCGGGCCCCCTTGCGGACGGGAACAAATTCCAGGTACAATTGCAAGTGCCTTGATGATTGGTCTTGCTCAAGTACCCAAGTACCCAGGTATTTAGTACCCACGCAACCACGACGGCTGTGCAGCTCCGTCGGGTGTTGGATGACACTAGTGCACCAGTACCTGAAGATTCAGGGTGTGCGGTGGGCGGTAAGTACTCGAGTACTTGGTATTGTACTCGCCTGCGTACTCAAGTACCTCGATACTTAAGGTAATTACTCAAGTTCCTAGGTACCTACTTAGACGTATGCAGGTACCTAAGCAGACGTCCGAGTACCCGCCTGCCCGATGCTCTGCACTTCCCTGGGTTCTTACTCCTTACTCGGTACAGTGGCGTCGTGCATGCTACACATCACATCATACATGCATCCCCACGAGCGTCTGGGTGTCCCAAGCCTCATACCTCATAACGCTCAAGCCGCAAGCCGCATTCCTTCTCCTGGTCAAGGCCGTGTCCGGGTCCTGGCCTCCGCCCCCGTTTTGTGGTCCTTTTTTTTTTGTCTCGTGTCTTTTGCTGTCGTCGTCTTCCTCGACGATAAACTGCTGGACTCGACACCCCTGGCACTTGGACAAAATTCGGGGTCCCTGTCGACTCGATAGGCCCCGTCCAACATCAAAACGGGAGACACGCACAGCCTGGAGGGCAGGCCAGCATCGGAAGCTCCATTACCCCAGCAACTCGGTGGCCGTCCACATGACGCTCGGCTTCGGCGAGACGTTCGTCTACCTCAATCTCCTGTACTACGTGAGGTAAGAATCCCCTTCCCACAGCGGTAGCGGTCGACGGGGCTCCCAACTTGCCGCCGCCGCCCCTGCTTACGCCTTGTCAGCACCCTCATGCTTCACCGCGAGTACTTCCCCTTCCTGCCGACCCCGGAGTCGGAGCCACGGGGTCCAGTCGACCAGCCCATGCTGGGGGCGCCCGCCCCCGAGGGCTGGTGGGACGACAGCTCCCGACTCCTCTTCGGCGCGGCAGAGCACATCGCCGCCATTCTACACGAGGCCTCCGAGTGTGGCGTGCATCTCATGACGCCCTTTGCCGGGTTCTGCGCATTCTCAGCCGGCTACCTCAACCTCTACGTGGCGAAATACCCCCGAATGAACCTGGGCCGCAGCCCGCGAGCAAGCGACTGTCTCAAAATGTGTCTCGACTACCTGGAAAAGTTTCGACTTGTCTGGAAAATCGCCGACGGATGGGTAAGCCGCCCGCAAGCATGACACGACCGTGGCCACCGTTGCGCTAACATTGAGAGGGCGGCACGCGCAAGATCAAAACGATACACCATGCATCCGTGCTCTACGAGCGAGCAACCGAGGACCGGACACGATACCAGGGGCGCACACGAGCAGACTTTGATACTCTACACCAGTCTGTCCACGAGTTCCGTGTCGTGGATAGATCCGACGCGCATACTCGGGAGATTCGGGGCGCGGAGCGGCCCTCGGCGCAGGCGACTTGGCCGGTTCAAGGGCACGAGCACGAGCACGAGCACGAGCACGAGCTCGACACTAATACCTTGTTGAACCAGCTTTTCGCGGAAGTCAGCAATAACCTCGACGAGCAGGGGGCCTGGTCTCAATGGTGGCCGGCGATTGATCAGGTGGATCTTTAATGAGCTGCGTAATTACATCCGGGGTTTTTTTTTTCGTTGAAGCTTCCAATGAATGAGTGACGACCTTTGATTTTTTTGATTTTTTTTTTAAAAAGGGCTGTAATATCTGGTTTTCTATACATGTCCTATTTTTATTTCCCGGTCTAGAAAAACAGTCAACAGATAATGCACCTCTTCATATGGCTCCCCTCCCGTCACCGCCAACAAATGCATACCTGTCGCGTCAACCATTCGCCGTTTCTCCTTCCAATCACGCCTTTGCAAAGACCTTTCTCGAGTTCATCAGGCGAACAGCAAGCATAAAGAGCATGCCGACAAAAGGCGCCACAACCACGCCAAGAGGACGTTTTTTGAAGCAGCTAAAAAGGCACGTAAATGGCGTCTGGATTCTGTACTAGATCTACTAGAAATTTGGGACGAGAAGGGTGTACATTATAGGCGAAGAGGTTAATAGCGTTATTAGGTTGAAAATTGGCCCGCCTTGGTGTCCGGCCCGCCTTGCTGTCGAGCACCACCTTTGGTGGTGAGGGCTTTTGCTAGCCGAACCACATAAAGTGGGGCGGGCACGATTACCAGACCAGACGAGACGAGGCCAGACCAGTTTGGCTTTTTCCACTTGTCGTCCGAGTTTCGTCGTCTTTCGTCGTCTCACCCGAGTTGATGAGTCTTGGACGAGTTTAGCTACTCGTAGTGCATGGCAGGTCGCAGGTCGCAGGTCGCCGCCTCCTTGTCGTCTGGGCTTGTTCTCTCTCCTCTCCCCTTCCCCCCTTTTCCCGGCATCATTGTCGCTCTCCCTTGCTTTTCTCCTTCCCCACACTTTCTGGCGCTTGCCCAGCACCTTGGCCGCCATTTTCAGTGTGGTTGTAACAAAGGATTGATTTCGCTACGTCTGGGAAATCCTTGGCCTCTCTCGACAGAGTTCTACCGGGTCGACGCCACTGATTACGAGACCCGCGGCCCTGCCTACCGTCTTTCATCTTTGTTCGCCACTCAACTCAATCTCGCCCACAGTCTCGACTTCTGACGTCGGTGCCGGGTGTCGAGTGCGTTTGTGCGTACGGAGTATGTGTGGCATCTATCCATCCATCCATCCATTCATCATCACCCATATTCTCCACCAAGTCATTGTCGTCGACCTCGTCGACTTTGACGCTTAGGCTTCTATTCGTCTTTATTCGGATTTTCTCTACATTGCCCTTCACTCGTTTCCCTCCCCCGTTCTCGTCAACACGGGCAACTTGACGCGGTCCTGCTTTCTCGACGTCGCCGAGTCTCTGGATACGTCCCTCCTCTACTGCCCCAGCCTCGAGACTACCGCCTTGATCTGTACCAACGCAACAACCCCCTTCTCAGCTTTCGCCATGTGCTTGCCCTAGTACCTCGGGTGCTTTGTCGTGCAAATAGTCCTTCGCCGCCAACGTCTGTTACGAGTCACTCCTACCCCCGAATGCCGCCTGCTCATTTTATCATGAAGACTCAGTCGCGGCATTCCCCGGCCGCAGCGAGTCCTTACTCCTACCACCAGTCTCATGCCTCGCGTTCGCATAGGGTCGCCAAGCACACAACCTCACCAGCAACCTCACCGAAAGCGCCGTATTCTGTCGGACAAAACTACCCGCCCATGCTGTCTCCTACCATGACCGTAGACAGCGCCCGGGCGCCGAGTCCCAACTACTTTGGGCTTGTCATCGAACCTAGCAGCGACCCCAGGGAGTCGTCCGCACTGGCTCAAGAGAACTGGAGTCCTGGCTCGTCTGTAAAGTCTTTTGCCGCTGCGCTACCGAAACAAATTACCCTGGACCCAAATCCCGAATTCGAAGCGTTCAAAAAGGCCGCCGACCTGAGCAGAGGCAAACCTCTCTCCATCGCCACGCATGCCACGCTGCCGACCTCGCACCCTACGCCTGTTCGACCCCGGCCGCCGAGATGGCACACTTACACAAGCGATGCTGGCTCTGATGGCTCGTCTCCAAAGGCCATCCGATCTCTCAAGCCAAAACCGACAAGCAAGAGCGATGTCGACCATGACAGCCTACACGACTCGGCTTACATCTCCTCGGATTCGAAACGCAACTCCGAGTCGTCGTTGATACCGACACAGCTGACGGGCACGACGCCGCTCGAGTCGCCTGGACAAATCGAGACGCCTCACCAACGACCCTGTCTTCCTCGAGCAGATCCCCGCGAGTCCCGACTATCCCTGGCACTCCCCCAGCCGGATGCTCCTTCACCTGATCTGACGGATCAAACGCGTGCCAGGACCCTGCCACCAAAGTTGGAGCATGGTCCGTCGTCCATGATATCCGGTGCTCAGCTCAAAGAACTGATGGAGTCCGTTGGAAAGAGCAAGATGCTCTTGTTGGATATCCGCTCGTCCCAGAGCTTTGCCCAGTCTCGTATCCAGGGTGCACTGAATCTGTGTATACCGACCACACTGCTCAAGCGTGCAACCTTTAACCTCAAAAAGTTGCAGCAAACTTTCCAGGGCAACCTGGACTCGAATCAGTTCTCCAAATGGCGGGACATGGACTGGATTGTAGTCTATGATGCGCATGCTTCCGATAAGCGCGATGCCGTCACGGCGCAAAATATGACCAACAAGTTTACTAACGAGGGCTACCAAGGAAAGACAGCCATTCTTCGTGGGGGATTTGCAATGTTCAGCGCTTCATTCCCCCAACTCGTCGACACATCGTCCAGTTCACAATCACCCCTGCAGGGGAATTGCCGCAGTGTCAGCAAGAGCACACTTGCCCCGGTGATAGGCGGCGTCAACCTGCCCACAACTGACAACAACCACAATCCATTCTTTTCCAATATCAGACAGAATATGGATCTTGCTGATGGTGTGGGCCAATTTGAAATCGTGCGGCCTCGAGACTTGGACTCGCCTCTATTACCAACGTGGCTTCGCGATGCCTCGTCTCGTAGCGATCACGGAAAAATGGTCTCCAACAAGTTTCTAAATATTGAGCTGGACGAACAGTCACGGATGAAGGCGGCATTTGCAGCCTTTCAGCCTAACCAGAAGCCACAAGACTGCAAGTTCCAACTATGTGGCGTTGAAGAGGGCACCAAGAACCGTTACAAGGACATCTTGCCCTTTGAGCATGCCAGAGTTCGACTTCAAGAAATACATAGGGGGTCGTGCGACTACGTCAATGCCAGCCACTTGTCTGCATCTAGAAGTTACAAACGATACATTGCTACCCAGGGGCCACTGCCCGCGACGTATGAGGTGAGTTTTCAACTTGTTCAATCTGCCGCGGACTTTTCAGCCAACACGTGTGTATTAGGACTTTTGGTCAGTCATCTGGGAGCAAGACGTCCGCGTCATTGTCATGTTGACGGCTGAGAGTGAAGGTGGTCAACTCAAGTGTCACCCGTATTGGAAGGGGAGAGACTTTGGACCCATCAGGCTGAAGGCATTGTCGGAAAAGAAAGCTTCTCTGGACATTGACAAACAACGATCTGAACCGAATTCAGCCCCGTCCTGGTCCTCGTTACCCGAGTCGGGACGTAGACGCGCAAACACGACAGCTAATAGGCTTCAGTCGGCCAACTCAGCAACGCCACAAGGCCAGGGACAGTCGGAGACGCCGTACGTCACGATTAGAAAGTTTGCCCTGTCTCACGCCGCGCACCCGTTTGCCCCCATCAGGGAAATCACCCACTTGCACTTCGCCGCATGGCCAGACTTTGGAACCCCCGCTCAGCCATCCCACCTGCTAGCTCTGGTCGAGCTTGCCAACGTGATGCAACGAGCGGCCATGCCAGTGGAGACGAGTTCCATTGTCGGCTCCAAGGTACCAACGATTGACTCGATCCCGGTAACCTGGTATGATGAACCGGAGCAAGATGCCAATTCTCGGCCGATGCTGGTGCATTGCTCGGCAGGATGTGGACGCACTGGAGCCTTCTGCACGGTTGACAGTGTCATTGACATGCTCAAACGCCAGCGACAGGCCAACGTCTCCGCGTCGTCACGACCCAGAGACAGCGAGGGCGATGTCCCAATGGACGCTCACGAAGAAGCTGCCTCTCCAGCGATGACGGGGGCGCCTGGCTCCCGTGGCTTCTTTGACCGAGGCATGGGTGCGCATACTTGCCAGACGCGGGAGTCATTTGGCATTGATACGGCGTGGCTGCGAGACGACGGCGTTGACCTGATCCAAAAGACGGTGCAAGATTTCCGAGAACAACGGCTAAGCATGGTGCAAAGTTTACGGCAGTATGTGCTGTGTTACGAAACCATTCTGGAATGGTTGAGTAGGATGCAGGATGGGACTTTGAGCAATCGTATGGGTGGGCGGGCACGAAGCGGGAGCCTTCAACAAGCGAGACGCTGAAGGTAGGATGGGCAGCGAAGCGGACGAGGGTTTTGAATTGCGAGCGAGTTGGCCAAGGTAAGACTACGACGAGGGGAGTGGACTTTTGCATCATAGCGTTGCACGGGCATAAACGAGCATGGCATGGCATGGCATGGCATGACATTCTTCTTCGCCTTCTCCCGTTGTCTTCCGCTGGAGGGAGACAAGCGGGAGATGTAACTACATGGAATCGGCGAAATGATTTGGCTTTCAAACATGTCAATTCTAAGGAGGGAGGTTTGAACACGATGAGCGTCTTGTCTTGACGGATTGACACTGGAACCGGGATATTTACGAGGGTGTTGTTGGATTTTGCAAGAGCAACAACAGCAAGCACCTCGAAGCGAGGCTGCCAGAATTGCGACAGTGGACATGGCTCCCCTAATTTATTGCATAGGCAACAAGAAGCAAGAATAATAAGATGGTTGAGAAACATGACAGGGCACGCAGCAGCACAGGAAGCTAGACGGGCGGTCGAAGGGGATCGGTTGAATAGAGGCTACCAGGCTGCCACGTGCAGACGAAGACTACGTGTCGTAAGATGCGTGGCTGTCGTCGTGCGCCGTATGGAGTAGTAGTAGAGGATCTGATGGTTGCGAGGCTTGCACGAGAGTGTTGGTCTGGGAATGATGGGAGTTTTGGGCGGGTTTGGCAGTTCTAGATGTTGTAGCGACCAACGTGTCTGGTGGGCTATTCACAACCCTGCCCTGCCCGTTCTGCCCTGCATTCAAGTGCGTAGTTACGTGCTGGTTTGGTTCGGTCTGGTTCAGTTGGATGCAATGTGCAATGCATGGCCTGCGTAGGGCACGTGGCACCGTTGTCGACGTGTACAGTGACTGCAGTGCAGTGCAGTACAGCGGGCTCGGGGTTTGCGGTTGCACACCGAGTACGGAGCATCATGAAGGTGATTCACCTGCTCAACAGCCTTTCCCTGGACCCCGAGGCCGTTGAGCGCACGGGCCAATGCCATTCATGTTGCTCTTTGCGATTGTTATTCTTGCGCATTGCCTGTTGACAGTGGCGTTGCGATGCTGGCTCCGCTCCGCCCCACCCAGGCGAAACTGGGCGACTGGGCGTCGAACCCTCGAGTCAGCCTGGCCTGGAGAGTCTGGTGGCCAGCGGCGCCTTCCCAAATCTTGCTGAGTGGCCCCGGCACTAGTCCGTAGTCCGTCCGCACTGAACTTGATTCTCCAGGCACCAACTCAAGTACTAAGTTAGTTAGTTAGTACGTACCTGCCCTGAATGTCTCGTGTTTTTTCTTGCTTGCGTGAACCACACACAGTCCAGACTTCACGATTCGCAATTCCGTCGCCGCTCGGTGGGACTCGACGAGTGTGTGCCTGGCATCGTCGTTTGATGGCCGCGGCGGCCCAGCTCGGAAAGAAGCCTCGTGGCATCGCCGTCGTTACTAATTTTGCCACCTCCCCTTCTCCGTCCTCGCTTCACCCACCCTTCTCCGCTGCCCGTCTCTCTGGTTTCGGCGCCGGCTGATCTTGGCTTTCTTTTGCCACCCCCGGCCCCTCCTTGTTCTCTCGCCTTGCACTCGCATTCTGTGCTGTGCCGTGCTGTGCTGGGCGTCGGTCGTGTCGTCACTCCGCGATTCTGGGGTGTGACGTGGACTTTGTTGCGCGGCTGGTGCCGCAAACGGTTGCGGCGCCGCAGACCTTATTTGATCTTGCGAAACGCCCCAAACCCTCCCTCGCCCCTCCGACGAAAGCTCTCCTGCTCAAACATCAGCCGCAGCGTCGTCTGCCCTGGCTTTGTGTCCTTGTCCCCGACAGACAGACAGACACCATGTGCCGCCTACCCGCTGATTTTGCCGAGCCCTCGCGCAGTCTCCAAGAAACCAGCTGCTCGACACCCGACGACGCGACGGCCATGGATTTGGATCTCGCCATGCCGCCGTCTGACGATGACGTGCTTGAGAGTGACACCAGAATATATACGCCGCCCCCGAGAGTCGCTGCCCGCTTTTACCGCCCGTCTCAAGCTCGTCGCAGGGACTCGGCCGCTTCGTCGCGACGCAACTCCATCTCGTCTGCGCATTCGCGCTGCTCCTCTCTGCAGCAGCACGCTCCCGCCCCCCCCGCCTGCAACGACGACGGCCAGAGCAAGTATGTCGCTCAGCACCTTCGGCGAGCCTCGTTTCTCGAGGATCGACGAGCCCGTCTTGCCGACAGGGCCGCGCATGCCGAAAAGGTGCGACTACGTGCTGCCCTTGCCAAGGCTGCCCCTCGCGGCCCGACAGCTTCTGAGGAACGTGCTCTTGCCGCGCAGCAGGCGCGAGAACGCAACCTTGCCGAGATTGTCGCCAACTGCGCAGAGGAGGTGCGAAAGGCAAAACAGGTTGCCGAGCTTACCAAGGAGAGAAGAGAGCTGGAAATCGCCAAGATGCGCGCTCAAATCGAGGAGCGCATGGCTGACGCAGAGAGGAGGAGAGAGGAGCTTCTGACCAAAAGTGTCACGAAGCGCCCTCGTGGCCAGAGTGTCTTGGCCAGAAGGTCAAACGAGGAGACCTTGGCCCAGGTTAAGGAGTATACCAAACCTAGCTTGAGTGAAGACGATGCTGCGGCATGCATCCAAGCATGGTGGAGGGGCCGCACTCGAAAGAGCATTATACAAGAGTTCAACAGCCTAGGCCTGTCTGTCGACGGCATTCGAGATGCATCCTTTGACACAGTCGTTGAACTCTTGGCACAGGAAAAGGTTCTCCTTGTCACCTCACGGCTGCTAAGAATCTGTGGTCTTCAAGAAGGGGCCCCGGGATCCGTGGACGAGATGGCTGCCGTTCGCACCTTCTTGAGCGCATTTCTCATACTGGGCCATCCTAACCAGGTCCTCAGCAACAAGAATGAAGCCGGAGACGAATCGGAGCCCAATGTGCTGGCCTCCCACCGTCTACCCAGCGCAGACCTGGCGAATCCCCAGCTGCGGGATTTGGTTGGCAAAGCCAAGGATCTTCTGGTCAACTTTGAAAACATCCTTGTTCGACTCACCGCGTGTAACCGGTATACCATGCCGCCGGCTCTCAAGTCCAGTCTTCCGGAGGCATATGCCGTATTTTACAACACCTTTATTGCTTGGAAGTCCCGCGATTCCAACGCTCTCATCGAGGTCATGTTGATGCAGTTTGTGGAGCTGGATGCAATCTTCCAAACGGTCAAAGACACCACGGATGACGCCGCCGCCAGTCTTTACCGACAGAGCATCCAGGACTCCCAGCTTATGCTGATTGTGCGGATCAAGAAGCTGGCCGGTGCAGACAAAGGCAAGAGGTTGATCTTCAAGGCGGTCAGTGAGGCAAGAAAGTCTCGCAAGGCAAAGAAACAGACCGGCGATACGAAGCCGCGGGTCGCCGAGGGCTCTGCCGGTGATGTGACGGCAACCGCCTCGAGCCTTGTGTCGTCAGAATCGCAAACCCTGACTCCACCCGCCACGCCTTCGGGCAGAGTCGAAGGTAGGCCCGTCGTGGTCAAGACCGGGTTAAATGGCTTGCTTCCCGACAATCGCATTGTTGTACATGAACTGGCAATCAACAAGGAGTATCAAATCCCATCCGAAGAGTACGTTGAGCAGCAGGCTGTTCTCGCACGACCTCTATATATGCAGATGCGGGTTGCCATGGCCGAGAATGACACCGAGGCCAACTTTGGATATTTCATTCTCATGGCCGGCAACATCAAGGAGAAGTTGCAACGCTTGTTGAAGCCTGGCAACTCCTTGTACAACCTCACTGGAGAGATTCTTGACCCCGAACTGGCCGAGAGACAGTTCATTGTGGGAAATTTTTCCTATGAAAGGTTCTTCACAGCGATGGGCTCGCTGCTTCCCAAATTGTGCGCGCCTTTCCGGGACGACGAAGTCAAGGACTTGGTCCAGAATAGGCTCAGCGATGGTGACTTGATCGACCGGGTCGAGGCGTTGAACCGCTTCATCGACGTGATGCTTTGCGACTACATCAACTATTTACTACGAATCGCGGCGCCACAGCTGATTGAATCTGCTGCCCAGTACGAAGCAAAGCGATTCTCGGCAGACGTTGTGGAGGGCGGTATGAGTCTCAGTATTGCCGAGGCTGCTTGGAGGTCAGCCGCTACCAAGGTTGTGAACGAGGCGCAGAGGCGCGATCCCGAGGGCGTCAACCACCCAAAGTCGCAACCCAGCGCTGCTCGGTTCTATGCCCAGATGCTGGTGGACGTCTTCACGCAGCCCACGCCCGTCAGGATGGAGCAGATACCGGAGATGCTGCAGCTCGATCACCAGCGGATAAACGAAGTGTCTTGCACGATCCAGCGCATCATCACCGCCGGGGCCGTGCTGCTGCAGTGCAAGAATCTCCTCAAGAGAGATGTTCGCTCTGCCTGGAAGACCGAGGCCACTCGTATCATGGCGGTTCTCGAGGCCAATCACCCTTCGCTGGATGCCACGGTGCAAGTAACAATGGCCGCTGTCGAAGCAGGTCGTTCTGTGCCGGCCGTCACCAAAACGCATCTCCGCGCGCTAGTTACCAAGGTTCTCAAAGCGAGCCAAGAAATGTCGCAACAACGCACCGAGCCCAGAGAGCGGGTGCTCCAGCTGCTCTTGACGCGTCTGAGGGGCAACATCCTCGCCAGACTCGCACCGGGCTCGGCGAGTGAAAAGGTCAAGGCGGCGAATACGGCGGGCGAGAGACTGGCCAGTCTAGGACTGTCAGAGTTTGTCGAGCAGGTTAGAGGGATTTCCGACTTGTTGGACAAGGTGGGCAGCGTGGACAGGGCGGCACACAGTCTTTGGTGGGATGCGGTGGCAACAAAGGTGCAGCAGGAAGATGCGGCGTGATGGGTGGGCGTATCGAAAGCACGTTACAGGAGATTGAAGCGGGAGACTGAGAGCATGATGGGCTGGGACCGGTCGAATTATCGAATTCATTGAATCTACGAATGGTGGCATGGTGAGGGATCTTGCACGACCGCGTATGCTTTACTCTGGGACGGCGTTTTGGACAGACGAACCACGGTTCGGCGGGCATGACTGGCTGGGCTCATTCTGGGAACTGGATAATGCATTTGTGACTTGGACTCGTGGTTATTGCATTAGTTCTGACTAGGGCTCAAGACTGGTGACTTTTTGTGTCGTTTGACGCCCAACTGTCTGTGACGTCTCGGCTTGGGATGTGCCCCGGCCACGCACGGCTTTTTAAAAAGTCGGACAACTGGGAACTCGTGCAGGCGATGCCGACCAGACGAGATGGGATATCGCCCTGCATCCATCCGGCTACGGCTCGAACAGCCGCACGAGCGTGCGTTTGCTTGCCGACAAATGTGTCCTCTGAATCTCAAAGTGCACCCGTCCCAGCGTCCCAGTCCGGCCGCACACCCGATGGATGCCGTGGTGTCCTTCAGCCCCGAGAGCAGAAGGTTTTCTCCAACAATGGCTTTATAAAGTTTACATTTATATTTCTTGAGACAAACAGCTGCAACCAGAAATGAGACTGCAAATAAAAGCAAAAATGCTACTTGCGGCGGACTGTTCGTCGGGGTACAGTGCCCGGTACAGTGCACAAATAGTTCGCACACATCCGACGTTGCTCCGTTTCCAGCATCACCGGTAACTACGGACTTGTCACGCGTGAAATTCTTGTCTCGCAGTTTCTTGCTGATGCCGCGATTCCTGGCCGCCCGGTCTGGCCTGTATCGGCCGCTGTGTTGGTACGGCGCCGTTGCAGTCTGTGCACTCTCTACATTGGTATTTTTTTAATCCATCTTATGCCGTCGTCCTTGCTGTTGCCTGTCCGCGTCAACTATTGACTGCAACGTTCAAAAGTGCCCGTTGAACAACGATATCGAGTCGAGGTTCGCGCCGATCCGGCTGGTTTTCTGAACTAACAAAAGAAAAGGCGGAGGGGACGGGTTGCAAGAGCTTTGGGAGCGGCGGCTGGCCAATTGACGGATTCCAACGACGTACGGGGGCTCAGCCATGTCGACATGCCTGGTGTGGCAACCCTGCGGCCTTGGTCTTGTGCCCTTGCGGAGGCGAGCGGCGCTTTTGACCCGAAGCTTGCCCTTTGGACGCGTCGATGGGACGAGAGCGCTGCTGATGAGCCGCCTGGTGTCGGATTTGGCCTCGTGCTCGAGGGCGCCGGGCGTGGCGGGTGCTTCGAGGGGAGCTCTGTCGAGGCCGAGACAGCCGCCTGTCTTTGGCTCTGTGTTTGCGAGGTACGTCTACTACATGGATCCGTGGGCAGCGTGACGGCGGGCGCCTTCTTCCGTTCAATATGGGGATGCATATCATCACGGCGACGTCGGAGCGGCACGGCAAATTCCTGTCAGTCCGCGGGATAATGTCCCTCCCCCCCACTTCTCCTCATCCCTGCCCCTGATTGGGCGATTGGATTTCTGCACTGTGGCCCCCGCTCTCAGAGTCCCTTGTCCGGTGTCACCACCATCACGGCGTCAAGTTGGCGAGGGGCAGAGCTCGGCGGAACAAAACGGTTCGTGACAACAGCTTTTGCTTGCGTACTTGCAACGCCAGTAACTACCCACCTTGCTGCCTTGGCTGCTTGTCACGGCCTTCTGCGGTCCTACGTATTTGGCATAGTCCTGTGAGACGAGGAATTCTGGGTCCAAGCTCCCACGTCCCTCGCGCCAGCTTCACACGCCACCGACGCTTCGTCTCTTGCCATTCCGGATCAGCTTGAAGCTGACCTTTTCAATCTCCCCAGTCTCTGTTACCAGAAGCGAGCTAGACCCTGCTCTGCCCAGGCTAGAGCGAGAAATCCTGCAAAGATGGCTGACCGCGAGATCCTGCCCGACAACCTGAAGCCCGTCCACTACAATGTGTCTCTGCGTGACCTCGAATTCAAGAACTGGACTTACCAGGGCACGGTGACGTACGCCTGGGCTTCCCGTGCTTCGAGCTTCTCAGCATCTTCTGCCAGCTAACAACTTCCGCAGCATCGATTCCGAGATCGTCAAGCCCACCAAGGAGATTATACTCAACACCCTCGAGGTCAACATCACCAGCGCCAAGGTCGTGGTTGACCAGACCAAGTCTCCCCAAGCCTTCCAGTCCACCAACGTCAGCTACGATGAACGTGCCCAGCGCGCCACCATCGTCTTTGATCAGGTGCTCCCCGTTTCTAAGAAGGCCTCTGTTGTCATCGACTTTCAGGGCATCATGAACAACGAGATGGCCGGCTTCTACCGCTCAAAGTATAAGCCCGCCGTCACTCCCTCCAAGTCGGTGCCTCGTGACGACGAGTGGCACTACATGTTCAGTACTCAGTTTGAGTCTTGCGACGCGCGACGTGCTTTCCCCTGCTTTGATGAACCCAACCTGAAGGCCACTTTTGACTTTGAGATTGAAGTACCCGCCGATCAGGTTGCACTCAGCAACATGCCTGTCAAGGAGACCAAGCCTACCAAGGATGGATGGAACATGGTTTCATTCGAGACGTCTCCCGTCATGAGCACATATCTGCTGGCATGGGCTGTTGGTGACTTTGAGTACATTGAGCAGCTCACCGACCGCCGCTACAATGGCAAGCAAATTCCCGTCCGTGTCTATACCACGCGAGGGCTCAAGGAACAAGGACGCTGGGCCCTGTGGCATGCCCCCAAGGTCATCGACTTCTACTCCGAGATCTTCGACATCGACTACCCGCTCCCCAAGTCTGATCTTCTGGCTGTCCATGAGTTCACCCATGGTGCCATGGAGAATTGGGGTCTCGTCACCTACCGTACAACCCAGGTTCTCTTCGACGAGAAGACCTCAGATGCTCGCTTCAAGAACGCCGTCGCCTACGTTGTTGCTCACGAACTTGCTCACCAGTGGTTCGGCAATCTGGTCACCATGGATTGGTGGGATGAGCTGTGGTTGAACGAGGGTTTTGCCACCTGGGTCGGTTGGCATGCCGTTGACCACCTGCACCCCGAATGGCAGGTCTGGGCCCAGTTCGTCAATGAGGGCATGGAGGCTGCTTTCCGTCTCGATGGCATCCGTGCCAGCCATCCCATCCACGTCCCTGTGCGCGATGCCCTCGATGTCAACCAAATCTTCGACTCCATCAGCTACCTCAAGGGCTGCTCAGCAATTCGCATGCTGGCCAACCATCTCGGCGTCAAAACCTTCCTCGAGGGCGTTTCCAACTACCTCAAGGCCCACGCTTACGGCAATGCCAAGACCAAAGCTCTGTGGGATTCTCTGAGCGAGGCTTCTGGCAAGGACGTCAACGCTCTCATGGGACCCTGGATCTCCCAGATTGGACACCCCGTGGTGACGGTTGCCGAGGAGCCCGGCCAAATCTCCATCAAGCAGTCTCGCTTCCTTTCCACCGGCGACGTCAAGCCCGAGGATGACACCACAACGTGGTGGGTCCCTCTTGGTCTCGAGGGCAAGAAGGGAGAAACTGGTGTCAGCGCCATGTCTCTTCTCCAGAAGGAGGAGACTATCCGCGACATCGATGACGAGTACTACAAGCTGAACAGCGGTGCCACTGGTTTCTACCGTGTCAACTACCCCCCTGCCCGCCTCGCCAAGTTCAGCACCCAGCTCGACAAACTGAGCACCGAGGACAAGATTGCTATTATTGGTTCCACTGCGGATTTGGCCTTTGCGGGTAACAGCACGACCGCCGCTTTACTTGGCTTTCTCGAGGGCTTTAGCCAGGAGACCCACCCTCTTGTCTGGAGTCAGGTCCTTGACTCTATTGGCTCTGTCAAGTCAGTCTTTAACGAGGACAAAGAGATCAAGAAGGGCCTGGAGAACTTTGCTCTGAAGCTCATCTCCGACAAGGTCAAGGAAGTCGGTTGGGATGCCGCTGAAAATGAAGAATATCTGACCACCATGTTGCGCAAGCGCCTCATCTATACTGCCGTTGCCAGCGGGCACGCCGAGTGAGTAGATTTTTTTGATTCCCTCCCCCCCCTCCCTCTATTTTTTCCTTTTAACAATACACTTCGTTGGCAGTGCCACTACTAATGCTTTTGCAGGACCGAGAACGAAGCCCTGCGGCGTTTCAATGCCTGGCACGAAAATGCCGAGGCCAACCCTCTCCCGCCATCTGTGCGACTTCCCCTGTGGCGTGCGGCCGTCAAGAAGGAAACGGCCCGTGCAGTCGAGATTCTCAAAAACGAGTGGTTCAACACCAAGTCGATTGATGGAAAAATGATTTGCTTGAATGCTCTCTCGGCGGCCGAGGATGAGCAGATCCTGAGGGAGCAAATCGTCCCGTTCAACTTCAACCGTTCCCCGCCCAGCAACGCCGTCAACGCCGCTGACATGCACGTGCTCGGGGCAGGCCTGGCCGGCAACCCCGTCGGCCGCCAGGTGCAGTGGGCTTTCATGAAGGGCAACTGGGATGCGTGCGTGGCGAAGCTCGGCAACCCCATCGTGGTCGACCGATTCGTCCGCGTCAGTCTGGGGGGGTTCACCGATGTCTCTGCCGTGGACGACATCGAGCAGTTCTTCAAGGACAAGGACACCAAGAGCTTCGACCGAACTCTGGAGACGGTCAAGGACAAGATTCGCGGCCGCGCCGCGTACAAGCGGCGCGATGGTGCCGCGCTGAAGGAGTGGCTCACCGCGAACAAGTATTTGTGAAGAGAAAAGTGGTAGCGGCCGGTTGGCACGCGATGAGAATTACGTGGCGGGAAGAAGGTGACCAGGCATGATGCCATGATGGCTGCTTGTTCGTGAGACTGGCTGGATGCTGAAATACAAAGCGATATATTGAAGCATTGCCTGCTGCGTGAAATGGTCCGCCGCGGGCGGTTTGGCCCCATGATTGATGATTTCCAGAACCGATACTTACATACCAACTGTAGCCCGCTTGGTGAGCAGCAGTTGAAACGGCCACACGAGGCTGCCGGTTGCCAGGTCGAGGTACACTCTATTGCATCCCTATATACCTATTCACCTTGGTCGTCGGTAGAGACGAATATCAACAGAAAGCAGGCCAAGTATGACGGAGGCTCACAGGCTGACGCCGGATCCTGGAGGCTTGGACGCAGCCGCGCGCACTCTGTACACAATCGAGCTCCTGGACGTTGAGCTGATGAAACCTGCAGGGGTGCCGTGTATGCCAACGATTGCTGCGCTCGCTTACCTTGTTTCAAGTATAGCTGTAGGAGGGATATATATATATAAGCTTCTAGAGCATCGACCTGTCTGCCCGAGGGGAACGTGACAAGAAGCATAGGCGCTGGCCGACCAGGGTTACGCTCCGGCCCTTCTGGAATGGACGCTTGATTGGCTCACGATGCTGGCGAAACTTCCCGGACCTGAGTTATACACCTCTCTCGTATTGGGCCCGTCCGGTGCCAAGGGGCAGTATGGCCGTTGGCACGGGGCGGCCTCGACGCCTCGACGCCTCGACGCCTCGACGCCTGTGTCATGTTGGCTCCATTGTCCTGCCGCGCCTGAGCGGCGGCTGCTGGTACGCACATCACGGGGCGAGGGTGTTCCTCGCACGACGGCGAGCCTCCGGCGAGGTGCAGCTCCTGGTGGGAGCCGAGAATGCGAGTCCACACAGCGGGCAGCTTGGACGTTGGGCGCCGCCCTGGCAGCGAGCAGCACGCCCGTGAGCAGCAACGGCGCGGTCGGGTCGGCCTCTCGTAGACAAAGCGGCCGACAGACAGGGTGCTAAAAGACGCCCGCATCGTGGCACCTCTCTGTTTCCACGTTAATGTTACGTCAACAGAGGCCCCGGGCAAGGGCACATGGGGTGGGAGGAGCCGTGTTGGAAGGGCCAAGGTGGCCGCGGCCTAAGAGTTCGGGTTAGAGGACGGGAAGAGATCAAGGAAAAACACGCGGGTACTGTAGTTTGATGGGAAAGGAGGAATCGGCAGACGCGGGATGGACCTGTGTGTGTCCGGGGCTGCAATAGGCCCGACTTGACTCTTGCCGCCTTTGATAGCGGACGCTCCTTGGATGACGAGACGAGACACGAGCTGGAAGAAGCGTCGCCAACTTGCCGGCGAAACTTTACTGTCTGCTGAGCGGGATGAACGCAGAGTGAGCGCGGCCGACGGGATAGATGGTGAAGCTGCTGCCCCCGGTGCCTGTGCCCGCGCCACCGCTGACCGGTAGTCGTCCGGCACTCGCCGTTTACCCGCGGACAGCGTGTCCAGAACGATCAGACAGATGTGCCGGGCAGTGAGGGCAGTGAGGCGGAATCCGAGGGTCGCAGGGCGACATTTTCGCCGTGCTTGCGGTTGAGATTGGGGCTGCTGCTTCCTTGTTCCTGCTTCCTGCTTCCTGCTTCCTGAGGGGGTAGTTGATGCTCCGCAGCACTAGCCCTGAACACCCGAGCATGCCAGGGCGGTAGATAACTAGGGGACTCGGCAGTGAGGGCGGTCGGGACGGCACTGTTTTCAGGGTCCCGCGCCACGTCTATGGTTCATGCGTCACGGTCATCGGGGGACTCGTCCACTCACCCGGCGAGAAGCGAAAGAGGCTTGCCAGTAACGCACGAGGGCAGAGCGGTGCGGCGCTTCACGCGGACTCGGGGCCCGTCTCGTCGGCACGCCGTGACGGTGGTGAGCAGATGCCGGCCAGAACCTGTTACGGACGGAATGGCAGGGCCGCCGCCGCCGCCGCCGCCGCATGGGGGGCCACGAACAAGCCTTCGTTGTCCCGGGAGGCAATCTGCAAAACGGACACGAGGATCCGCCGCGTCGCTTAGAAGAGAGTGCCAAGAGACGCAGGGGAGGGAATCGTGCGAGCAGAGGTTTGGAACGGCGCAAATGGCCTGATTGCCGTGGCTTGCCATGGGTGAGCCAGGCGTAGGGAAACGACAGCACCTCGATTTCTCTGCAGAAGCGAGCAAATTGGACCTTGGAGATTCTGACGTTGCGCGCGCATGGCGACTGTGAGGGCAGCATCAGAGCGCTGGGGTGAGGGCGAGGGTTAGGGTCACGGCAGCCCTCGGTGCCTGGTGCGAAGCCGCGTCCCGAGACTCGGTTCGCCCGGACGTACGGACGGACTGCGGACTGTGGACCACCCGGAGGACGGAGTGGCTGCTGGGTGGTGGCCGATCTGCAAGAGGCAAACGCCTCGTCGGCAACTCCGCGGGACCCACCCTCGCGGCCAGCGGCGATCCTTGCTGGCGACGGGACAACATCGGATGCCGGCCAGGGCTAGTGTTAGTGTCAGGCCTTGTCCTACACCGCGACATGTTTCTGGAAGTTGTCAGTGCCGCTCGTCTATTCCAGGCGGCCGCGGCCCTTGTCCTGCTTGGCTGCAGATCAGGCGCGCCAGCAGGTCAACGGCGTGCTGGGAGAGTCCGTGCTGTTGGCTTCGGCTGTGGCAGCGCAGCAGGCGCGCAAAGGGGCCTGTTCCCACGTGGTTGGTTGGTAGACACGACATGACACGGCTTGACTTGACTTGACTTGACTGGGCTCGCTCGTGGAAACGAAGGAGCAACAAGGTTCCACGAGCCGGGTGGGATTTCCGGGCAATTGCCGTGGGTACGTACGTACTCCGTACTCGTCGGACCGTGGACGCATGCATGGCCTGGCCTCGGCGGTCGGCGACGCGTTTCAGCGGACAAGCGTTGTCTCGGCAGTGTTTGTGAGTTATGAGTGCGCGAGTCATGTCGTGTGCGCGAGGCTCTCGAGTCTTGGGGGGGGGGGGGGAAAGGCAATACGTACATATTGAAGAGCCAAGGAAAGAAACGAAACAAGAATGACGAGTCGACGGGCAATTGACAGGCAATTCCCGCCACGGGATTGCACCCAATTTGCCGTGTTGCAGCCGGGCGCAAGACGACAAGATGATGGCTCCGCCCTAGTCAAGGCCAGGCGCCGGCTCATGCTCAGACTGTGGCTGCGTCCAAGGCCAGGCTAAACCGTCTAGTCTTCAACACCCTGGAGTTGCTCTATTCTGCCGAGGCTGGATGCTTCCTGGAAATGGAAATCACCTGTCCTGTCGCGAGTCGAGACGAAACAAGCCGAACAAGCGCCAAGCACACATGTAGTTACGGGTCGCCCAGAGGCCCTGGCGCCTCGCGAAGCTCAATAGGGCTGGGTTCGTTGGGTCTCAGGCCGGATTGGTTTTCCATCGACAGGGTCAAGGTGGCGAGCTGCCACGCCGCCAGAGTCAAGAGTCTCTACACTCTCTGCTCCGTAGGCCCGGCAGCGTTGGCGCCGTCGCCGCATTGAGTCCAAGTGCCATGCTCCCTGCAAGCCTGCATGAAACCCTGGGAAGAGATAGATTGCAACCAGAGAGCAGCCAATGGTCGTTTGGTCAAGTCCGGTGGCTAGCACTCCGCGCCGTGCTTTTGCTTTGCGGCCGTGAATCGTGGATGCTGTCATTGCATCGCCGTCAGGCACGCCGGTAGCGCGGCTGGAATAAGACTTCTTTGTGCCTTCCATCTGCATTCCTTGGGCGACTTTTAATCATCACCGTCTCTATCTCCTCAACCTCGCACGAAACCAACCGTCTTCTCGTGTCTCGAGACTCTTGACCGACCTCCACGCCAGACAGAAAGACATCCATGATCTGGGCAAAGGCATAATGTCATGATGGACCAGCAACTCGATTTCTCGACGCTCAACAAGTCGTTGGTCATCAAGGCAGCCACCTTGTTCCTCATGATCGTGGGACTGTTGGCTTGCATCACGCGCATTTCCATGAAGTGGTTCACCGTCAGGAGCTTGGGTCTGGACGATCAACTTGCCGTTGGAGCCACGGTAGGCGCGCCTTTCCCTTTTGCTTTTCTCTTTTCCTCGTCTCCTTCCGGCTTTGTTTCCAATGCCGGCCCGGCCGAGTCCGTCGCGTCGCATTGTGCTGACCAATACCCGTCGTCATCACCCAACAGTGCTTGGCCGTTGCGCAGTCCATCGTCGTCGTCGAAGCAACATCCAACGGACTCGGCAAGCACGTGGGCGGACTGCAAGCTGGGCAGATTGACCATGTTCTCAAGGTAGGCAGACAACTTTAGGAAGACGAGTGCCGTTCCCGTGCCCGGGGCTTCAGCTTGACATACATGCACGCCATGGCTCACCAACACACCAACAGTCCGAGTATGCCGCGCACGTCATTTTCATTGCCAGTCTGACGCTGGCCAAACTATCCGCCATCACGACGCTCTGGGCGCTCGCGCCGCTCTACCACCGACGCACCGTCGTCATCACCAGCTCTCTCGTCGTCGCCTGGACTCTTTCGTCCATCCTCCCGGCCCTGCTGCAGTGCCAGATGCCCAGGCCGTGGGACTACATCTCCGGCCAGTGCTTCCAGCGGGTATGCGAATCGCCCACGGCAGAACCGGAACCAGGCCCCGATTCACGTCCAACATGAGGCGCCCGCTGACGACTTGTACGTAGGCTGCGTTTTGGATGTACGTGTCCGTCGGCAACATCGTGACCGACGTCGCCATCGTCGTCATCATGACCACCATCTTCGTCAACCTTCAGCTGCCCCTGTCCAAGAAGCTGCTGGTGGGAGGGATATTCGGGAGCCGCATCCTGTGAGTCGCAACGCAAACGAGCGCGAGGCCGCCTTGCGCAAAGCAAGCAAAAAAGAGCAAAGGGGGGCCTGTCAGAGCGGGCGTGCGCTGCTAACGAGTGTTCCGTCCATCGGATTCCAGAGTCACACCCGCAATCATCGGCCACATTTCGACGTGGCACGAGGCAATCACGAACCCAGGCGACGCAACGTTCCGCATGGTGATGCCGACAATCTTGGCCGAGCTGGTGCAGTGCCTGAGCATACTGACGGCCTGCCTGCCCTACCTGAAGCCGTTTCTCGACAGCTTCCAGTCCGGGGCCATGGTCGTCGTGGACGCCACGTCTCAGAACGCAAGAAGCAAAGGCAGCAAGGCGGGAACGGCCACGTCTGCGGCCTACGGCGGCAACAGCAAAAACGACACGAGCACCTCCAACAACAACAACAACCACATCAACCACAACAACATGAACAACATGAACAACATCAACCAGCACCATCACAGCCAGAGCCACAGCCAAAGCCGAAGCCATGGCCACAGCTACAGCAACAGCAGCGGCCACGGGCGGGCCGCCTCGGGCGTGACGACGCCGCGCGGCCACCCGGACGAGTTTGAGCTCGCCGATATGCCCTCGTCCAAGACGGCCACGACGGTGACGGCCAACCAAGGGATGATGGATGCGGCCATGGAGGCCTGGGACGGCCAGAGCCATACGAGCCAGACGGTGCTTGTGCAGCAGTCATGGCAGGTGGACATTGAGCACAACTTGCCCGCGCGAGGAAACGGCAGACGGGTGTAGGGTTTTTTTTTTGGTCTAATTTACATCAATGCGCGCTGCTTGGCTCTCGTCTCGGTGTTTTTCATTCTCTCCCTTTGCTTCGGCGCGGGACATGGACTCGGTGAATGGCCGGCAGTAGAAACCCGACGGATATTCGACTCGGGAGGTTCGTAAGGCCGCGCCACGGCCACGGCCACGGCCACGGGGCGAACGAATTGACGTAGGCGCCGCTGCACTCCGCAGCGGCCTTGATTAGCGTCGAGGCCAGCGTGTCGATCTTGGGTGCATGGTGCATGGTGCATGGTCGCGGACGGAGGGGAAGGGGGGGGGGTGCGTAGATCTGACGGTGGGGATGACTGATGACTCGGGGGCATCAGTCTTCTCCCTCATTTTATTTTTCCAAGTTGGCCATTCGCACATTTGCCACGACCCGGCCCCGCCGCCCGCCGCACGAGTGGAGCGGGCAGGTGGTGCAACTCTCCCCCGCCTTGCGCCTTCCGCCGCGTCGACGCCAAGCCCACCAAGATCCAACCCCTGCGCCCTGATTCTGCGAAACAACTTCGAATCCAAGGTTGAAACGTGGAAGCCCACGCATGCGACAGGCCCCCGTCGACGACAACTGCCAACCGCAAACCGTCCCGTCGCCGCTACCAAAATAAGGAAGTCCCGGCTCGCTTCCTGGTCCTTGCTGGTGGTCTCATGCATCATGCGCGCCAATGCGGCTCGCGCCATGAACCCTGGATTCGACCATACTCGATCCATCCTCGTCGTGCACCTGGCCCATCCCAGCCAGATCCCCAGAACTGTCCAACGTTGGCCGGCCCTTCTCGATTGGCCGGCGCGGCGCTCTCCTGGTCCGGATTGCCGTTGACTCTGGATAAGAAGAAGAGGCTCGGGCTGGCTCCTTGACCACGCCGTCGTCGTCGTCGTCGTCGTCAGTCAGTCAGTCAGTCAACAACCGCAAACACCACCGCCGGCACCGCCATCATCGTCACCGCCCTCATCGCCCGCCATCTATAAACGAGTGCTCCTTCTCTCCGCCCCCCTCCGTCCGTCTACTCTCTCTCTTTGCCAACCACGCACTCACTCACCCCATGCCACAATGGCCGCGCATCCAGACGCCTACGACCTCGACGACATGTCGGGAAGCAAGACTGCTTCCGCTGTCCTCAGTCACGCTTCCCAGAATGACTACCAGGACCGTGATCAACTGGCACGACTAGGCAAGAAGTCGGTCCTCAGGGTACGCGCCACACCATGACATGACAGTCCATCTCGACTTGTCCAAAACCTGGCTCTCGGAGCGTCTGGCTGATTCCTCCTCTCTTCTCCTTTACTAGCGTAACTTTGGCTTCCTGTCCACCGTCGGCTTCAGCTGTGCCGTCCTCATCACCTGGGAGGGAACGTTGATGAGCTTTGCGCCCGGCCTTCTCAACGGCGGTTCCGCGGGCCTCATCTGGAGCTTCCTCATCGTCTGGCTGTGCAACCTGAGCGTCTTTGCCACCCTGTCGGAGCTGCTCTCCATCGCTCCCACCTCTGGTGGCCAGTATCACTGGGTGGCCATGCTGGCGCCGCGGTCGTGCTCCAAGTTCCTCAGCTACATCACCGCCTGGTTGACCATTGGCGGCTGGCAAGGCGCCTGTGCTTCTGTCGGATTCCTCACCGGAACCATGATTCAGGGTCTGGTAATCTTCACCATTCCCTCCTACGAGCCCCAGCCGTACCAGGGCACCCTCTTGCTCTGGATCGTCGTCTTCCTCGCCGTCCTCTGCAACACCGTCCTGAGCGCCCACCTGCCCAAGCTCGAGGGCATGCTGCTCATCGTGCACATTCTGGGCTTCTTTGCCATCATAATCCCCCTCGGTATATTTGGCACGCACGGCGATGCCAGCACTGTCTTTACCACCTTTCACAATGGCGGCAACTGGTCGACCCAGGTCTTGTCAAGCTTTGTCGGAGTTGTAGGCGTCGTGTTCTCATTCGCAGGTGCGTTTTTTTTTTCTTCGTCTCGCATCTTTATATTGCTTTTCTCCTCCCCCCCAGCCATGTTGTTTGCCCCAGTACGCTCTGCTAACCAAGACGCTCTCTCTGTGACTTTCTAGGCGTTGACTGCACTTTCCATGTAAGTCTTCTTCTTCTGCAACTGTGTGACCGTGGCCCTGCCGGCCTCGGGGGGGTTTTTTTTTTCACCACTCGTCGCCGAGCTAACACGACCGACACAGATGTGCGAGGAAGTCCGGAACCCGTCGGTTGTAGTTCCGCGCTCCATCATGATCAGCACCTTGATCAACGGCTCCCTCGGTCTCGCCATCATCATTGCCATGGCTTTTTGCAATACTGATATCGAGGCGGCCCTGGCATCTTCCACGGGGTATCCCTTTATAGAAATCTTCTACCAGACTCTTGCCTCGCGGGCTGCGACCACTGCCCTGGCCTCCATCATCGTCTTCATGACGCTGGCCTCGGTCATTGGTGTCATTGCCACCACGTCGCGAATGTTCTGGGCCTTTGCCCGAGACCGTGGCCTGCCCTTTTGGCGAACCCTGTCAAAGGTACGCGGCCCTTGGGAGGAACCCTTGGAGCCGGCCTGATGTCCTCTGAAAACTAACTCATTTCATCTGTCCAGGTGGACTCCACCACGTGTGTCCCGGTTTGGGCCATCGCCACCACCAGCACCATTTCCTGCCTCCTCGGGCTCATCAACATTGGTTCAAAGGTCGCCTACAACGCCCTCGTCTCTCTGTCCATCTCCTCTCTGTACGGGTCGTACCTGGTGGCCGCCTCCCTGCTGCTCTATCGTCGTTGCACCAAAGGCTTCCGCATGCCCGACGCGTCTACACTGCCGGCTTTGGCCGAGACCTCGGGCCGGAAGCTGGTCTGGGGTTCGTGGCGTCTCCACGGCGCGTGGGGAATCGCCAACAACGCCGTCAGCTGCATCTACCTGACCACAGTCTTGTTCTTCAGCTTCTGGCCGCCATCCTCCACAGTCACGCCAGAGACCATGAACTTTAGTGTGCTGATAACGGGGTCTCTGGTCATATTCAGCATTGTGTATTATCTAGTCTGGGCCAAGAAGGACTACAAGGGCCCCATCCTAGAAACCTAGGCGGCCAGCTGCAGGAAAACGAAACAAGACAAAACAAGAGAAAAGGAAATGCGCGTCAGAGTTTGGCGCGCGCCTTGGAGGCGGCGGAGGAGGAGGAGTCCACCACGCCAGCCGAGAGGAGCCGCACGAGGTCCTCGCTGCATCTGAGCGTGAAGAAAAGTATCCCCTAGACAAGACAGGTGAAAACCTACATGTAAAACGAAACGTCGTCTTTTGAGCAGCCCGCAGCAGGCAGGCGGCGTCTCATCAGCCAATTCAAAGCCGTTGAAGAAAAGACGTGCCCGCGGCACAGACGGCTCGCTATTTTGTCCCCTTCAGGTCCCTGGTTAGTTATTTCGGTGACGAGTGACGTGATGATCTGCACATGTGTAAGCTTGTCCCGTTGAGCTGTGCTGCCAGCAGCTGGTGCGTCTTGGAACAATTGGATGTTTCTGCATGTACAGTGGCATTCATACATGAACAAGGCTGGGGCCCGGGCCGTGCCGTTTTTTCCTCCTTCGCACAGCCCTTCTTCTGCCCGCACAAAGCACGGGGGAGACGACAACGCGCGTGCGATGTGCCGGTTGTTCCCGAAACGGGCCATGTCCGAAAGCCAGAGAGAGCGACCAGGCAACGGACACTCCGGTCAGCTTACAGTCGCATCCCACGACCGCGACGCCCGGCACGCAAGTGCTGAACAAGAGGGAAAAGGCACGAGAAGTCGTCGAGTCGAGGCCGTCGAGGCCGCCGAGGTCGTCTCTTCCACGCTCAACTTCCAAACCCCCGCCCGACCGAAATCCACAAGGCAGCAGTCGACCGGCGCCTCGCTCTTGGCGCCGAGCCCCGAAAGAAGCAAGCAAGCACGCCGCGCACGGAGCGCGAGCCGCCGGCCATGGCCCGGCCGTCGTCGCGGCTCGCCGAGACGCTGCTCGGCATTTGGCAGCTGGTGTTTTCTGCCGTCGTCGTGGCCGTGCCCGTCGTGGCGTGGCTCGTCCAGGGCGAGGTCATCAGGACGCCGAAGTGGGCGCGCGATTGGAGCGGCGAGACGGCAGAGGTGCGGCGCGAGTACGCCGCCGCCCTGATGACGCCCGTGTGTGTCGTCTTTGCCGTGCTGGGCGTCACGGCTGTCGTCCAGATGAGGAGGGGAGACGGGAGGCTGGTCTGATTATCGTGGGCGTCACGGCCGTCGTCCAGATGAGGAGGGGAGATGGAGGCTGGTCTGATTCTCACTGTCTGGCTGGCTTTGCCTGTGCAAGTCTGACGCGGACGAGATGTGAGATGTGGTCTCGCTCGTCATCGGGTCTCGCTTCGTGGACACAAGTCGTTGAGCGGCTCGCATGACAAGAAGCGGCCTTGCAGGGTTTCGCGACCACGGAGGGACTGTTGCGGGTCGGAGTGCTGGTTGAGGCATCACGACCGCCGCTCTGCAGAGGACCTTTGTATGCTTGGCAGGGATATAACTATCATGTAACTACGTACTCCGTAATGCCCGTCCGAAAGGCAAGGCCACCGAGTGTTTGGTCCTGTCCGACGTCTGCCGACCGCCTCCATCCCGAGGTGAGTGGTCCACGGTCGACACATCACCTTGCCCTGGCGCAGTGCTACAGACTTTTGGCTTTATCAAACGACCGCAATACAATGCAGATGGCCGGCTCAGAGTTGGCCATGAACCAGAGGATCTACCGGGTGACCCAGACGGAAACTTCAACACTGTTCCGACTCTCACCCGGGACCGAGACGCGTTTCGTAACCAAGTAGCTGAACATGCGGGGAGCCAAGCACGAAGCCTTGCCGAACTTGAGGAGCGGAAAAGCCAGCGACGAGAAGGACCAAGGAATTCTCGAACAAAGACTTGCTGCGTTTACAATTACAGGCTTTGGTGGACTTCTCGACCCCCAACTACAGGCATTCGTTTGTCTCCGTGACTCTGCAAGTTCCGACAGTCTGGACTCTCCACGAGCGATGCATCCGACGACATCACGGGCATCGATGCTGCACCAAGTTGCAGGAGACTGGCAGCCAAGCCGCCAGAGCTTGGGCAGCTTCATTTCACTACTCCGACGGCACCATCAGTCCCTGATTGGCGTACTTTTACGCATCTGGCGCCGTAGCCACGTTTGGACTTTCGTTACAAAAGCGACGTCAACACAGGCGGCCTGCACCGGCGACTCTTGCCAGTCCCTGGCACTTCCACCCAAAAGGGGATACATTTCGAGCCGCGACGGTGCGCAGCTCGTCTCAAACAACTGCTGCCGCGAGGCGTATATACATGGGTAGGCAGTCCGTGAATTCGACCCTGCAAGACGGGCCCCCAAAGCTACCAAGTACGCAACTCTATCGTGGCAAGCGTACGATCCGTCATGCCCTATAGTACGCCGCCGCTCATGCAAGTGACCGCTCTTCTGATAAAGTCGGCAACCTTGTTGGCACCGGGCTGCTTCAGCATGTTGAAGTGGTGCGACCCCTCAACAACATCGACGGTAATGCTGGCCGGGCCGACGAGTTCGTCCCAGCCATTCGCGTCGAGCCTCGCTCGTCTGTGCAACAGCCAGAGCATATTGTCGGGATCGTCTGGCCAAATTTCAATCAGGCCGTCCTCATCCACGCCGTTCCTCGCCCAGAGGGCCCATGTCGGCAGGGACTTTGTCGACTCCCAGACCCGAGGCTTGTAGGTGCTCAGGATGCCGGCAAACAATACGAAGTGCGCAAGCAGCCAGGACGGGGGCCTCTGGCCGTCTGACCCGAAGACGTTGAGCTTGTCGAGCTCGCCGTACAGCCTTGGAGGCAGCTCCCTGAGCCCAATGGGCCTCGGGCTGTCCAGCAAGATGAGTCCGTCTACGGATTCTCCGTCGGCAACGAGGCGCTGGGCGGCGTCGTATGCGCTGATGCCGCCCGCGGACCAGCCGCCTACAATGTACGGCCCTGCCGGTTGGCGCCTGCGCATCTCCGTGAGATACGCAGTCGTCAGCTCTTCAAACTGGCACGGCTTGCTGTCGCCATGTCTGACGTAGGGGCTGCTGAGACCGTAGACGGCCACCTTTGCCGCGTCGACGTCTGGGATCGGTAGGTACGACGTAGCCGAGCCGGATCCGTCTGGGAACAGCCACACCCTCCTCGAACAGGTCAACGGGCTTCCCTGCAGGAGCCCTGAAGTGGCCGGCGGTACCTGAGTTGGTTGCCGGGGTAGTGTCGGAGCCGGAGCGACGATGCCTACTACAAGAAATATCAGTCACTTTTTGCCCATCGGAATGTTGAGTCATGGGTTGGGAAAATAATGCAGACGTACGGGGCAAGGTTTGCTTATCTTCGTCGTTCGGGTCTTCGATGTGGGAATACTCGTCCGAGTCAATGGACAGAGAGAACAGCGCCGCTTCCACCCCTCGGGACAGACGGGCGTCGCCACGATCCAGCTCCCGCGTCGTTGGCGGAGGAGTCACGGGCGGAGTTGAGTCTGAGGAGGGCGTTGAAGAGCCGGATACAAGCTGAATAAACTCCCCCACCGTTGTGCAGGCGATGAAAGCCGCCGAGTCGACCTTTACATGGACTTCTTCCAGCATTCGGTCCGAGATGGTCAGCACGAGCAGAGAGTCGACTCCCAGCTCGTCGAGTTTTGCTTCATCCTGCACATCAGAGACGGCGGCCCCAACCTCCTCTGCGATTATGGCTCTGATCCTGTCGGCAGACACATCGTCTTTATGCGACGGCAGCAGCACGGGCAGCTCCGTCGGCTGTTCCAGACCAGACTCTGGACCCTGGCTCTCATGGACAGGCTTTGAAAGAAGGACGGTTCTGGACGTGTCGGCATTTGTCTTGGGCTTCGGCAGCACCTTGTCGAGCACACTTCTCTGTACTGCCGAGAAAGCCACTCCCTCGTACACGGCAACGATATCGCCAACTCCCTCATTGAAAATGTACACATCCCCAACGTATGTGCTCTTGTCCCTTTGCCGCATCTTGAGATACGTCGTGTACGTCACGTCTTCGGAAAGCGGCTCTATGAGCTTCATGCTTTCCCATCCGTGGTTGATAAACACCTGGTTCTTGGAGTCCACTTCGTCGTTGGCGTTCATCGTGAAACCCGTGATTTGACCCAAACTGTCGAGCCAGTACGGAGGCGTCATCCACTTGTCAGCGGTTCCGGGCGGCGTGGCGAACTTGACCTTGGCCGACGACTCCAGTTCCGCCGAATGCATGACGAGTTCGCGACATCCTTTGAACGACGGGTGGTAGTCGACGAGAGCGCTGAACAGCTTGTAAAACATGCCCGTCTTGATCAGATGGACCGACCCCGAGTTGTCATGAATCGACCGTCGAAGATGGTCGACCCTGGCCTTGACGAGGAAATCACGTCGTTGATACTCCCTTCTCCACTGACTCTTTTCCACAAAGGACCCGGTGCACTTTGCGTGGTGTGAAACCTCTGCTCCGGTTCCGGGGATGCTACAAATGGTAAACGTGGCCCGTCTCGTCGACCACTGTGCTGAAGCCTTCATCTCCACGAGCTGTGACGGGTCGTCATTGAGTATGAGGGCCTTGTCGGCAACCATGTTTGAGACGTCGATGCCAATGTCGGACTTGTCGAAGCGCACGGCAGAATGCTCGAGGAGTCGGGTGAATAGGGTCAAGGCCATGTCCGCGTACACGGCCGACGAGCATACTGGCCGGCCATTCACCCTGTGCGCCAGTAGCACTTCCCGGAAGTCGGGATGCTGAACGTCAGACCGTGCCGTGATGCAGGCCTCGTCACCAGTGTATTTCTCCGATATAATGTCCTGCACCGATGTCGTGAACGGCCCATGCCGAAAATCAGGCCGAGTATGCGCCAGCAACTGGGGTTCAGGCGGCGCATCGCCCTTTGTCAAGCACCAGTCGTGGACATATGGGATCCAATGGCTCTTCAACTCCCATTGATACGAGGGGAGGCACAGAACCTGCTTGTTCTTCGTCAAGCCGCCGTGATACTCATCCCAGTTGATGGAAAGCCCTGAGCAGTACAGACTCGTCAATGTCGACGTAAACACTTTCCAGTCATCCTCATCACGCCGCAGCGTGGGGAGCGACTTGGCCAACGACCCCAGAGCGGACTTGAGCATGTTGCCGCAGACTGGGTGTGGCCCGACTTCTACCCAGACCGTCTTGTCGGAGATGACCCCCGAGTCTGCTGCAGAAAGCAAACTGTTGTGAAAGTTGACCGTTTCGCGGCAGTGGCGGGTCAGGTAGTCGGCGGGAAACCCGAAATCGGCAACGTCACTGATTGTTTTCCCCAAGAGAGGTGACAACAACGGAACAGCTGGGTCCTTGAAAACCACAGAGGCGCAGCTTTGTCTGAAGCTCGCTAGCATCGATTCCACTTGAGCAGAGTGAAAGGCAAACTGAACCTTGAGCAGCGTCGTCCTTGCCGATTGCGTGTCGAGGACATCGACGAGCGAATTGATGGCGTCCCTGGGGCCGGCAACCACGGTCTCCTCCGACCCGTTGACGCAAGCAATCTCTAGGCCGGGTCGGCGAGACAAGAACGGAACCACCTTGTCTACAGATGCTTTGACAGCCAGCATTGCATGGGTTCCCATGGAACAATGCTCGGTTAGAAGAGTTGCTCTCGTGCCGACGAGATGTATGGTGTCCGCGTCAGATAGCACCCCGGCAATGTTCATGGCGGCATACTCGCCGAGACTGTGCCCGATGACCACCTGCGGTCGGATTCCAAGCCCGGTCAGAAGCTTACCCAGGGCTATTTGCAAACAGGTTATGGCCAGCTGTACTTTTACGGGAGGAAGCTGTTCCATTGGAAGGTGTGTCGTACCCTCTAGTACGTCAAGGATTGGCTGAAAACCCTGGAGTAGAACAATGTCTTCCAGTGCCTTGGTCAAGAACAAGAACCGCGGTAGCGCGAGAAGCTTCTTTGCCATGGAGAGGTACTGGGAGCCCTGACCGGTAAAGCAGAAGCCCAAGGGTGTTGCACTCCCCGCCGTGGACAGGTGCTTCTCCGTCATTGCCGCCTTCTCAAGAGCCTCCCGTATGTCACGGACACTGGAGCCCGCCACGGCGGTGCGGTAGCCGTAGTGAACGCGCCGAGCCGTAGTCGTGTAGGAGAGGGAGCCAAGCGAAACAAGCGGATGGGCATCGAGATACTTGGAGAGCGCGAGCATGTTATTCCTAAAGGATGTCTGAGACTTGGCAGACACGGCAACGATGTGGAACTGTCGAGGATCATCGTCCTCGACGCCCGACCTCACGGGCCCGTCTTGCACGAGAACAGAGGAATTCCCGCCGGCAGCGCCGAAATTGTTGACAAAGGCTATCCTCCCGCACGGGCTCTCCTTGGGGTCAGGTCTCAACCACGGAGTAGTCTCGAATGGGATGTGGACATTTCTCTGGGCAAGGTCTGTGGGAAAGTTCCTATTGATCTTGGTCTTGATGCCCACGTGCCGAGGAATGGTGCTCTTTTGCATCATGAGCAAAACCTTGATGAGCGAGGAAACTCCGGAAGCAGATTCACCGTGGCCTATGTTCGCTTTTGCTGACCCCAGATACAGAGCTTTGTCTCGACGACAGCCCTCGGGAGCAAAGACGTTCAGAACAGAGTCCATTTCACAGGCGTCGCCGTGCTGTGTCCCCGTCCCGTGCATCTCGACGTAGCTAACACTGGAGCTATCGACATGAGACGATGTCAGAATTCGACCAAAGATGGATCTTTGTGCACCGGAATGTGGGCGGGTTATGGAAACGGCCTCGGCCGAGTGGTTTGTGTAGGCTCCAAGGATGGTGCCGTAGACGGGGTCGCCATCCAGCAGAGCGTCGTCAAGCCGCTTGAGCAGCACCGTTGCCACGCTCTCGGCTCTACAATACCCGTCTGCCCCGTCATCAAAAGTCTTGCAGTTTCCGGTACGGGATAGGAAGTGGGCACGGTCGAGACCGGCCCAGTTGTCCGGGTTGGTCAATATGTTTGTGCCGCCGGCAATGGCAACATCACAGTCCGCGGCTAGCAGGGAGTTGCAGGCAATGTGAATAGCAGCAAGACCTGAAGAGCAAGCCGTGTCCACGTCGAAAGACGGCCCGCTGAAGCGGAAGTGGTAGTTTATTCGTGCTGGCAGAAACGCCCTGCTGCCGCCGGGGACGAAGTATGTGTCGATGTTCTGGGCCGCGTTTGTTTCGCGGTAGTCGTCGCTCGCAGTTCCGTAAAAGACGCCCACGCGGCTACGCTGTGTGGACGGCGTCGAGTCTGGCACGAATCCAGCCATCTCCATGGCTTCATATGCCGTCATCAATGCCAGCCGTTGTGCAGGATCAGCTTGATCGGCCTCCCTGGGGGACATGCCGAAGAACCGAGCGTCAAAGAGGTCAGGATGGCGGACAAAGCACCCCATGGTGACGCCGCTGGTGTTCTTCTTTTCACCCGTTGAGTCGTAGTATAGCCAGGGATCGAAGCGGTCTTTCGGGATCTCTTTGTGCACGTCTAGCCCGGCAGCGAGGAGCTCCCAAAATGCCTCGTTATTATCAGCCTCGGGAAATCTCCCCGAGAAGCCAATAATGGCGATTCTCGATCTGTCAGACTTGCTCCCAGATGTCGATTCACTCTCACTCTGTGGCGGCAACGGGACGGTGCTTAACACGTCCACAGACCTAATCGCCTCAGAGGACCGAAGAGCGGCAGCGAGACTCTCAACGCCGCTCGAAGCAAAGGGGATAATTTCTACCTCGGAAAATGCCGAACTTCCCACTGTTCTCGGCGCCGTCTCAATGGCAAGGTCCCACCTCAGTCGATGAAGCAGGATGTCACAGACGACGCGTTGCAGCAGCTCTTTGCAAGTCGCTTCCTGCGAATGTTTGACTGCCTCGAAAGAGTTGGCGACGACATCCAGGCGGACGGCCCTGCTTCTTAGAGACGCGTCCAACCCTGAGACGAGCGCGTCCACGTCGGCCGTTGTGTAGAGGCGTGAGGAATGGAAGAGTCCGGCCACTCCAATCTTTCCCGCCTTGAAAGTCGGGTGATGTAACAAGAAGTCTTTCAGGTGTGAAGGTGGCCCCGAGATTGTGATGGAGCCACTGCCAATAGCGCTGATATACACGCGGCTGACTGAGGCCAGTCCTCTTGATGTGCAGTACGCCTCAAGACACGGAGCAATGGTGTCTTCATCAAAGCCGGCGACCACTGACGAGCACGACAATTGCCCTTCGGCTCTGGAAACGACAGACGCCGTCCTGGTTTGCACCATATGGCCTAGCCTGAAAGCCAAGGCTACAATGTGCGGCGCGACTTCGACGAGGTCGAGCACATTTTCGGCGCAGCTTACAGCCACAGCTGCCAAGAGGCCAATACAACTGCCGTACAGGCTGGAGTGTGACTGGCGGGGATAAGTCTTGCCGGGCTCATTCGTATATCTAGCAAGAGTCAGTTGATTCTGGAGGCCCAACGAATCCATCGACCCGACCCTGGAATCACTCACGATACAAAGGAGGCAATGTGACAAAGACACACGAGGGCACAATCCAACGCGCAGTTGGGAATCTGTGACGACTCCCGAGCAATCAGGAGCTCGGAAAGGTTGGAAGAATGGGAAAAGCCGTCCCTCTGACTAGGCGACAGGCGAGATATTTCGGATCTGAGCACATGATGCGTGTCTGAAAACAGGGACGCCAGAGCACAGTCGTGCGTTTTCCCGAGGAGACGTCGCAGTTCGCCATGATAGGGAATGGATAAGTCACCAAAGACTAACACTTGAAACCTGCTGGCCATTGTGTCGACGACTGCTTGGTACGATCAGTCACTGGATCGGCGAATAGAGAGTAGTGCACAGGGCAGCAAAGGGACCAAATGGCTCAGCTTTTATTCAATGAGGTATTCCCCTTTGAGAGCTCTCCGCGCCTTCTCCTCGGCTGGACTCGCAAGGTTTTACACTGCCATGAGCATGGTAGGCACCCCTGCCTGTGAAAAGATACGTCTGGACTCACGGCTTAGCTGAGGAGTAGCGGGAATAGAAGCACCTGTGATCGGGAGGGCGGCCGACGGAAGCTGCAACGGGATAGAAATCTCGGCAAGGTGTCTCAGCCTGCCGCCCATAACATGGTCAACAACAAGGATATGTCCCTCTCGGTCAATCGCTCCTCATCGTCTGCCAACTCGGCGTGTTTCGTAGTGCTATCAGTTGCTGTAGCTTAAACCACTTGCCTGGTCTAATACGACGTTATGCAGCCATGCCAGCAAGTCATCATTGATTGCCATGCACGAAGTGCGTGCAGACCGGACGATGGCCAAGCGGCATAAGCCGCGCTGTGATCACGGGGCACTTGCCCGGCGACTATGCAGTGCGAAGCGACGAGTACTTTTGTTTCCCCAAGGCGCTTGTTCATCGATGTCTTGCCTTGTTGTCTTGTTCCAGATGGCATGGAACACCTCGCTGGCTGGGTGATTCGCTGACATCTTTCACGCCCATCGCAGAAGACAACTAGTAAAGCAAGTCAAGTCGAGCCGCTGTTACATCTGGTCAGGCATTATCAGACCGCAAAAAGGAAGCCCTTGAGCGACTTGGCACATGACAACGACAGAAACGGCATGGAGCTCCCGCGAAGATTGATGTTCGGCGTTTGTGTTCCGACGACATGCTGTGTATCCAGTCATCCTTCGCCGCAGGGATAATCATCATGACTTTGGCAACTCGGTGGCCGTCCACATGACGCTCGGCTTCGGCGAGACGTTCGTCTACCTCAATCTCCTGTACTACGTGAGGTAAGAATCCCCTTCCCACAGCGGTAGCGGTCGACGGGGCTCCCAACTTGCCGCCGCCGCCCCTGCTTACGCCTTGTCAGCACCCTCATGCTTCACCGCGAGTACTTCCCCTTCCTGCCGACCCCGGAGTCGGAGCCACGGGGTCCAGTCGACCAGCCCATGCTGGGGGCGCCCGCCCCCGAGGGCTGGTGGGACGACAGCTCCCGACTCCTCTTCGGCGCGGCAGAGCACATCGCCGCCATTCTACACGAGGCCTCCGAGTGTGGCGTGCATCTCATGACGCCCTTTGCCGGGTTCTGCGCATTCTCAGCCGGCTACCTCAACCTCTACGTGGCGAAATACCCCCGAATGAACCTGGGCCGCAGCCCGCGAGCAAGCGACTGTCTCAAAATGTGTCTCGACTACCTGGAAAAGTTTCGACTTGTCTGGAAAATCGCCGACGGATGGGTAAGCCGCCCGCAAGCATGACACGACCGTGGCCACCGTTGCGCTAACATTGAGAGGGCGGCACGCGCAAGATCAAAACGATACACCATGCATCCGTGCTCTACGAGCGAGCAACCGAGGACCGGACACGATACCAGGGGCGCACACGAGCAGACTTTGATACTCTACACCAGTCTGTCCACGAGTTCCGTGTCGTGGATAGATCCGACGCGCATACTCGGGAGATTCGGGGCGCGGAGCGGCCCTCGGCGCAGGCGACTTGGCCGGTTCAAGGGCACGAGCACGAGCACGAGCACGAGCACGAGCTCGACACTAATACCTTGTTGAACCAGCTTTTCGCGGAAGTCAGCAATAACCTCGACGAGCAGGGGGCCTGGTCTCAATGGTGGCCGGCGATTGATCAGGTGGATCTTTAATGAGCTGCGTAATTACATCCGGGGTTTTTTTTTTCGTTGAAGCTTCCAATGAATGAGTGACGACCTTTGATTTTTTTGATTTTTTTTTTAAAAAGGGCTGTAATATCTGGTTTTCTATACATGTCCTATTTTTATTTCCCGGTCTAGAAAAACAGTCAACAGATAATGCACCTCTTCATATGGCTCCCCTCCCGTCACCGCCAACAAATGCATACCTGTCGCGTCAACCATTCGCCGTTTCTCCTTCCAATCACGCCTTTGCAAAGACCTTTCTCGAGTTCATCAGGCGAACAGCAAGCATAAAGAGCATGCCGACAAAAGGCGCCACAACCACGCCAAGAGGACGTTTTTTGAAGCAGCTAAAAAGGCACGTAAATGGCGTCTGGATTCTGTACTAGATCTACTAGAAATTTGGGACGAGAAGGGTGTACATTATAGGCGAAGAGGTTAATAGCGTTATTAGGTTGAAAATTGGCCCGCCTTGGTGTCCGGCCCGCCTTGCTGTCGAGCACCACCTTTGGTGGTGAGGGCTTTTGCTAGCCGAACCACATAAAGTGGGGCGGGCACGATTAGTACTTCCGTATCCGAGGTCGGGCCGCTAAACATGCATATGTATCGTGCGTGGGGTCAACTCGATTCCCGCATGCAGGTTGACGGCAACAACAAGGATCCACCTTGGGGGCAGCTTCAAGGTCATCAAGCATGGGCTCCCTGCAGGTTACAAGGATGTCTGGAAGCCGCGAGTGGGAGCTCAGATAGCCTGCCTCCAGCCACCCCTGGAAAACAGAGCCTCGACACGCATCCGGTACATGGTCCGTAGCCTGTAGCATGATGAGGCCCGAAGCCTCATGTGGAAATATTGAATCATCGGCCTCGGTGGAGTGAATGCGGTACTGCCTGACAATTCTCTTGCATGTCGCAATCCCACTTGGCCTCGTATTCCCAAGTCCAACAAATGACTGTGACCTGACGGGGCCAGTCTTGCATTCGGCATACCGTATTAGTCGAAACTGCTGAGATGACGTAGGACGAAAAAGCATGTCTTGGCCAGGGGCAGGTAATGCTAGAGTTTCTCGGATCGGATGGCAAGGCAGCATTCATGGAGGACTGAGTCATTTCCTCGGAGCTGATCGCCCTCCTCCTCGGCACGCTCGACTCTTGACATCCTCCATCGTAAATAAGGCATTTATCCAATTATCCCCGAGGGAACGTCGATTTGCTCTCAATTCATCCCAACAACTCTCCCCCCCCCGTCGTCTCGCACGTTCGGCCCCTCACCAATAGAAATGGGATCCGACAACAAGCTGCTTTGCCTTAATATCCTGGGCTACAAGAAGCCGGGGATTACCGCGGAAGAATACCGCAGCTACATGGTGAATCATCATGCGCCACGAGTCGCACAGCTCATGGATAAATATGGCTTTCTTCAGTGGAACATGGTATGGCCACGGCAGATTCCCCAATCCATGGCGATGGGTGCGTTGGCTGACACTGCAACGATTAGACTCATACCGTCGACGAGTCGCCGCAGCTTATGAGTCAGCTCTATGATGCACAGTTCTCAAATGTTGCGCCGTACGACTGCTGTGTGCAGCTGGTGTTTCCTAGCATCGAGTGTTTTGTCAGGATGAAGGCGGACCCCTTTTTCAAGGAGAGTGTAGGCCCCGATCATGAGAAGTTTGCCGACACAAAGAGGTCGCAGATGATGATAGGCTGGTTTTGTCCCTTGATGCTGAACGAAAAGATGATCGATAGCAGTAAGCAGAGTTGGAAGACGGACCAGGCTGAGTGACGTATCAATAACGATGCCCATGCCCATTGTTGACAAATCATAATGGTGCGAGAATGAGAATATTGAAAATGACGAATCAGGGATCCCGCATGGATGAACTTGTAATTTTGTTTAAAACCATCTACCGATACCGGTTGTCATGCGTACAAGAGTTTGCAACGAAGAAGAAGTAAAAAAGGAAGATGCGACAAATGAATTAAGTGGCGATTTTACGAATATGGATATATCAACTGTCCGTGTAGGATTCGCCCACTTCTCCAACTCCCTTGCACGCTACAAGTAGACAGCCGAAAGACTGGTATGCCTCGAGTAGAAACAGTTTGTTGCTGTTGAATGTTCCAGGTAGTTTAGTGCACTGGGTCGACATTCTTGACGCTGTTCCACTGGACCCAGAAGGAGCTCAGCATGGCTAAAACTCCAGTCCCAGCAGCAACGTAAAATGTAGACGTGATGGCGTGGTTGTAGGCTTCAAGAAGCTTCAGGAGATCTGCGCCGTTGTGAACCAGATGCCTTATCTCAGTTGCGCCCGTCTTGAGCACGGTTTGTGGATCAAGTCCCGGGATGGAGGCTTGGCCCAGAAGCTTGATGAAAACCTGGTTGAATACGTTTTGACCCACGCAAATGAAGATGGAGCCACCGAGTTGCATGCCAAAGAAGATGAGGGATATTGCTGTCGGTACATCCTCCTTTTTCAGAACTGTCTGGACGGCAAGTGATGCCTGCTGGGTTCCGAATCCAATACCCAGTCCCATTATGACCTGATAGCCAATCCAGTGGGCAGGGGTAGTGTCGACGGCAAGAGTTGATAGCATTCCAGCACCAACGGATATTAGGGTTGCACTTATCATCATGATGAGTGGCGGGTATCCGATGAGACGCGAGGATCCGCCGCCCATTATCGCTCCAACGGCCTGTGACAAGATCAGGGCGATGGTACGGATGCCTGCTTGAGCAGCGCTCAGATGCTGCACTGCCTGGAACCAGTCCGACACCCAATAGGTGACCACCAACATGGCACCGCCTGTGGCCAGGGAGAAGACGAAGGACGCAAAGACGGTACGCTGACCGGCGACGTGGGGAGGCACGGTGGCTGTCTCGGGCGTGGCGATTTGCGAGGCGATGAAGGCGATGGACAGGAGGCCGCCGAATACAAAAAGAACAATAACACGCCAGTTGTTCCAACTGTATTCGGAGCCAGCCCATTGGAAGGCAAGGACGAGACACACGACAGCTGGCAGGAGCAGAGCTGATCCCAAGGGATCCAGGAAGCGAATCTTGTCGGCCCATCCTCGGGCTTGATCCCTGCCTTGCCTGGCATTGACAAAGAAGAAGAGGATGGCAATGATTACCAGGCCGATGGGGATGTTGATGATGAAGCACCAACGCCAGCTGCCGTTTGTCGTCAGGGCGCCGCCTATCAGAGGTCCGACAATGGCAGAGACGCTCATCGTGGCCATGAGGATGCCGAGACACATGGGCTGTCGTCGGAGCGGACAATTCTCAGTGACGATGATGGTGGACCCCGACAGGACGCCACCGAGGCCGATGCCTTGTATGGCGCGGCCAACGATGACTGTATTGGAGCTCATTGCCCCGGCGCCGACGGCAGATCCGACGATGAAGACCAAGACAAGCGTCATGTAGACCCACTTCGGGGAATAGAACTTGTAGAAGCGGCCAAGCGGCAGTTGCATGGCACAGCCCGTCAAGCTGTATGCGCTGCCATACCACCCAATGTCTGTCGGGGAGTGGAATTCATCCGTGATGGTGGGGGCTGCGGTCGAGATGATGGTGCGATCCTTTCAGCTACCTGTCAGTCTTGCAATCTGCGTCAGGGATTTGATAACGGGTGGCATGGCATGGCGTGGCGCGTGGACAAACGGCCTCCATCCAACCCGCCAAGAGCTACTCACCAAGGAGACAAGAAACATACCCATGGATACTGCTACCATGACGACCGACAGGGCAGCAGGACCAGGATAGTTGGACTCATCTGGGGCGGATTGCCCTCCCGCTTCGTCCGCAATGCCTTCTTGGCTAGGTTTTCCATCAACAGGACTTCCGTCGCTGGCCAATTCGTGACCTGGAGCAGATTCAGACTTCGGATGTGCGTCGTCGTGACCGTGGGCAGTAGGAGACGACTTCTCCCCAGCGGATGCATCCATCTCGACCTGTTGGTGTTATTTGGACTGTTGGCGATGGCAGATGGGTCGGGGAGAAATGAGGGAAAGAAAGGGAGGCTGCCGACGACTGCATACCTGGTATTTCAGCTGCTGCACTCTCTGCCAAACGGTCGTCCCCTCTGTTGTTCTCTGGGATGCGAAAGGGAGTATTCGGGATGCCTCCCAAGAAGGCGATGTGAGACAACACGTTTAAGTAGGACGACTTTTTTTCCTTCGTTTGTCAAGATGGAAGCGTTGGTCGTAGGAGGAGGGTCAATGCGACCTATCAAGTGTCGGGCATCATCAGTCAGCCGCCTCGCGTCTGTCTTCTCGAGCCACCAATCCGGGAGATTTCTGGCCTCAGGTTCAGGGTACCCAAGTACGTATCTCTGTACGGCTTGTCTGCTCTGTGCCTCGTACTCTGGACTTGGATGGCGGCACCACACCAGTCCTACCGAGGATTTCAGACGAGGCGGCAGAAGCAAGACGGGCCGCGGAAGCCTGTTAATCGGCTGATGCGGCCGTATGGCAATGCCGCAACCCCGTTTCATTTCTTCTTCCATCAGGCTCAGCCCGCACGCGTTGCTACACCCGAGTCAAACAGCCAGCCCGTCGTCGTTTTCCCCCACAAACAAGATTGAGCATTGCTATTCCCGGCTCTGGCCCCGCTCCCCTGCGTGGAGCTAGGACTACTTCGGACTAGCCCCTACTGGCGCCCTGGCTCCCGTCCGCGACTTCGGAACCGAAGCGGAGAGCCACAGAGCCCTCTCGGGCAGGCAACGACGCCTCTCGGTCCCGACCACATCGACCTTGAGCTCAACTCAGTATTCAATCTCAAAGGTTTGTTGGGCCTGGGGAAAAAATTCATTTATTCATACAGTTTTCCTAATGTGGCGCAAATGCTTGCCAGAAATGAACTTCCACGCCTGCACTCCCAAGTTTCCCACATTACGAGACATACACCAAATGCCAGCTGCAGCTCTGGATATTGCAGCACAGAGACAAAGTGTCAAGTCAAGATGCAACGATAGCTCGTCAGCAACAAAAGCAACTGTGCAAACGTCCCATTCCGTACTTGGTACCGGCCTCGATTGCTCCACGAGACTAACCTGTACACGCTACAAGCAGTTGCGGGTTCGGTTTCTCGGACAACTCGGCGTCAGTCCAGAGCACTTCGCTGAACCCAGCATGCTGCAAGCTCGTCTTCCAAACCGCCTCGCTGACCGTACAATGCTGTCTACCATCCTCAAAGAGCCACCAGCCATCAAGTAATCCAAACACAAGGTCGAGCCAGTAGAACCTAGTAGTGAACTCGACCAGCGCAAAGAATCCCCCCGGTCGTAAAAGAGCTTGTACGTTTGAGCACGACGCCGCCAGGTTCCTAGTCGCATGTATGCAGTTGGTCGAGATGACCAGATCAAATCGTCGCCGCAACGATTCTGGCGGTTCCTTCTCAATGTCCAAGACGAGATACTCCATGGAGCAGGGTGCAATATCGCAGTACCGGCTCTTCGCGGCCCCAAAGAACGACGACGATATGTCAGTAAAGACATATCGAAAAGGTACATTGGCCTCAACGAGCGCGTCCAGAACAAGTCCCGTCGTACCGCCCAAGCCGGCGCCTACTTCTAAGATTTCAACACGCTCGCCTTCTTTGAAAGCCTGGGAAGCATAGATGCGTTTGACAAGGGCGGCAAGGTGCATCGATGCAGCCAACGACATTGGCGCCTTTGTGTAGAAATGCTGCAGCAGGTCCTTGTTCTTCCCGAAGAGGAGCTTGATGGGATCCGCCTTTCCACCAAGGCATTCTGCAAACTGCGAGCCCGTGACGTGAAGAAGTTGATGCACCTTGGCATACAGGGGGTGGTCTTGGACAATTTTGGAATATATCTCTATGGACGGCGTTTTGTCTATCGGGCTCGACGTGCGTATGTGGCCGGCCCGAGTTTCGCTCACGATGCCACCATCCTTGAGGATTTCGAATATCGCGCCGTCGAATACCCGACGGTGCTTTTCCAAAACACCCCGAGGACATGTCACTGTCTCGCCAGCGTGAATCTCATCCAGAGGGCATCCCAGATCGGCGAAGGCTTCGTACACAAAGGAGAGCACTAGCCTGCGCTCAGCGGGATACACAGTCGTCCAAAAATTGGCGAATCCTGCGTCTTCCGCAAACTGTCTTTCATGCTTGCGTAGCTCCAAGAATGCGTCCCTGACACGCTGCCTCGCTTGCGACGAGAGTCGTTGAGCGGCTGGAGCAAGTCCTGATTCTCGTAAGCAAATATCCTCTTACGATGTAAAAACGAGACGGCCCCGCGAATAGATAGGACTGAAGACATCACGAACCATTGATAGCGTGGTTCTGGCCGAGACGCTCGGAGAGATCGGAAAACGTCTTACAGTCACGGAACAGGGAGGCTGGCAGCTCAATACCGGTTCTATTAGTCACAATATTGACCACGCCAATGGCTGCGAGGGAATCGAGGCCAAGGTCTGAGAAATCGGTGTTGAAATCAGACTTCCCAATGTCATAACCTGTCTCTATGACAATGGCGTCTCGGAATACGTCCATCACTTCCATTGCCGATAGTTGATGGTTGATCATTGCGGGTATGTCAGAGCGTCATGGGGATCGTAGGGTTACAAGTTTCTGTCCCTTCATGTCGACCCGTGAACCTGGCGGGACATGCCCAATCATTTTCGGACCGAGCTATCTAAGCCGAGGCATTATTCTCACTCCACAAGTTCCAATTTTCAATCGTCATCGTTCGCCCGCTGCATGCTGTACTCAGCACGGTCTCCTCAGAGACACGGCACAGCACCTGCATGGCTAGCCGCCCCTACAGGATGCAGACGAGGGTGAGAATCTGGAACAAGGTCAAGAGGGGTTTTAGAACATGCAGCGGCTCAAATGGACCCGGCGTGGCACAAAGGCATCCCCTGGCGCTTGGTGTCTGAGGTAATATTGCAGTGGTCTCACACTACGTATCGTTTGTTCATCGGCCACAAAGGTCTCGAACGGGCCTCCTGCTGCGCTTCTTGATGCGTGCATGTCTTTCTCTGATTCTCCCTCGAGTCATGTAGAATGCCACGTGGGTAACATAATCACCAAACACGCATCACTCAGCATCAAAATCGACAGGTCTGTTCTTTTCCGGCACCCCACTTCACTGCATAGTAGAAGTACGGCTACCCTGGTCTTGCTGCAACATCTATGACGTCGAGACGGATGAGAGAGCCCAGAAGAAGAACATCGTAGCGTTGACCGGGAGCATCTGTGCCGAGACAGGCGCGTTCGCTGCTGACTGCTAACCTGGTAGAAACAGACATCCAGCAAACCCCTGTTTCGTGGTATCCGGATCTTTTGCTATTTTATGTCTCTGCACAAGGTCTACTCACCGATACCGGCTGTCCTGGTTATAGTCATGTCGCCAAACCTTTCCAAAGCATGCAGACAGGAGTAGACATCCTCTCCATGAGAACAACTCGTCATTATTATTTCTATCTCAAAGTTATCGTGCTCGTTTCTAGTCCGTGAATAAAGTATCCGACCTAGACCGAATCATTGCCGCTTCTCGACTAATCAGCAGAACTCCTGCTAACCAAGATGCCGTCACTTACACGATGCATAGTGCTTTGCTGCCTTTGGTATACTCCATCGTGGGCAGCAAAAGTCGAAAAGACTCTACGGTTCACCTGGGAGAAGGGAGCTCCAAATGGACAATGGAGAGACATGATTTTTACAAATGGACAATTCCCCGGTCCCAGTCTTATGTTTGACGAGGACGACGACGTCGAAGTATGTGCGGACCCAGAAGAAGTAGCATGCGAGATACCTGGTTCCCTAATCTACGAATCCAGATTACAGTGTACAATGATATGAATCGCAATGCAACAGTTCACTGGCATGGCCTTGCGTGAGTCTATTCCCCATAATGTCCATGAGAAGAATTGACACTCTAACGAGTGACTTGAATAGCCAAGAAGGTACACCCTGGGCGGACGGGGTGATGGGACTTTCACAAAAGCCCATTTTGCCAGGCCAGTCCTTTGTGTACAAGTTCAAAGCCTCGCCTGCCGGGACGCATTGGTACCATTCTCATGAGCGCATGTCCCTCATCGACGGCCTCCATGGCGCGATTTTTATAAGGCAAGAGTTCCTGTCTCCAAAGTGTTGATAAAACAGCGGCTAATGAGAGATGGCCAGACCGAAGAACAACATGAGAGAACTATGGTCTAAAATCAGCCAAGATCCGGAGGATATCGAAGCCATGGATAAGGCCGCAGCTAACCCAAAGCTAATGGTGTTGTCCGACTGGAGCCGCTTCACATCTGATGAATACTGGGAAGTGATTCAAGAGTCTAAAATATTGATCTTGTGAGTACTTGTGAAACCAACAGTGGTACGTACGAAACTGATATGAAATGTCCTCAGCTGCGTCGACAGTATTTTATTGAATGGCCATGGCGAGCTGTACTGCCCTCCTCACGAGTTCCTCATTAGCCAAACACAGCCGATGCCACAGAAGTTCACCTTCCCGGACTACAACGTAACGGACAAAGGGTAGGTTCCGCTCCATCTTTACGTTCGCCACACAATCAAGTGCGGAGGTTACTGACAACTAGCGACCTCCACAGATGCTTCCCCATAAAGGCGGAGGGGATCCAAGGTCCGTGGCTCAACGTGAGCCATCCCGACAAAATACCAAATCATATACAGTGGGGCTGCGTCCCTTCCAAAGGTTCAAACTACACGGTTGAAGTAGATGCCGCGGACCACTGGGTCAGCATGAACTTCATTGCGGCGGCGGCAAATAAGCAGGTCCATTTCTCAATCGACGAACATCCCATGTGGATTTACGAAGTCGACGGCAACTACGTCGAGCCTAGGCAGTTCGTAGCAGCAGCTATTACCGCTGGCGAGCGCTACTCCGTCCTGGTCAAGCTGGACAAGCCCCCCGGCCGCTACACTATTCGGCTGCCGGACTCTGGGGCGACGCAGGTCATCTCGGGCTTTGCCAACATGGTTTACAAGGGAGCAGAAGATGTCGTGCCAGACACCCGTCCCTACGTAACCTACGGGGGGCTGAATGCGCGCGAGGAGACGGCGACGCAAAGCTACACGCCGTATAATGTCTCCTCGGACAATATGCCGCCTTGGCCGGCGAATACCCCGGCGGCCGCGGCCGATGAGGAGTTTCTTCTCGTCATGGGCCGGGCCGGAGCACCGCATCTTTACACCATGAACACCAAGTACATGTACCCGGTAGACTTCAAAGCCGACCACCCGTTGCTTTTCTATCCTAATCAAACCCTGGGAACTGAAGACGAGAATCTCGTCGTGCGTACCAGAAACGGCTCTTGGGTAGATTTGATTCTTCAGGTTGCTGTTTTGCCAGGCGACGGTGTGGCATTTGAGCACATCATGCACAAGCACGGCAGCAAGACTTGGAGAATAGGTAACGGAGCAGGGAGGTGGAATTACAGCAGTGTTGCCGAGGCGATGAAGGCCGAGCCGGAGAGCTTCAACCTCAGGGATCCGGGACACCGGGATACCTGGATGACCATGTTCTCACCTGTTCCGGCCGGTGGGTATTGGAGCGTCTTTCGCTATCAGGTCACAAATCCGGGGCCTTGGCTCTTCCACTGCCACTTTGAGCTGCACGCCATGGGTGGCATGTCCATTGCGCTGCTAGACGGAGTCGATGCCTGGCCAGAGGTGCCAGCCGAGTACGCAATAGAGGAGATCCGTCCTCACACGTTGACACCAACCACGGCGCAGAAGCCCTTGTTTGTCAAGGTATGGAATTATGTCAAGGAACTGCTCGGACTTCTGCCTGCTTCGGATGAATTGCGGCGTTAAAGCGGCTCCCCTTGGACTTCCAGTGGGCGTGGAACACGATTCATCACTCGCTAGTTGATTCATAGAGGGACTCAACCTCTGTTTTTGACCGGTTGTTCTGGGAGGACGTGGACCAGATTAAGATTGCTGCAGATAAAGGAGACCTTCATCCTAAACCTAACAGAGTAGAGCTGCCTCACAGTGGCGGTTGGAAGGGCACAGGAGAGGATTACAGGTCTACTAAAGCTTGTCGCTGCCCCATTTTCCCCGTGAGGCTACATTGTGGAGACCAAAGATTTGGGGTGGATGTTTGTGCATTTTGTCACACAATAGCGGGCGCACTAAAGCTAGATATCACGTACATCATATAAAAAAAGCCTTGGTAAGCTATAAAAAAGAGAATTACATAAACTCTGTAAAAAGAGGCGCTTAGGTCTACACTTAATATATTTATTATCCCAATTCTATTAGGCATGCCATGCCACGCGACACATTTCAATAGACAGACAGCTGAGGAGAGGGAAGGGGATTAAAAAAAAGTAGGTTACTCGGCCATGGGATGGGCTTTCTCACATTCGCATACTATTTGAAAACATCGTCGTGTTTGCCAAACCGGGTCTTGTCGCTTGGCCGAGGTTTGAAAACGGCAAATCGCTCTCCGAGCCACGACGCACTCATCCTGTACTCGGTAGTCCGGAAAGAGGGGGGAGGGCCCCATTGATTATCAATACGCACAAATAATAACTACACGCCGATGTTCAAACTAGTCGTCAGATCTCGGCAGGGTGTCGTCTAATGGCTCGCATTGCGAGACGATGACGTGTAGATTTACGTCGAATGTCTGGGACTATGAACGGTGCGACCCACAACACGAGCGCTTCTAGAACTTGGTCTGAATCTTTGCACAAGCTCACCATCATTTGTTTCTGCTACCTGTGCCTATGATTTTTCTGCCGATACGTACAGTGTAGTGTACTGGTCATTCATTAATTATTCGTGTTCTGGTCGAAAATATAATGGTTCAAGTACAAGTGAGCTTGACGTATGATGTATTTATAAGTCAAAGTAGTTCGTAAGGCTGACGGATAGCCGATAAGTTCTCGACTTAAAATTTTTCTTGGCCAATCAAATTTTAGTCCGGCGCGGAATGATGCCCCTGGACGGGCCGCCAATTGACCCAGTCTGTTCCGGGCCCGTGAATCAATTGGTCCGCTTAGAGCCACCCCACCCCGCACCCCCCACACTCCGCGCAGCCCTAGCCCCTGACTGACCGACTGCCTGATGTCCAAGGCCGTTGAACTGCCGTGATGTTTTTCCCATCTCGCAACTTGGGCCTTCACCCTTGATGACGACGCCTCCCGTTGTGTCTACTTGTCGGGTCGCCACTTGCGGTGTGACAATGGCCCTCGATCAGCTGGCCTGGCAGATGCGTACATGGCCGAGGCTGCCAATCTTCAAATCCAGACAAAGGCGGCACTTTCGCTTGGTCGCCGTCGGCGTTCTGATTTGTCTGAGCCTCGTCATCTACCTGCTCTTCCTTCACCTCCGTTCCGGCCCCCGAACCTGGACCGTCGAGACCACCGTCCACCAAAAAAACACAAAGAGCTCGCACAGCCCTGCATACCCCTTGAAGCCATTTCCTGACTCGCCGCTTCAGCCCAGCCAACCGCCCTCGACCCACAGCATGGCCCGCCGCCCGTGGCTGGCGGCAGTCATATGCGCGGCCCAGGATGTTGAACGACGAATGTTGATCCGATCAACATGGATGCGGCTGTTTCGACACATCCCCTTCGATCCCCGTTTTGTTGTGTCTAACCCGGGCCCCGGCTGGGCTGAACTTGTGAGCTTTGAAAATAGCACCTTCGGAGACTTGATTGTCCTCGATCACATCCCCGAGGACGACATGACCGCCAACACCATCAAGACGCTGGAATTGTACAAGTGGCTCATAAACCGCGGGCAAAAGTACGAATTTGTGACCAAATTAGACACTGATCTTTGGATGAACGCCCCTGCCTTCTGGCACAAGTACCTGCTCCCGCGGCTATCCAGCGCCACGGGACATCTGACAGCAACCGTAAACCGGACCGTCATCGGACAGCTCTATTTCTCGGGGTCGGGGTACAATACCTTTGCGCATGGCTCGATGTACACCATCACCTGGGACATGGTGCAGCTGCTCGTTTCGCTGCAGGACCGCTTCAACGTCGTCACGGGCGAGGACGCAGCCGTCGGGATCCTGATGCACAGGGGCAATGAAATGGCAAACTTTGTCAACTTTCGCGGTGACGAGAAGTTTGACTACGACGACTCGGACTCTAGACAGGACGGCTCTGCATGGGCAAGGTCCAGCACCCACTCTCAGGCGATATCACACGCCGTCTATGGAAACAACGTCGTCGCCGTCCACATGCTCAAGGACAAACGCCTGTGGACCAAGGTCGCCAACTGCTTTGACGAAGACGGCATCAAGAGAATGCCGCCACTGATACGGCCTGAACGGAGCCCGTCGCTGGTTGTCCGCCTGAACGACTTTATATACTCGCTCGGCCTCTCACGCTCGTACGTATCCATGATGGACACGATTCCCAGAGAACTCCTCACCTACCGCGACGGCCACTGGGTGTGCGATAATATCTGGGACCTAGGAACGTCGCAAGAAGGATTCAACTCCTTGGGGGGCTGACGTCAACGTGACACGACGTCGTACATGACATGCCGTGCCGGGCCGGAAGCTGTCGCGTTTGAAAACGTCAGGCTGGGATCGTACTGATTTTGTGGTTGGGCGCCCTGGTGACTGGCTGAACCAGCTTCTCCTCTTCCTACACGGCTGCATTCATTGACCCGCCCAAAGGATTGTATTTGTTCCTACTTACCGAGACACGATTTCACGAAGTGGACATTTCTAGTTTCTGCGAAGCGATTTCTACACAGCCATCTACAATAAATTTACGCACAAAAGATTTACGCACAACAGATTTACGCACTGGACGCTATTTATTAGCCAAGCCAGCTCTGCCAGCAAGCCGACGGCATTTGCATTCTTGGATGTACAGGACTTCATTGTAGCTGGGGTAACGCCCCGATTTCATCAAGACCAATTTCATTCATGCTTGGGTAATTCGTCCCCGGGGTCTCGCCTGTTTTCTATCCCGGCCAACTTGGCTGAGACTTGCTACAAGCGAGATGGTCTGTATTATTTCTCGCGCTCTCAAGTTCTTTCTCTCGTTATCTGCGTGTTTTTCTTTTTTGGAAACTGGTACTGGTCTCCAAAGCAGTCGGCGGCATTCAAGACTGCCTGGACAGCCGCAATATAGAAGGCGAATTACTTGCTGACTCCTGCTTTTATCTCCTCGGTCCCTGTAGGAATACTCAACGGTGCAAGGGCCATGCGTAGAGCTACCGAGCACATGTAGAATAGAGGTGTGTGCATGTGTGTGATTCTTTATGATTAAGCGCAAAGCAGCGGAGCGAGCACTGCTCCAAAAACGCCTCACCCCTTTTGTCAATGGTCAAGTCATCACCGTTCATGTGTTTTTGAGTCGCCAATTGCACGCTACATCACGTCAATCCGCCCATCGGGAAATGACGAGACAAGCAACCGTCGCAAATGTTCAAGGAGCTGTCGGAGGCTGGCCAGGGAAAGAAAGCAACGAGCAAAGAGACGACTGCAACTGCGACTGCGACTAAACTGTTTGACGCATACACCCGAGTGTGTGCATTCAACGATGCGGCCGCGACTTGGCAGGGAATCCCGCATCTTCTCCCAGGGTACGGAGCGCCAGCTGGCTCTGGATGCAGCCGGATGTGGAATTAACCTTGATGGAAACCCTGGCCATGCAGAAATTGACCGGACATGGCAGCAAAGCGTACTTGCTGTAGATACGTGGCTCAAGGCCGGCAGGGATGCGGCCCCGAAGAGCAGAGCAGAATGGCGACGTGTCCGCGCCTCGACAACGATGGAATGCTTGAAATGGTCCAGCGTGAGGGCCTCGCGATAGACTTTTATGTGTCAACAGTTAAGAGAGAGCCAAGAGCCTGTGTCTAATTCTGGTACGTTGGCTTGTTCCTCGCCAGGTTGTGCATGGCAGATTTGCTGAATGTAAAGCTTAGACGAGTCACACAACTCACCAGTCGCTTCAGCATTCGGATGGATCACATAGCCGCATTCAGCTTGCATCTGCTTGTCCGCTTATCAAAGCCGCTCCACATGCGTATCTGCGCATGAATTCCGTGCTCTGGAGTCTGGGCACCGTATCGTGGGTTTACGTTTCGCGCGAAGCCCGGCCTCTCCCGCACGCTACGTGGTACAATTCTCGGGACGCATGAACGGCAGCCCGACTTGGCGCTCCTTCTTGAAACGAGCTAAGAAAGCATAAATGCGCTCCAGAGTGCGGGCTTTGGACGAAAGCGTCGGAGAAGAGGGAGTCTGGGACTGTACATTGCGAGCATGGCCTCGACCTGGCTGTTCTGAATCGCCCATTCCCTCCATCTGCAAGAGTGGCCAACGTACTCTCTACTGCTTGTATTCTCTACTGCTTAACCAGTTTCTTATACAACCTTTGACTTCAACTTGTCAACCCAGAGCACAGTCACCATGAGAGCAGCACTCATCACCACCCTTGTGTCTCTTGCTGGAATCGCCTTCGCAGCCCCTCCCGGCAGTCGGGGGGGTCTCGAAACAAGAGGCGGCTCGCGCGGAATATGCGTTCCAAAGGCTAAGCGGGAGCTGGAAAACTGCCTAGATCGAGGGGAGACCGGCTTGCCATGCTTAGAGGCATATGCCAATACCTACGCCGAATGCAGGGGCTTCCCACAGAGATTCGGGAAACAATCCGGGAGCGCCTCCAAAGCCGCCAGCTCCAAGAAGTTTTCAGGGAAACCTGCAAAAGTCTCCAAGCCCAACCATGTGCGCAATCGTGCGTAAAATCGTCGGCATTGGCTCCCACGATGAGCAAAGGACGGAAGCGGTGGGGTGTCCAGAGCGATTCCGGCAAATACGACGAAAACACTTTTGAGATTTAGAGCATTGGAATGGAAACGACGGCTGCTTCTACACCAGTCTTCTCCATGTGGACGACACGTATGGCACAAGGAACAGGGCTGCCGCTTGTCAGGAGCTTCAACTACAGAGGGTAAGCCCCCGTTACCGAGAGTTCGCTGGCCGAGATGACTGATTGTGTTGTGGAGGTTGAAAACTTGAGGCACTTGAGATTTGACCATGTACGTTTTAGTTTTGTCCCGGTTCTCCTTAGATCGTATGAGTCCGTCATGAAATCGTCTCGAATCAGCTCTCTATATACTTGGTCACGTGTGACGCCTCTCCATGAGCCGGAGTCCAGACGCAGCCAGAGGCAGCCACCGCATCACGATGACGCAGCACCTGAGCCTTTCAACGTCTCTTTTTTTTCTTCTCATCACACTTATCTAAGCTAGCTCCTTTCTATGGTACTCGTTTCCCTGCGTCGCGTCGAACCTCCCAAGCAACGGGTTGTGCTGCCTGGGCTTGTCATACAGACAAGATTCCCGCCATAGCAAGAAAAAGCAAAGTTACACAAATCATGGATAAGTTCCGTAACAGTCAACAATAGAAGGTCAACTGATCTTTGGGCCCACCGGGCAAGACATAGTCACGTGGATAGTACCGGACTCTGCTGTAGATACATCGACTGCTGACGCTGCCCCGAAGACCAGACTTGCATCCATTCATCTAGTTGAATCCCGGCACTCCTCTCCTCTGCGAGAATCATCAAAGAATCCCTCCAGCGTCTCGAGCGGAACGTCGCCCATCCGCGATGAAGCTCGTGCACTGCTCCCCCTTGTCCCCCATCCTTCTCCTTACACTACCATTCGCGGGGGCAAAGCAAAAGATCAGTCTCCAATGGGCCATCTGTGACTCCGATCCGCAGGAAACGCTCGTGAAGCTCGGCCTCAGTTCGACGACGCCGCCGTACAAAGAGAACCCCATCACGTACTACGACGAGCAGCCCCCCGTCCATATACACTCGGGCATCATGTTTCGAACCAAGACCAACAAAGGCCGGCCGCTGTCCACCATCAAAGTCCGCTTCGACAAAGAAACCTCCAACGTGCCAGGATTTGTGACCTGCGGATGGGATCGCTACGGCTACAACTCACCCGCGTACAGCTGCGAGAAACGCTGTCCCCTGGACCCCGCGGCGCCGGAGGAAATCTGGCATCGGGAGCAGGTGGAATTCGCCGAACGCTACCAAGATATCAACTGGACTGCACTGACCGCGTACGGGCCTTACCCAAATGCCAAGTGGAAGGTGCGCATCAACGGGCACAAGGCCAAGTTTGACGACGTGGTGGCCGAGGGGCTGCATCTCATGGAGATCGAGACCAAGGTGCCCGAGGCGAAAGCCCACGACTTTCTGGAAGCGACGATGCGCTATCTGCGGGATCGTGGAGTTGCCCTTTGCCGCCTCCAGGAGGGGAAGACTATGCGACTGTTTCGGGCCATGGGACTTGCCGGCGAGGACGAGCTTTGAAACCAACGAGGGCGTAAGCCCAGCATGGTGACGGCTGTTTTTTTCCGCGAGGCCATCAGACGACGGCAGGCTGATGGGCGTCGTTCGGGACTGAAACACAAGAAGGGAGTAATGTGATGTGATGACTTATACCCTGTGCTCGAGGCTGGCTTTTGCCGGCCGCGGAGCGTTAGGCCTGGGGCAGGTTTCCGTTATGATTATCAGTACTCGGTCACAGTAGTTCCGTCCTTGTTTATATTTCTTTCATCAGGCTCTGAGAGCACCGATTCTTTCGACGTATTTGCCTGTTGGAAACTGCACACAGATATAATCTGCAAATTGAAGCACAAGGTGACCCTGGCCCCGTGTGCTCCAAGACTTGACTAATTTTCCCCGTGAAATCATGTGTGATGGAGGGACTGCGCTCCAACAACTGCATCTCTACGGGGAGCAAGTCAACTGTGTTGTCCTTCAGCGTGAGCTTCTGCGATGCGTCACCGCCGGAATTTTTTGCTGTGACTGTCCTGGGTGACGGAGCCCGTATACGGTCTTTTGTCAAGCATTTGTTGGGAGGGCCATTTGCGGCGCCGTCACCGCGAACCGACGTCATGATACCGGGCAGGGCATATTTTGAAAAGCCAGTGACTGCAAATTCAAATCACGTCTGAAGCGCGATTCTCTCCTGCCAGGGTGTCCAAAGTCAATCTTTTGCCGGGCAACGCCCACGTTCTCCATGACGAGACTGTATATGTGGCAGAAACCACGACCAAGAGAGCCAGGTCTCGTCGACCACGCTTATGCCGAGTACACTGCCTACAGTTCCTCACCATACGCTCGTCATGTTCAGACATGGCTGCCGGCTTGTATGCCGGTTGGGGTTCAGAACCAGGGAAGCACGCATGGTGTGCATGCCTCGCCGGGTGATCATAGGCCGTTGGCAGGCCTTCCGTCTCATATCATCACATCAACTCGGCCACTTTCAACTTGCGGAATCATGCTGGAAGCATAGCGTCAGTTCAAGCTTCCTGAGCCGGCACTACTCGGCTGGCTATGCTAAGACTGCGGTGCGTGCAGGCCCAACCAGGCGTATCCCCTGGCTATGTGGCAGTCAGGCCAAGTCTTGGACAGCCTCTCATGTTCCCGAGGAAGCATGCTAAGTCTCAAATTCCCCGTAGAATAGATCATGGTGGCGAGAGACGCAATAGGGACTGTTGCCCATCATCTTGCAGACAAGCCCACGCGCGCAGCTGCCGCCACGCCAACACAATGCCATCATCAGTAAAGCCACCTCGCCATGCCACTCTAAAAGAGAATACGTACGCGCCAGCGGCCGTTGACGTCACAGACGTCCCAGGGGGGGGCACTTGTCCGACTGGAAAGGGGAGGCAGCAGCAAGAGATGCCAGGGCCGCAAAAATGACACGGGCCAGCTTCATGACGCGTGGTTTTTCAAGGGACGGGGAATGATTCAGCCTGGGAACAGTGGCTTCGACCTGGGTTACTCCTGTGAAGCCGTTGCAGATGAGACAAGGTTCGCGAAACTCGGACGGGCAAGCGTGAGGAGGTTCCTGGCGTTTACATAGATGTTGCGACGTCCGACTGAAGAAGCTAGATTCAAGTCTAAACGAAGTGAGAGACATGGACGTGCTTGCTCTACGGATGATCAGTGGCGGCTGATGCAGTCACAGCAAGGGATATATTTGGCGGACACATCTGAGTTCGGCTCCGCTTGTCGTAAAACCAAGGTTATGCCGCGTTGTCACTGGGTTCAGCATGGTTTGTTAGCCGGAATCTATTGATCTGTCGAATACCCGTCTCGGAAACGCGTAAACATATCATGGTGAATAATTGAACGGTTTCCCGCAGCCCGTGGGAGGACTGTATAAATTAATACATTGACCATGTTTGATATCGCATCATGATGAAGCTAGGCATGGGCAGCATGGCCCTCTGGTACCTCGCATCAGAGCTTGCCAACTTGTTCGGTTGGCCTTCTGGATGCCGACTCTCCCGCCTCCCGCTTTTGAGACGGGAAATAGCTGCGATCGAGTCATTTCCGCGAGATGTAGCATTCTGCCACGATGGCTCTTCGGCGGTCGGGGATATTGAAAACAGCAGGGCTGGCTGGCAACGCCGATACCAAGGCTGCTCGACGTCCGTCGGCGTGCTCAGGTTGAGATTTGAGTGCTCTGCTTTAGGCCGTATCGTGACCATTGTAAGGCTCCCTTTGAAATAGATTGTCAGTGTTATTTGCTCGGTTCATTTGTCGTACGTAGGTGCAACAAAGAGTAGAGCACTACGCCCCGAAGCTAAATAAAGGGGGTCGGTCCGGTTTTACCTTGACCTTCTCGCAGCATCATCATGCCGCTGGGCTGTATGTCATAATCTTGGAGACGAGTTGCCGAAATAGGTGCACTAGGGAAGTGTGGCTCTCATTTATAATGATTGCCCAAGCATGATACTTTTTGTACAATACTCCGTTTTACCGCTCGCACAGCTCCTGCGGGGAGCAAAATCGAGCAGACACGTCTTTCAAAAGCGAACCTTTGGGCCAAACGACTCTTTCAAACCACGGATCCTTCTGCCCTCTCCAGTAAGCGGTGTCTTCTGTGCCCATCCCGACAAAGTGTCTTGGCCTGCACTGAATGAGACGAGATACGCGGAGGCGGTCCGAGTTGCTCTGGCAGCTAGTTGTGTAGTAAAAGGCACAACGGTATAGAGTCCAGAGTATATTTAAGATTGACTAAATTAAGCGCTCCAGTTTCATCAAACATTACGGGTTTTCCCCGACCAATGTGGTCTTTGTAGACAGCGAATCACAAAAAGACAGTTTTGATACACCCAATGATGCCAAGTTGTGTCGTGAATCAAGGTACTCAATAAGCCACGAGTGCCTTGGACAGGAGTGAATTTGTACTCGACATCTGCTCTCGTGGCGCTATTCTTTCTTACCAGAGGTCTCTGCAGAGTATTTTGAGGGATTTATAATACATTGCCACGGAAAAATATCGTTGGGCAGGCATGGTCAGGACACGAGTATCCACAATCTGAAGCCATTTTGACTTCCCACCGATCCATGCATGATAAAACCTTGATCATGATTGGAAAGTTCTCCCATGCGGGGTAAAGATTCCGGCAAATTGCAGGCGGTTTGGGCTGGTGCGTGGAAAAAAAGGGAGCATCTAGGCCGTCCCTTCGCTGGGTGTCACTCAAGACATGATATAAGCCTTTTATTGCTCTGTCCAATTTTGCCGTTGAGGGCATGTTTTATCAAGGTAACAAGGTAGCCAAGTTATTGGGCTTGACGGTGAGATGGCCAGTACTGGTTGACGGAGTGTTTCACTTTCGCCGCTCATCATCTCCCACGGCTTTTTTTCCTTTTCAGTTTCGACAGCATTCTCACGAGGTTCCATGTTGAATTGAAATCCCCTCGCCCGCTCCTGTATAGAACGACCACGCAATGGGCGACAGATTGCCGAAAGGACCTGGCAGACTTTTTGACTCCATAGAATCCACCTCCGCAACCAGAACATGACACGCAAGCTCGGATCAGTCCTGGGACCAGGTCCCGCTTCCGCAAACGCGCGATGCCGGGCTGATGGGCATGTTGAGATGGCCCGTAATGCTTGGGCCGTTTTGGATGCTCAACAAGGTATCCGAGGTGCCTATCTTTCCATCAAAGCCTTGATGAGTGGTTAGCTGCTCGGGGGACTCGTACTCCAGCCTAGCATCGTTGCTCATGAATTCCTGAACGGGGGGGTTGAAGTTGCCGCTGAAGTGGTACTGAGTGTCATCGATAATGAAGGTCGAGGTGAATTTGTTGCCACCGGCGACAGTCCTGATGAAGCCGTTTGCGACGGGCATCTGCGCAGAGTGTTGTCAGTGTAGAGAAGACGAGTATTCTCTGGGACAAGAAGATACTTTGTTGGTCGGGGCGATTGGTGCCTGAGTACTCTTATCTGGATAGTAGAATCAGCAGATGAGATTCCATGCTGACCGGGGCCTGCGTTTTGCTTCATGTACCTTTTTATACCAGTTTCTAAGCCACGAGGACCCATGCCACCCGTGATACTCTTGCCAGACCTGCAATTGGTTCTACATGACGAATAGAAACTCGTGTATGATGCCCCGACGGTGATGCCTATGCAGAAAAAGCCAATTCGCAGCCACCGAGGGAATTCCCTTCTCGCACAGTATAGCGTGACGGAGAAAGCTGCTTGAAGGGATTTCCAGCACGAGAAAGTCCCTGTGAACTGCAGCAGGTTGCGTGGACGCACTGTCGCGAGACGCCAATTATGCCGAAACCGGGCGTGATCGGCTTGCAGTGGACGGCCAAGATATGCCTGGATGCCATTCCCTGCGCAGCATGAAACCCGCAGGGTCTAAGGGCACAGCGGACTGACATCGCTCGAGGCGAAACGAGATGGGCTGATGGAAATTTCGGGCCAAGTTCTAGACCGAGAACATGCCACAGACCCAACGCCTCACCAGATTTACTTTCAATCAGATCATAGGTAAATGCCTCGTGCTTACCACATTCAACGTTTGGCTTAGACTGTCGAATTGCGACGCTGGCGTGAAAGCTTCGAGCCACTGAGCACATTCCAACCGCATCCTCCACAACGGCCTTTGCTCGCCAGGTTCCGGGCCTGGTCCTCTGGCTAGGAAAAGTTTATCCTGTTCCTCGACATCGGCCGGTCGTCCTACCCGGCGATACAGTTGGCGCTGCAAAATCAAGCACACAAGTGTCAAGTAATGGCATGCCACGAGGGATAAATATAGCCGTTAAAAAGTGTGCTTTCAAGGTCGGCGCCGGAAACTTCACAACAAACCATGGATGGGGAACGTGCCGCAAAACCTCTGCCTTTGATGCGCACTCTTCTCGGAGCATCACGGTATTCGCGGCACAGGTACACAGAACCTTGTCATCGGTCAAACTTGACAATTGGCCGTCCGTACATCCTCGGCTCAGGCAATGAACTATACGTGGAAACTCTTACACGTGGTTGCAACTGGTTTCGTTGGCTTTGGTTTGAGCCGCCTCTTCTTTGCGCTGTGCCCGTTGAAGGCCGGTTTCCTGTTCTAGCACGACGCAATGGTATCGTTCCACGCAACGGATCCTCGGGAATGAATCATATGAATTATAGAGGTGTTTGGTCCGTTTGAAGCATGCCGCCATCCTTTTGCCGTCCACGGTTCCTGTCCACTGATCCCTCATTCTCATTGCAGCCAAAGGCCAGGGTTAAGGCTGAGACAGATGCGCATACACACTCGATTTTCCACAAGACAGAGCCCTTGTCACACGGTTGCACAAGCGCTGTAGTCACGAGAAAGACTGAAGGCTGCGGCATAAATAGAAGCTCGTGGCCGCAAGGACCTTTTGGGACACCAAAGATCCTCAATATTCACGTGTTGTATTAGTTACTACTGAAAGAGCAAGGGTAGTTCGCCCAAGGCACCATTACCTTAGTTTGTTTTTCCGCCTCCAAGAAAACCGTCGTCAGCAGCGGCAGCGGCGAACCCTCACGCCTCGGACAACAACAACTCCGGGAGGTCTTCCTTCTCAAACGCCTCGTCAAGACCCAAGTGCTCAGGCGTCCATCCCATGGCTCGCAGCCTGTCAGCCCGATTCCTGCTGTTGGACCCGACGACATCCGGCGTGTCTCGACCTAAGAGGTCGCCGTATTCCGACTCCAGAACAGGTCGCGCATCGGGCGTGGCGATGCGACCGGCCTTGTGGAGGCCCTTTCCCACAATGGCGCTCACTTCACCCCAAGTGACCTGGGCGCTTTCACAAAAGAAGTAGGGGTTTTGCAGCTCGGGGTCGGAATCCGGAGCCGTCTCAGCCCAGTGAAGGACTTGGACGTAGGCCTGAGCGACTTCGTCAGAGACGACGGGCTGGGTGCACGGTGACGCTGCAGGGTCTTCTCACCTTGGCCAGATCACGGACATGCACGACACCCCAGGTCTTGGTGCCGGTGCCGACGTAACCGGCTTGGCCGTGCTTGAGAGCAAACCGAGTCAAGGCCGGAACCTGTTGCCCACCCCGAGTTAGACGGCGGCCAAGACTCGCAATGGAAACGACCGACGCACCTGGATGGAGTGACGCTTGTGCCTGCTATTGCTGCCGTAAATAAGAGGAGGCATCCAGATGAAGATCCTGGCCTTGCTGCCCAACTTCTGGCGGGCCTCCAAGATGGCTGCCACATCGTTTAGCAATGAAACGTCAAGACTCGCCGGGGAGGCACGTGTGCGCATACCGAGATCGATTTTTCGATGGGGCGCCGTGCTTGCCAGCGTATCTATCTGTGCCGGCGTTTTATCCGAGAAGACCTCGTTGTTGACGTTGTTCCCAGGCGAGCTGTCGCTCAAGACACCGGTTCCGCTCTGGTGGAGGTAAATAGATTGTTTTCCTGAGCGCCGCGCCAGGTAAGTGCATGTTCTTCCGTGTGAGGGGCTGCCCAGATGATAGAAATACCCTGATTTGCGCGCTCCTCGATGCCGGCCAAGATTGCCTGCGCGGATTCCAGATGGTCGGCTGTGGCGGTGTGGAAGATGATGTCGCTCTTGGCGCTCAGTTGCTGGATGACGTCGACGTCGTCGAGATGGCCGAGGACCGCCTTCACTCCTACAAGCTAGTCAGGACGCGAATCAAGGCAGGCGGGTGTTGCGCTTTGTTTTCGCCGCACCGTCTTTCTGGAACTCGGCAATGGCGGACTCGCGCCGAACCAACGTCGTCACCTCGTAACGGTCCTCCAGCAGCAGGAGGTCGATGATTTCGCGGCCGGTGTAGCCCGGACCGACAACGAATACCTGGGACTTCTTCATCTTTTCAAATCTGCGTCTCTCGAACTGGCGTGAAGAGTTGTTTCGGGGTTGAGTCGAAGCCAAGCATGCGGATCGACTCGATCATTCTGCTCAACTTGCATCAAATGACGCGGTATATATAGACGGGCGAGTGGATTTATCAGCTCTTGCCAGCTTTGTCAGCTTTTTTAGTTTGTGGCTTTGTGGCTCTTGTTAGTCGAGTTGGTGTTTTGAGCTTTTGTCAGCATTGTCGCGAAGATAGATGGCAAAGCAACACCGAGCCCTAACCTCCTTGTGAGGGAGGAGTGTAAAGGCCCAATGAGAGCCGAAAAGGATGGAAGAGCTCGCGTCCCACGAGTTGCGCAATCGCCACTGTCAGTGACGGGGTTTGCACAGCCCGTGTTGGACGAAAACGCCTGACTAATTGGTGTTTTGTTTTCCACCAGCACGACTAGTGTCCCGCTACTCGGACAATGTCAGTACCGAGGCGTTTCCAGAATGACCCTCGATACGGAGGCGTGAGCTGGTTATTCAACTCGGCCAAGCCAAGGTGAGTACCGTCCGCGGAGTGGTGCAAGGGGGCAAGAGTGCATGTCTTGAGAAGGACGAGGGCATACCGGCTCGGAAGGGCGTCCGGGTTCAGAGACGACTGCGAAAATTTTCAGAGCCCAACGAGCACTCTCCAATCAAAGGTTAACAGCCGTCTTCACGAGCAAAAGAGATGCTGCAGCATACTTTAGATGCTTCATTCTTTGCACGTCAGTGCCGGGAAGCGTCACAAGGCGCCAGCTCGAGCCTGCGGACTGCAGATTGCGTTTATCGGCCCCCGCAAAATGCCGGCACGCGATACCAGAGGGTGTCCAAGACTGCAAATCCGTGCAAGATGAGCTGTACAGCTGATAGACGTGAATATCACTTTCACCAGGTGGCCAGACGTCGTGTCAGCATGACGGTTTGGATACAGAGACCTGGATATCAACAGACATATCTGACAACGGCCACAAGACGTGCGTCGTCGTACCACATACGTCGGGTCTTTGCGACTCTGAGGCTACCGGGTCTGCAATCATGGTGGTATTGGAGTCGTGCAGACTGGGATTGCAAGTCGACTGTCCCCTTTCCATCTGCAAGCCTCTGACGAGGCCAGCGGCGGCGCAGACCAGGGGCGATTCGGCGGCCAGCCCAATGACAGGCCGATGCCAGAGTAATAGGCAATCGAGTGGCGTGTCGGGCCGCTCATGCGGGCGTAGATACAACCCAAGGCCTGCTCAGCTAGCCTATTGCCGTCCTGCAGTTGGTCAGACAGCTTGTAGGCTTTGTTGCTTTTTCCTCGCGACTGGGCTGAGGCGTACATATCAATATTGGCCGCATCGCGCCACGGGTGGATCGGGCGAATACCAATACAGCGTCTGCAAGGCACGTTGGCCTGGACGGCGCAGCGTCAGCCATTTCAGGTTTTATCCCAACTTCATCCATGTCTCCTTCGTCCGTCCTCCGTAGCCGCCCAGCCAGCTTGGCACACCGAGCTGCCATCTCAACGTCTCGCCAATGGGGACCGACTGATTTTCAGGCCAAGGACAAAGGATCTGAGACATGAGGCCAATAGTACGACAGAGGTGACCTCATGAGAAGGGACCTCGGCGGAGACGGCGACGCCCGGCCGGCGTACGTAGGTCGCGCGGCCAGTTCTGCCGCCGTAAAGGCTGGCGAGCCGGATTGTGAGAGTCTAATGTCCGGGTGGCAAGAGCTGTGAGAAATGAATGAGCAGGTGGAATCCTACACGGCACTCGGTGTTCCGGATTTGAGTTTGCGCCTTGTCATTAGTTTCCTTGCCAGACTGAGTCGTCCAGGGTACCAAGGGCGGCTCTACATGCAGAAACGATCCGAGGCGGGCGCCGAGGCAAGCCCGACACTCGATCTGAGCAGTCCATGATGGACTGGCATGGCCTGGCCGGGATCGGCTCCTCTCGCCCGGCCCATCGCGTCCCGCGGCAAGCCGCAGCTCGGAGATATTAATAGACGCGGCATGCTTATCGCTGGCTGGGTGCGTCTTCGGAGCTCCCCTCGAGCCAGCCTCGAGGCAGGCAGGCAACCTCAGCTACGCACCTTGCTGAGCCTGTCCTGCGCGCTGCCGTGCTTTGCCCATGTCCGCCGAGGATACGCTGCTCGCCGCCGCTCGATGTGATCGCGGAAGCTAGCTTTGCAGGGGCCAGGAGAGGACCCCCCACAACAAATCAAGTATTTCATCACGGCTGTGGCAAGTGGCTTGCATGAAAGAAAGCTATTGATGCAAGGCTCGCAGGTGATGAGTAGAGAATCACAAGTCTAGGAGACGTGGTTGTGACGAGTCTGGCTTTCCTCGACAACAACACCACGTCAGAAAATCTATATAAGCCTGCCTGTCGTCGTTGCAACTCGTGCTGTTGCTCTGTCCCATCACCACAGCCTGAACAACAACAACTACTTCACAGCACACAAACTTGTCTTCGGATCGTCTCGCGTCCTGCACTCTGCAATCTCAACCGCAACCATGAAGTACACCACTGCTGTCCTTTCCCTGGCCGCCCTCGCCATTGCTGCTCCCAGCGAGATCAAACGAACCGATGAGGCCTGCAACAACAAGCCCGTCATAGCTTGCTGCCCGGCAGGACTCCTTGGTGGCATTCTCTGCAACGTCTTGGCCATCGGAAACACCTGCAGTGGCCAGTCTTATTGCTGCGACAATGGTTCAAGCGTGAGTCTTGCCACCCCCATCCCCCCCTGCCTTGTTCTCCAAAACGCTAACGAGTGCTCCAGGTCGGCGGCCTTGTCAATGTGAACGCCCTGAACTGCGTCAAGGTTCTTTAAGTGCTGGGCCTCGAGAAGACTCGCTCGGCTGAGTGGTGCGGGAGGCATGTCCTACCTGCCGTGGCTTGAGTTGCAAATGCTTGCAAGATGCGACCGCGTTTTCTGCTGGCTTTCCCGGTGGACTTTGACTTTGTTGGAGGGGGGAGAGGGGAGAACCGTACACTCTTTCATATCATCAAAGCGGTTGGGCTGGTGCACCAGCCCATCTTCTTATTATTAGCAGATCCCACACAAGGGCGCAAAGTAGCAATACAATACTTGCGCCAAGCTTCTACTGCTGCCGTCAACTCGCCCTGTGAGAAGAAAAAGCAACCGCGCATTGCCACCGCGATGAAACGTGGTCAAGCACTGCCAAGGAGCCCCGTCCAATATCACCGGACGACTGCAGGGTTCGGCTCGAAAAGCCCCAAAGCTTCATGCCACCGCCCTACGGCATCTGTCATCTGCAATGTCACAGCTGAACTTGCCATTACATCATTCGAAAGCCTCGATTTGGGGTGATTGACGACTCTTGCCGCTCGGCATCCATCAAATGGGCCCCCCCCCAGTTCGGGGCTGGATAGATTGGATGGTATGCACTCCACTGTTCAATGGTTATGGAACCTGTTACAATATTTCGGTTCAGTAATCCGTCTCATTCTCTTACTGTTGCAATCGTCGTTTCGTACCAAGCCGCGAGAGCCAAACATCTCCCACGGTGGGAACAACTTGCTTGTGTGCTGGTTTCCTCGCGTCCTGGGTCTGCCTGCTTTGTTGGCACCACCGAGACTTTCGTCGCTTCTTGGTGGATAAAGTCACGGAATACTAGTTGCGCCAGTCTCCAATACCGCACCAGGAATGCAACGTGCATGGTTACAGGAGCCAAAACGGTACACCTATCGGCGGGATTTGGCAAGTTGTGGCTGCATCGTATCGCCGGGGCTTCATAGTCGAGCCCAGTAGCCGATGTGACACAGAACCAGGCTTTTGAAAGTCGGCAGTTTCTCGCGATACATATCGAGTCGCAATGTCGACCTGGCGGTCCGGGTAGAGCAAGGTGGGCATCCTGGGGAAGGTCTAGCAAGGGAGTGAATACATCTCACTGCACTGCGGGGAAGCCTTGATGGCAGGCCAGGGTCTCCAGACATCAAGGTCCAAGGGTCATGTCATGTCTCTTTGGTGGCGCTCCCCGACGGTGAAACTGCGCAATGGACTGGATCCCCAATGAAGAGCTGCCGAGACCATGTCATCGGCTCGTCAGACTCGGGTCCTGCCAAGATGACAAGTTGCTCGCACGAGTCCTGTCAGCTGCTTGGCACAACTTGGCACGTCTTATCCATGTCCCTGACAGAAACCAGGAGCCGTCTTGAGATTAAGCCACGGTGTACCACTCCCAATTTGGTAGTTATTATGAGCCTTCTGACCGGGGACACGTCAACGGCATTTTGCCGTGCATACAGCACACACGCCATTTGGTGGTGCGTTATTGAAGGACACAGTCGCAACGATTCACTAATTACTGCGCTGCCCCCCAGCGATTCCGGTCATCTGTACCTACGCAGCGTCCTGCCCTTCTCCACTGATTCCATCCTTCTCATACCATCGTCAACGACCATCCGGACTTCTCTGGTCTGTCCTTTCCGCTGCCAAGGCTGAAGACCCACCCCGTTGACGCGAGGATCCCCACTTTTACCCGGGCTCGGACTCGGGACGCGGGAGGACTTCCGATCGGGGCGCGGTGCTGGCCTCGGCAGCCCTTGGCTGGAGTAACTACTTGGCGGCACATGTGGTTCTATTGTGAGACTCGCACAGCCTCGCAGCAGTAGTTGGGCGAACGGCGGTCACACCAAGGATGTCACACCATCTAGATGGAGGTACAAGGCCACCGCTGCTTTGAGTAACCAGATCGATCGATCCCCTTTGCTATCAATCATCATCATCGGCCTTGACAGCCCCAAAGGGCCTTGTCTTTCGTGTCGAGGGAGAACATTGTTAGCTCGACAGAGCGTTGCTCTCTTGCCCCAAGCCAAGCCCGAAACCCTCGGCCCTCGCTACGCCTCGCCAGTCGCGTGCTCGAGCAGCCTACGGGAATCTTGCGTCTGTGATACTTGTACATCACATGAATGCCACCACATGCCGCCAAGTCACGGCGCCTCCCATTGTTCCCAGGCAGAGGAGCGTCCGCGTTGCTGGTTCTCTGCACGCCAGCTGCATCTCTGACTCCTTGTACCACTGTACAACTCACGAAAGAAGACCGTCACGACTTGAAACCCCCATCTCCTCGTCCCAGAAATCAGAAAAATGTCGCTTGCCACCCCGGGCAACCTCTTGTGAGCGAGTAGTAGGAGCTCGAAGCGGCCAGCCGAGGTGAAACTCGAGCGAACTCGACACGGCAGCCGAATGCCAAACGCATGACGGAGCTACAGCAGTTACTAGAGCCACGGTTCACATCAGCGTCGCGCCAGAGGCAAACTCGGACCTGGTATTCACATCGTCAGCCAGTTAGTTACCTTGCACGTGCCCAAGACTCCATTCCCGGCCTTTAGCCCATCCCCGGCCCGACAATGACTCTACCGGCGCCGCCATCCACATTAGCACGCTCTCGATATTTACATGTCGCGGCTCGTGACGAGTCAAGCACTCACCCCGTCTCTATCCTGTGGATGCCATCCGTATCAGCAACCTAATCACCTCTGAAAAACGAGAACCACGGCTCATCCCAGGGCGGGCATCTACCTCACAGCAATCGGATGGGCCCGATCCCGACCGGCCGACGCACACGTCTCCCGTTTTGCTACATCCCGGAATTGGCCTCCCTAGGCCCGCCAGTCCGCAACTCACAAGAGCCGCGGAAAAGAGAAACGCCAGCTTCATTCTAGTTGGGCTGCGGAAGCGTCGTCTTCGCAAAGGCGCGGCGGGTCGAATGATGGCTCGGATTTCCGGTCGGTCAGAGGGCGAAGTCTGCGCCCACGCCCGTTTGAAGGACCTAGACGCTTTAAATACCACAAGTCTCCGTCGTGTGCCCGCTATTGCGGCACCAGCGATAATGGACGACTTGCTTGGGCACTGATTTAATCCCGTTGGGCGGGAGGTACCCTGTACGACAGCCAGCAACCCTAACCCTACAGCGTGCGCTGTGGGTGGCGCTGCCCTCTGACGGCTCCGTCCGCCTTCGCTCCGTGATGAGCCCCGTGAGTCCGTGACATATAATATCCGCGTTAATACCAACGGGGCCCCGTGGAAAGCTCCACTCGGCGCCGCGCGCAAAGATTCTAATACCCGTTGTCGCATGCGCCTGTGGACTAACACGGCTAGCAGAGGCTCGTCCCGCGCGACGGAGCCGCCAAGGATGCACCCGGCGTTCCCTCTCTGGAGCATTGCATCAATAAATTTGGCCGCCAGAGTCCGGACGGGGTTTCTGGTGCTATTTTTGTGCGTAGCCCGCCGAGTGTACGCCCACACGATCCGGTGTGGCAAGGGTTAGGGCTGCCCTTTATGTAAAATGTATCGCTGTTAGCTAGCTGAGATTAAGCGTATGGTAGCTGCTGGAATAGCAGCCGCTGTCAATGTCCAGGATTGTGTTTTTTTGATGGTCAGCTACGATTATCGGCCAGGAATTGAAGCACATGCAAGTGTAAAGCTTTTTCGGCGACGGAGGCTCTCACCCGATGACCTGATGTTGACATTAGGAAACCTTGGCAGTTCACAGGAAAAGAATACGGGCTGTGTGGCCGGACTTCAAAGAGGTCGGGTCGCACGAAGCGGCGTCTTTCAACGTCACGCGGATGTTGGTGACGTCAGGGCTATAGTCACTACATCTACGGCAGAAGGCTGCGGCATAAGTAGAAGCCCGTGGCTGCAAGCACCTCGTTCGAGGAGCAAGGACCTCGAAGTCCAAAGTGTGTTGCATGTTGAATCGAGCTGTATAATGCCCCAAGCCCCCAGACGAGCCCTCGTCACAATCGACAACTTGATCTGCATAGGATACCGAGCTAGAAGAGAAAAATGGTAATGGCCTCAATCGTCGCCTATGCGGGCGGCGGGATGATTCCACAGCTCCGAGACGTCGTAGTCCGGGAGCGCACCAAAGTCGCACTCCAAGAGACGTCTGGTTATAATGACCACTTCCTTCTTCGCCTGCTCCTCCGAGATGCGGATTCCACCCTTGTTCTGCTCCCAGGTGATGGCTTCAATCTTGACGCCACTGCCGACACTGCTGCCGTCGCTTGGCTTCACATCCAGCACGTAGAGTTCCTTGCCCGTCCCGCTCCGAGCAAGGTGGATAGACAGGTTGCCGCCGCTCCGGCTCCGGTCCGTGACCGAAACGCGCCATTTGTCATCCTGGTCTTGGGGCTCGAAGCCGGCTTTGAGCTTCTCAAAGTCGGCGTCGCTGATGCTCAGGCCCCATGGTGCTGTGGCAGGCTCCTGCATGGCGTGTGCGTGACCTGTCGTTTGCCTTGCACGTCAGCACGGGAACAGCTGGGCAGTATCCTTGGGTGATCACGTACCTCTGAGTGCTGTGTGAATGTCTTTTGCTTGAGAATGATTGAGACAGGGTAGAAGCGACGACGCCGGACGCAGAGGAATCAGGATGGTTCGAGTGGTGGTTCGTGCTTTGCCTGCCCGCACCAGGTCAGAGTGGCTGGCTGCCTTTGTTGTTTATATGCATATTGATTGTCATGAAACTCTTAAGGATGACGTAATGTGGCGTGGACAAGCCACAGTTGTAATTTTCAAGCGTGCCGTGATATATTTCCCGCGGACTCGTAGTTGCATCAGACACTCATACGGAGTATATCGTAGTATATTGTCAACATGTGGCAGAGACGATGCAACCAAGTCCCTACTCCGATGAAGCACTTTTTGGCTGTCACTGTACCCAGGGTACGGCATATCCGATCAATGTCTCAGACAACCTCTACGAGAGGATGAGCATCTTGTCAGCTGATGTCACAGGTAATGGAAACCAACAGCGCCCGTTTATCAGTTGGGTATCAAGGGTATCTGACTAATATCCGCTAGGGCTTGATCACTTATTTCTCCGTGGCTCAGTGTTCAAACCCGACCAAAAGCCTGACAGCTAACCCCATGCCATAACATCTTCACATGAACCGAGCCCGCCATGAAGCTTACTCATCGCGGCAGCTATACCGCAAAGCTGTTTCAGGAGTCAACCATGTAACGTCGGCAATTCAAGTCCTGTACGAGGACGTGGGCACTGGGCGGCCCAAAGGATCATGTAGGAGGATGAGGCGATATATTCATGGTTGGGAAGCAGCCATCCTTGAGGATCTCTTCGACCAAGTTTCAGCCACTTGCAGACTAGTGCACTCTCTCCTTTCCATTGTTTTCATCCACCTAGCTGGCCGTGGCATTACCTGGCCGAAACAATGCCGAGTGATGGCACTGCCGAGCGATCAACTATGCCGAGCGTCTGCCAGCGTCGACCCCTTCCGGATAGACATTTCGAAGCCAGAGAGATCACAATAGGGCGGCGGACCTTTTGTGCAATTCTCCGTAAGCTTACTTGCATATGCCGGTATCGCCATCTGTCAACGCCTCGTCAACGTCAGATGATACACACCCTTACACCTGTGCCTGTGCCTGTCAGCACACCTCTATATTCCTCCAACCGCCGTTCCTTCAGTGAAATAAGTGACTCAATCTGCAGACAGGTTACTGCGATGTGTCTTACCTGCAACGCTAGTCGACACGACTTTCGTTGTTATCCTGCGCCTCTAGGATTTCTCTCTGCGTGGTTTTTTGGCTTTTGTTTCATCTCATTCTTGTCAGCTTACATGGACAAGAACAATATTGTGCACAACAGCTGCAAATGTGAAGTGTCATTGCAACGTCGTTCAAGGCAGACAGGGCAAGGGAAAAAAGAGCATATAAGAAGGTGTTGTTTTTCTTCTCTCAGATTTTCGGCATCAAAGCAAACGCCATCACATCCTTCGCATCCAAAGTCTCTGACGCAAAAGAAACAAACACAAACTCAAGATGCACAGCTCTTCGTTCTTCGTTCTCCTCGGGATTGTTGCGTCGCTAGTGAGCGGTGTCGTAGCCTCCACTCTCTACCGAGGGGACTCGCGCGGCCCCAAGACTATCAAGGATGCCGGCGGTTTCAAGGCCAAGGGCTTCAACAACCCCGAGGGGACTTTGTTCGAGCACGTGGAAGGCACGCTGAAGCATCCTTCCAGGGACCCATTCATCTCTACCTCGAACGACATCGAGGTGTCCAAGAAACATGCCGGGAACGGATACCTTTACACCCTCGACTCTACTAAAATCCACCAAAAGATCCATGACGTTGCGGCAGAGTACGCACAGGCAAAGAAGAAGTACGGGCATGCCGACGAAAAGGAATTCTCGGTCGAGCACTTGATCCCGTGGGACGCCGTGACCAAGGTCCAGAAGAAGAAGGACGGCGAGTGGAAGACGATCAAGATGCCGACCAAGCGCATGCCTGAGTTTCCCGACGGCGACGTCTTCGCCGCGTAACCTGTGAGAAGGGGAATCAGGCCATCTGGACAGTCTGCATGACGTGCACAGGAGACTCGGTGTACTGAGAATGGAGGCCTACGGTGCCGTGGGTAACATTGTCCGAGGTATGCTGGAGGAAAGCGAACGGGACTGGGGACGTGATGTGCCAGCTCGGCAAGGGCTACAAACACTCGTTGTCATGGAACGGATACCAACAGCTCGAGTAGTAACACTTGTCTTGTCAAAGATAATGCCACTCTGTCGCACTGCGCTGCGAGTTGGATATGATCCTACGAGCACTGGACGTCATTTGGCTTTTTTCGTGCAAATGCCAGTTTTAATGTTGACCGTGTAACACTCAATGACGGCGGAGCTCCGCGCCATGTTCAGAACTTCATCGTTGTCCCCGAGAAGAACAATTATTTTGCAGAGTGAGTAAGCAGCCTAGACCAGTCTTGATGGTGACGGGTCGTCCTCTGTCATGCCCGCCGTCAGAAAGAACTTGTCCCCCCGTCCCGCCGCTTCCTTTTCTTAGTCTGGTCAGGATCGTTGGCCTCCCAAATGTGCCTTTCTTTTGTCATATACATCGTCGGCATAACACCAGATGTAAACAGAGAACCGAGCGAGTCAGACCCGAAAGCCTTTCGGGGTGTAATATACTTGAAATATGCTTGAGACAGTTTAGAAACGGAGCGACGCGAGCGCAGTGCTCGAAAGACAGAAAAAGCTAGTAATATGGCATGATGAGCAGCGATGGACTGAGTCCAACAGTGGGAGAGTCCTTGTTCAATCAATCTATCTGGATCAATGGCCCGTTTTGTTCATGAGTGTGTAGCTCGCTGCCTGTTGTTCCAATGCTGCAGATAAAGCGGAAGTTTGATGTTGATGTTGACCACCGAAACAGCAAGTGTTTCAAGTCCCTCGTGGTGGCCAACTCTTGTTACAGGTTGCGTGCTTCATCCCTGGTCAGTATGGTCTCGCCGCCTCTCGCCGCATCTCGTTCCGTGTGCTTTTCTGCCATACTTTGGCGCATGGTATCTCCGTCCCGTGGCTGCTGACGTCGCTCACACGGCGCATGGGAATTGAGCACCTGGGGTCCTAAACAACTTGTCATGCAGTTGACCAAACTTTAACGCCGTGTGGCGGGCAAGGGGCGAGTCTGTGCAGATCTTGTTTTGTGACGACTCCGCAACAGACAGATTCAGTGCTGCGAAGGGGACGCGCCACCTCCTGACGGGGAGATGTCTCGATTCTTCATGAGCCGATGGTCATGGCGAATGGAGCCCTGGCAGCGACATGTAAGGGGGCACTTGACGCCCAAACCTTGGTGTAGTTAGTTCCATGTCAAAAGGGACATACTCTTTCCTGCCAAGACGCCCCATTGCACTTGACTTTGAATATTCGACTCTGAGCAACTGCGCCGTTGCAACTTGACTGCACTGAGAATGGTCCGCCTAAGCTATTTCATCTCCCGTACGTACCAGTGTGACTGCCTTCGAAGCACTCGGCTGACCTGACAGCTAGTGGCCTTGGCTGCCCAAGGTCTGCAGGCCGCTCCGAGCGAGCCGAGAGGCCAAGTTGGAGTTCGAACCAAGGACACTGAGCTCGATTTTGACACTATTGAAATGCAAAAGCGGACTGGGGAACTAAACAGCTGCCATACACGGGCGGTCATCGACCCTGAAGGGATATCTGGACTGTCGGGGACCGCATTTGACGACATTTTTCACCCAGGAAAAGAGAGTCAGACGCGAATCGGTTCTCGGAAAGTCGTGACGCCACATAACGGCGGACGAAATAAAATGTCAACAAGTGGTCGCTTATTTGTCTGTAGTTTGCAGCTGATAGTGATGTTGTAGTATGGAACTCTTGCCCCCATTGAGTACCAGCAAGAGTTGGTGATCGGCAGGTAGCGCTTGAAAATGTCCAATATTTGTAGCTGTACGTGGTGGATCTCGTGACGCCCTGTGATGCGTGATATGGCGAGTGCTTTAGATGTTCATACCCTGCTTCAAGCTCCTTACGCCTCCTGGCCAACTCCAAATCGACAATGGACGCTTTCCTATAGCTCTCTATTTATCATTCAAGACTTCCTCTTATCGATGTCTATTTCTTAGCCAGCTCGAATCATAATAAATAATATTATAGGAGATATTGATTACACCAACTTTGCTTATTCTATTAATAAAGGCAGGCTTATCTCAATTATTGCCGTGGAGCTACACGCAACAGTTGTGGGCTGGCCCTCCAAGAGCTCGACCTGAATAGAACTGTGAGCCAAGCAGTTGGAACTTCTACCACGAAGCGGTCACAGAGAAGGCTCTAGCCTCGGGATTCCAGCAAATTTTAGCGGCCTATTAGCAAGGCTCGGCGAGTAAGGGCGGCGGTTAGGCCTTCCACTATTACCGGTGATGATTTGCCTCCCATTGTCAGGGTAATGTGATTGTGCTTTCCGCCGAATGCGGGTGCATCCCTTGCTTTCAGCTTGCCTCTTTGAATCTGTGGCGTCGTGGCATGTCGCAAAGGACATGTATGCAACTTCGGCAGTGCCGCTATTTGTCAAGCCCAGCTATTGTCCTTCCATTGGCCACGGCAATGAAGCAGCTCAAGATGCACCTGTACTGATCTGAGCAGAAGATGTGCGGGACGGGGGACCGGAACAGCCACGCCATGTTATTACATGCACAGACTTTTCATGAGCTTGGGCGAGCTGCATGAGTGAGGAAAACATTGTATATCCCGCAGTCCGCCTTTCAGATTCATTCTGATGTGGCCATGTTCTCAAATCATCTCGTCGCATCCCACCTCTCCCTTTGTAAACCAACATCTAACACAAATCGGAACCATGTCTCTCCCAGTCGGTACTATCGACACTGGTAATCACGACTTCGAGTTTGCTCACCGTGGCATTGTGGCACCTTGGACAATCCCATCATCCGTGACTCGGATGGCAACGTTGTCTGGGATGCTAACGCCTACGATTTCATGCAACAAGATTGTCCCGATACTGCCAATTCGTCTCTATGGCGACAGGGCCAGCTCTAGGCAGGTCTGTATCATGTCGTCGATGGTGTATATCAAGTACGCCGGCTTGATCTTGCAACATGAGCATTGTCCAGATTCCGAATACAAACAAGATTGTCATCATCGACTGCCTGACGTCTATTGAAACCGCCAACGCAGCTTTTATGCTCTATCAGGACCATCACAAGGAACGATTCCAGCGTGAACCCGAAATTCACGCCCTCTTGTACACCCACAACCACGTTGACCACTTTGGAGGAGCCCAGGCGATTGTGAAATTAGCTGGCGATGAGAACATCCGAATCATCGGTCCTGACGGCTTCCTTGAACATGCCGTGAGCGAGAATGTATATGCCGGAGCGGCCATGTCCTGCCGGAGCGGCCATGTCCCGCCGCTCCATCTACATGTACGGCGAGACCTTGCCGAAGTCTCCCACAGGTCAGATTGGTTGTGGCCTCGGCCAGGGGCTGTCAAGAGGACACAGCTCCTTGGTGGCACCTAACCAGAGCATCAAAGAGGACGACGGTGTCCTGAGGCCCGGCATCGTAGGGCTGGAAATTATCTGCCAACTTACACCTGGCACGGAGGCGCCTGCCGAGGTCAACTCTTACTTCCCGGCCTACAATGGCTTCTGCATGGCGGAGAACGCAACGCATACGTTGCACAACATCCAGACGCTGCGAGGGGCCCCAGTCCGCGACGCTCGACTCTGGTCTCGATACCTCGACGAGTCTATTTCTCTGTTTGGGCACAAGGCCGACGTCGTCTTCTCCAGCCACCACTGGCCGACATGGAAGCATGATGGTGCCGGCAGCGGCATCCAAGACGACAAGGTGGAAACGCCACGCATCTTGATTTTGACTTTTCTATCCGAGCAGCGCGACTACTACGCCCACCTCCACAACGAAACACTACGCCTGCTCAACAACGGTAGCACCCCGGCTGAAATCTCGGAACAGATTATGACGCCGCCTAACCTGAGCCTTCGAACGAACCTGCGTGGCTACGACGGCTCAGTTAGTCACAGCGTCAAAGCAATCTAAGACAAGCACATGGGTTGGTTTGATGGCAACCCAGCGTATTTGTGGAAGCTGCAACAAGCCGAGTAGTCAAATGCATGGGGGCGTCGAAACTCGCTCTCGACAAGGCAAAAGCTTACCACACCGAGGGGAATCTCCGATTCGCGGCCACTCTTCTGAACAAGATTATCTTTGCGGATCCAAAAAACACCGACGCAAAGAACGAACTGATTTCTGTCTACCGGGAGCTAGGACAAGGCGCCGAAAACGGTACCTGGTGCAACAGATATCTCTGCGGCGCGCACGAGCTGCAGTACGGGCCTCACGAGGCCATCAACGTTATGACGCCCTCGTCCGTGATGGCTCTAAACTTGGGTGAGCTTTTCGACACCATGGCCATCCGCATCAACGGCCCAGAGGCATTTGCCCTCGAGAACGCAATTGCTATCAATTTCATGGTGGAGGACATGCCGCGAAAGTCGCTTCCAGGAAAGGGCCCGATCGGGTGGCACCTGAGGTTGAGTAACGGCGCCATGACTGGACATGGAATCCCATTTGTCTCGTTTAAAAACCCCAGAGATGGCGGCGACATGAAAGACAGCAAAGCCGAACTCACAGTCTGGCTCTCGCACGGGACCCTGGTCACGGTTGTCGGAACCGCCGCCGCGGGTCACAAGACCGAGATCAAGACCTACCAAGTCGTGACTCTCGGAGACCCGGGACAAGGCCATTGCCTTTATCCAAAAGCCTGAAAGCAAATTTAACATTGTCACTTTCTTGTATCCGCAAAAAAACTTTTTTCGCCAATTATCTTGTGACATTGCTTGCAAAGGAAATTCAGACCATGATCTGTGTGTCGATGTAGTGTATTGAGTGATTCCGCTGGCTCTTGAGTTTTCGCAGGCAGGTTTGACGCAAAGAATATGGCCGTTCAAGTAGGAGAAAGTTTTGTGGCTCCTGTGAGGAGATGCCTGGGATTTCTTTCCGTTGTCTCTCGTAGCGTTGTATTCGCACTTGGTGTTCCTAGGTGTGCAATACTCCAGTCCATCATGCCGTACACTACTCAAGCTTGAGTATTGGGACTCGCAATACTGATCACTACTTCGGCAACGTGTGCTTGAATGAATGTATTTCCGCCATGATACCCTCACCAATCCCAAGGTGATTGAATGCGTTGCATTCTAACCTTTAATATTTCGTACCCATAATCCGATCCGGAAATCCTACAGCCAGTATTGATTTTTTTTACAAGCGTCACTATGGCGAAAGAAACTAGGGAGCTTGAAGATCACCTTTTGGCGGCAGTGGCCTGGATAGAGGGAGGCGAGAGGCAGTGGGCATTTGCGATGAAAGGCTTGGCTACGCTTGTTTTGCTTGACAAGACTTGTCACCTCACATGTACAAATACTCACTTTGGAGGATTCAATCATTCGGCCGAGCAAGACACGCCGACGTGATGGTGCGCATGCGTGGTCACGACGGAAAAGAGGCATCTCTCACCCTGCACCTTGACCATGATGCTGTCAAAAAGTATTACGTAAATACAGTCAAACGAGGGTGAAAGAACGCTTTTCAGGCAATACATGGCTTCCAGTGCCTACCTAGTTAGAATATCTCAGATGGGGCAGTTCGTGAGCCGCAGCATTGTGACCAACTTGGTCAACGCAGATGACTCGCAAGGGGCCGTTTGATCAGCAACGACACGTCCGCGCCACCAGCTGCATTAGACGACTGTTCTTGGCCAAAGTTCACATCCGGCTCCAACTGTCCTTCTCGCTACTGAAGTGTCAAATCAGTTTTCATTATCCAAAGACCCAAACCTGGACGACTTGACCGGAAACCGTTACCAAGTGGCGGTAAGTGACCATCAACGTCACCCGTGACTGCACTGACCAGCATCAGACCGGCCAGTATCAAGCCGTGCTTTCTTCGTGGCTTGGTTTTCAACGGGGACACAAAGGTTATTAAGACTCATTTGATCCGTCGGCACCTGAAGACAAGGGCAACATGGGGCAATCACCTCGGAGGCAAGGAAGCTTGGAAGCTTCCCACGTTCAGTAGCAGCCTGGACGTGCCAGCCACGAATGGCGCCGTGGGAGTGTCAACATGAGCCCATCGATCTCATGACGCGCGGCAATTGACGAACCTACGTGACGACTCAAGTGTGCCTTGCTTTGGCAATTCGTCGGGCACTGGCAGAGCCGGTTCCGGTTCTTCATGAAGCTGGATCCCGCTGTCCAATGTCTCAAAGGTCAATATCTACGGAGTACCTTTTGACTTTCCATGCCCAGAACCTCAGCCACCCATCCAGCCCATCCAAACGTCGGAGAACAAGCAATCACACGCGTGAATCCACTGCTCAAAACTGCCGTAACGTAGCCGGCAGTTCTGGCTGATAAAGTAAGATAAAAAGGCTTGTGGCGCCGCTGTCCCAGGATCTTCATCACCCATCCTCAGCCGCACGAGAACCAGACATGGGTTGCAGGAAACATGCCACCAATTATGCCATTCTTTGTATTTAGCCCTGTATCGGAGCGGCGTTGGCCCCAGAATCTCGTGTCACAGGTCATATTGCCAGCCTGACAGGCCGCAAAGATACAGAATTCTACATAGGACGCCGATACGAAACGTCGCGTCCTTCGGGTGACCATGTGCACAGCCTGGCAGACCCGGCTTCTCAGGCTGAACGCCATCCTCTTCCAACTATCGCGCGTCATGTTGAGGCTGAGAAGCTGGAAGGCTGACTGCGGACAACGACCAGGGGACGATTTGCAAAGGCAACTCAGCGTACCGTGCCCAAAGACATTGGGAACAAGCTCCATGACCTGTCGGCTCACGCTCTGATTAGAGGTGACACTTTGGTCGCAAAGGCTTGCTTTTCAGCCTGCGTGTTAGGCTCCTCCGCAAGATACACATACTAAAAAGAGTCATTTCGTATCTTCAATGTCGTTTTATAAAGAGGCCAGGCCAGGCCAACTCGCATCTTTGCTCAAGACTGTCAACTCACAAGCATCTTCGTCACAAGGCCACATACTTAATCAGGATCGGTATATTTACAAGGAGAAGAACATAATCAAGTATGCGTTTATACTTGCTCTTGGTCTCGACAGTTGCCGACTGGGCAGCGGCTGAGCAGGCTCTCCCCATGCAAGCTGTCGGCGGCCTTTCTGCGCGCCAACTCTTGGCCAGATCCGAGCCAGTATTCGAGTTCTCAAAGCGAGCCACGTGTGATATCGGCCAGGTCACATGCCACGACGGCTGCATTCCTATCGGCGGCAAGTGTTGTGTCTCAACGGGATGGTGTAAGGTCGGTACCGTCTGTGACGAGAAATTTGGCGGTTGCTGTCCACTCGGCAAGACTTGCACCAGCGGTCCTACTGGCGGTCCAAAGTGCGACACGGGATATATACCTTGCAAAGATAAGTGTATGCCCGCTGGAGGGGACTGCTGCAACGACGGCAACTTTTGCAAGTCCGGCACCAAGTGCAACGGCAACGGCGGCTGTTCCAGTGGCGGTCGAGGCGGCAGCCAGTGTCTCTCAACTGAAGAGTCATGCAACGACAAATGTATGCCCAGGGGATCCGTGTGCTGTGGCAATGGTAGATATTGCAGGTCGGGATATGCTTGCGCCAATGGAGGTCTGAATTGTTCACCGGGCGGCAGCGGAGGCGGGAGCCAGTGTCCGTCGACTCAGGAAGCATGCAACAACAAATGCGTTCCCAGGGGATCCGTCTGCTGCGGGAACGGGAAGTATTGCCCGGCAGGATACACGTGTATCAATGCTGGTCTCGGATGCTCTCCTGGAGGCTCCAGAGGCAACGGTGGTGACTCTGGCAGCACGACTGCTCAGCCTACCTATACACTGACAGCGGATGACGGCTCCGGAGCTTCGCAACCCAACCTTCAGCCTACCGATACGCAAGGGACGAATACGCTGTCCGGGCTTACTCCTCCCCTCTCGGGCACGAGAACTCTGGCGAACCCATTTCCCACCGATTCGAATGCTCCCGGGACGGCCACCGGCGCAAATGCCCCCACGCAGACCAGAGTGCCGGGGGCGGCTGGAATGGTCCAGGCTCCTCTGGCCGCGGGAGCGGTGGCGATGGCACTTGGTCTGGTTTTGTAGGATGCCACCAAAATGGCATTACCTCGAGTGTCCCCGTCGGAGGAAGAGGCGGTATGGGTAGAGCGCGAGCGATGACGTCGGTGGGCATGATAACATGATTTCTTTGTCTTGAGTAACGAAGCAAATGAAGCCCGATTGTTTACTCCGCGTATGAATGCTAGTTGCCGGTGATTTTGTGAATATGATCAAGTCATGATGCCAGGACTCGCGTGCTCAACGTCTACTGCGGAGCAGACTTACCCCACTTGCTGCCTGTCCCTGTTTTCTGCCACCCCCGACCAGCAGCTTCTCTGCTTACATCATTGCTTCAGACCCCAGCCGGGCACTCGACGCCGTTGTCAATCTGTCAATCCGTCAATCTGGCCGCCATCCTTCTGCTAGTCATCTCCATTCACTCATTCACTCATTAATGTGAGAGGGGGTTCTCGCTCGCCCATCCATTTGGTGGGCGCCGTCACCGTCCCTGATCCCCTCGCCATCATGGTGTCCCAGGAGCTGTGCAAAGACCACCCTGCAGCTCCCTCCAACCATTCAATCCAGCCACTTCAAACGCAACAGAAAGAACAGGAGCAGCGATCGTCCCAAACACCGTGGTCCGACGAGCTCAACGATATCGTTGGGGAGCATGTTGGTGTGGAAAGAAGCGTGCCCGGCAACAGTCAGACCAACTACGGCCGCGACGAAAACGTTTGGGATCCATCTGAACCACAGCACCCCAACCGACCAGAAACCGAAAGCCCCAAAGAGATTCCACCTGCGCTCACACCTGGCGGCAACAGAGCGGCTACGAATCCTTTTGTGAGGAGGAAACCAGTACCTCAGCAGCCTGAAGCTCCAGTGACCGAAGCCTTCTACAAGCTCAACGTCAACGACGCCGACCAAGATACCAATCCGTGGCAGCAGGCTGTCGACGGTCAGCAGGCTTCCATGGGTCATTCGACTTCGCAGCCACGACCAGTCACAACCGAGGGCATCAAAGATGATCCGTGGGCTACCAGTGACGACCATCCAACTACCTCGCAGCCAAATGTCCCTACCATGTCTCCAGCATTGATATCACTGAAATCAAATGACGACGATGATCAATCTGCATGGAAAGAAGAGCTTCACGATAACAAGGAAAAAACTGCCATCGAGCCGCTACCAACTGCCATGGCTGATGAAATATTGGATCAGAATGTCTGGGATGATCTTGGTGCATTCGACAAGGGAAAGGCCAAGCTGCAGCACGTCTCTGCAGCTGGTCACGGCGGGCAGATCGACGATTGGAGTCTCATTGACGCCGAATCATCTTCAAACCTGTCGAGACATGCAAAAGAGGATGAGAGTGCAGATGAGAGGCCGCCTTTACCGGCAAGATCCACTGGCCTACAACAGAAATGGGTTCCGTCGCGACCGCCTGTTGACGCCAGAGCCGAGACTTACCAAGTTAAGAATATCCAATGGCACGATACAAACACTGAGCATAATCCTCGAACGTCGCCCATATTGATTCAGAACGAGAACGGTCCTTGCCCCCTAGTTGCGCTGGTCAACGCCCTGACTATGACTACGCCAGCCGACAATCCCGACCCCGCGCTTGTGCAGGTTCTCAGGTCACGGGAGCAGATTAGCCTGAATCTGCTCCTGGACGCGGTCTTTGACGAGCTCATGTCACCGCGACGCACAAACTCGGAAGATGCGCTGCCAGATGTGTCCGACTTGTATGCGTTTTTGCAAAGCCTGCACACAGGCATGAATGTGAACCCTCGATTTATCCCTACCCGAGAAATGGTCGACGCCTACAAGCGGACTTCTCTCACACATTTAGATCCCAGTGAGCGAGGAAACTTGATACCGGGGACGTTTGAGAACACTATGGAGATGAGTCTGTATGCGGCATTTTCTATTCCCCTAATACATGGTTGGTTGCCTGCACAAACCGAGCCTGCCTATGGCGCCATGGAACGACAAGCAGGGTCATATGAAGACGTGCAGAAGCTGTTATTTCGCGAAGAAGAGCTCGAGGCAAAGCTCTCGACGCCTGACGGGCTGACTGCAGACGAACAACAGCTATACCAAGACATTTTGACAATTAAAATGTTTTTAGCTGCATCAGCTACGCAGCTCACGGCATGGGGCATCCAAGTCATAGGGAAGGCGATGCGGCCGGGGACATTTGCGATTCTCTTTCGGAACGATCACTTCAGCACCTTGTATTGTCACCCTCAAACGCTACAGCTGCTCAGTCTCGTCACCGACGCCGGCTACCGAACTCATGATGAAGTAGTCTGGGAAAGCCTGGTAGATGTAAACGGGGAACGAACAGAGTATCTGTCTGGTGACTATCATCGCATCGGACTGACCAATGAGGCCGGACCAAGCACCAATCTCAACAGCACGTTCACCGACCATGGCGGCCAATGGACAACAGTGCTCAACAAGCGTGGCAAGGCAAGACAGCAGGACGAGGAGGCAGGGCCATGCGTCTCACAGTACGAACAAGAAGACCGAGATCTGGCGCTAGCTTTACAACTTCAAGAGGAAGAGGACCAAAGACATCGCGAAGAGCAGGCTCGCCGCCTTCAGGAGAGGGTCTTGTCTGAGCAATATATCGAACAACAGGGCCACCGACCCGCTCCGGTCAACCGAGATCGAAGAAACATTTCGACGGCCTCGGGGCAAAGTGGCACGACCCAAGAAAGGCGTAGTTCGAACACGCGCAGCATCCCGGTTACAACAAGCACATCGAACCCGCGACAATCCAGCGTGTCTCTACCTGTACAGCAACAGGCACCAGTACAACAAGCCGTCAGGCCGCTTGTTCCGCCGCAGCGTCCTGGCGTGACACGTCGAGCAGAGTCCAATGGAGACGACGCACCGCCTTCATATGAGCAGGCTGCGCAAGACGCGGCTTATATGCCGTCGGTGGGACACCCGATACACTCGCAGAGTAGTAGCACGACCTCGCCGAGGCAGACATCAGCAAGTGTCGAGCCGTCTGCCAGTCAGGTGCAGGGTGCTCCGGGTCGGCGTCAATCCTCGTCGAGGCAGCCGTTGATATCAGTCGACCCGCCGATGAATTTTGTTGACAGTGCGCAAAGCCAACAGGCGTCGATGTCGCCTCGACCTAGACGACAGGCTGCTGGCCATGGTGGGCGAGACAGAGAGTGCGTGGTGATGTAGCGGGTTTGGCTTGTGAGAGATGATGTCCGACTGCTATGATTTGATGAGGCATTCACGATTCTCGCATGGCGTATGGTGTGTATTGCATTGGCGCGACTGTATTGTGCAGTAGTATTGCTTGGGTAGTCGTGATTGGCCAATGGAGAGATTTTACACTGTGAAGCATGAGCAGTTATGCAAGGCGAGTGATGTTGTTACGTTGACGTGGCTTGAGCTCTTGTCCGGACCATGGTTTCCGATGCGACTCGACAGACAATGCCGACAATTACGTGAGTTAGGGAGTAGATGGCAGGCTGGGTAAAAAAACCACAGTTGAAAGGAGATGGACGAGATGAATGCTGCCCCTTTGCGATGCTTATGTGACGTGTCGTGTCGGTGCTCTTTCTCTCCGGTGTCCACTTTCGAGATTGATTGAATTCGAGAGGCTGGATTGGCCCCACTCTTTCCGCTTTTGACCCATTTCGACGTACCGCATCGACATCAACGCATCATGGATGGAAACAGCTTCGTCGTCGGCGAGCACTGCGGCTTTGATTTGACCTTGACCTGCAGCTGCACTGCCCAAGCCGAACCTCCGGGATGCCCGTTGTTCGTCGTCTTCCTTGGTACTGGTCAAAGGTTCCACAGCACGCCAGTCGGGTATCGAGATTGATTCGCGCGTCCTCACCGCCGGTCGCATCACCTCGCCGTTGCATCTTCAAGAGTCTGCGTCTCGGATCCCGAGCACGGATTGCGCCGCCATGGCCGTTGTAGAGAGCTGGTTCCCTCCCACACGGGAGAACTGGAAGACGACAGTGCTCACCTTTCAGATCCTCTACCCTGTTGTACGTTTGCCCGGGATGGGAGGGACGCGATGAAGAAGGAGAAGCAGAAGAAGAAGCAGAAGAAGAAGCAGAAGAAGAAGCAGAAGCAGAACAAGGCTAACACGGCTCGTTCCCCAGCTCTCGCTCATGCAACTCTTCATCTCGTGGTACGGCATGGGCAAGACATCTGTGCAAAGCAGACTCAACCTGCCCGGCCGCGTGGCCTGGATGCTCATGGAGATGCCCGGCTTCACCACGGTCCTGTACCTGATGAGGACGCTGCCGCCGATCTACGGCATCGACGATCTGCCATGGCAGAACCGCGTGCTGGCTGGCCTCTTTGTACGGCCTTCCCCCCTCCCAAAAGCATCTCATACTCGCGGGCAGCTGACGCTCTGCTTCCGTCACAGGTCATCCACTACATCTACAGGGCGGTCATCTTCCCGTTGATCCAGCCGTCCATGTCGCCGATCCACGTGCTCGTCGCCCTCATGGCCGCGGGCTTCCAGGTCCTCAACGGCATTAGCATCGGCGCCTGGCTTGCTGCCTACGGGCCCGTTACCGAGGACGCCTGGGTGCGCCAGTGCTCCGTCGCCCAGTTCTGCGCAGGTATTGCCATCTTCTACCTTGGCTTGGCGGCAAACTTCTTCCACGACGAGGAGCTTCGAGAGATTCGGCGGAACGAGAGGCGTCGCCGCCACCAGAAACAGCAGCAGCAGCCCGCCAAGGGCGCAGCCGACAGGGCGCGTGTCAGCGTTGAGAAGCACTACCAGATCCCCCAGGCCGGGCTTTTCAAGTACATGCTTTACGCGCACTACTTTTGCGAGTGGGTCGAGTGGTTTGGGTTTCTGGTGGCCGCCGGATGGGGTTGCGTGCCCGCGTGGACGTTCTTGGTGAATGAGGTGTTTGCCATGCTGCCGAGGGCCGTCAAGGGAAAGAGGTGGTATCTGGAGAAATTTGGCGCGGAGAAGGTTGGCAAGAGGTGGGCGGTTGTACCGGGCCTTGTTTAGCCCTGATCTTGGGAGGTGGGTGAGTTGAGCCGGGCGTGATGACGCCGAACAAGTCAAGTCGCCTTGTAGATAGTAGTTCCTTGTGGCTAGCACACAGCTCGGCACCCTCATGTACTGCCTGTTTGTGCTGCCAGGGTCGTTGGGCTCTTTTGCCGAGCAGGTCCAAGATATTCTCGTTGGGGTGCCTGGGACGTGAAGGGCGCGTCAATAGCTGCTTTGTCTGCGAGCGACCTGGGCCGAGTCTGAGCACGACCCTTCGACAAACTAAAGGCCTCGATCGAATCGGCGATGAGACGGCACTCTCTTCATGGGTAATCGGCACCTAGGACCAGGTCTGAACCAACAGCGTCAAATACCCGCAGTTCATACCCGAAACAAAATAATCCCTATTGACAGGACGCCGGCGCAAGGAACAAAATACCAATCATGTTCGCTTTCAACATCTCTATTTCGTACCGTCATGCCCACATGGCCGTGTATTTCCAAGCCCACGGCTCTGCTCTATCATACCTTGCTCTTATAAAACGCGTCAACCCAGTCCTTCATCTTGCTCACCTCGGCGTCGACAACCTTCTTGGCGCCACTGTTCACACGGGCGTTCTTGATAATCATGTCATTGCAGTGCGCCGCCCGGGGAATAACATAGGACGGGCGCGCCTCGTCGCCGACAAACGGGCCGCCGGGGCGAAAGTCGGATGCCACCGAGGCCGAGCGCCAGGGGTCGTACTCGCCGTTGACCCAGACGAGGCGCGTGGTGTTGACGTTGGCCCAGCCGCCGGTGCGCCGGTTGACGTCCTCGGCGCGCGCGCCCCTGACCATGCCGACCTGGTGCCCGTTGATGTCGGGGAAGTAGAGCGGGCACTGGACACGCCAGTACTCAACGCTGTACAGGGGCGCAGGGAATCCGACGGTGGACTTTTTCGATCCGGCTTGCCAGTATTCGAAGCTGTGCGTTCTCGTCAGACAGGACAAACACGCGAAGGGGGGCAGACGGGCAAGGGGCAGGACGCACGCCTCGTTGCAGAGAAACCACATCCACTGGCGGTTGTAGGGGTTGTCGACCGACGTGTCCGTGTAGACGGGGTACGTGGCGTTGTGGGAATCGTAGCACGCGAGGCGCGGGTAGCCGTCCCAGGCGGCGTTCTTGGAGCAAGCTTGTCGGCGAGTTCAGCTCGTCGCCGTCTCGAGATGGGGTGAATGGGCGGTGGCGGCCGCTGGCTGCTGGGGAGCGGTGGACTTACATCCTGGGCCGGGGAGAACGTATTCTCGCCAGAAGCGCGCGAGGCCCTTGAGACTCTGGCACACCCCGACGCCTTCGGGCCCGGGGACGCTGGTGCCGTTGGTGGTCTGCCGGGTCTGGTGTTAGCATCCGCCGCCGCCGCTGCGCGCGCGCGGCGCAAGTCACGCGGCACTCACCTCCATGTAGTCGCACATCTTGAAGATGTCCGTGTACCCGCTGTAGAACTGCTGCCCCTGCCAGTTGCCCAGGCTGCCGTCAATGGCGCTCACAAAGTCGTCGTCCGCGAGGCCGTCGAAGCCAAACCTGCTCTTGAGCCTGTCCCTGGCCGCGGCGGTGCCGTTGGTCAGCACCGCCTGGAAGTACCTGTTGATCCTCTTGAGGTCGGCGGTGCAGTTCCTGGGGAGGGCCGCTTCAATGGGCGCAAAGTACTGCCAGAAGTCGCCGATTGTCTGGACGACGGCGCTCGAGCAGTGGTACGCCCAGAAGGTGCCCGGGGCGAGGTGGTGCGTCCACGCGGTCAGGGCGCCGGGGTACGAGCAGCCCGAGAGCACCCAAGGCGCCTTGTCGGGTCTGGAGGAGCCGTCCGGGTCAAAGGGGAGCTGGACGTTTCTGGCAAAGTGGACGAGGTCCCGGATGGACTGGTTGAGCGTGAGGTACTGCAGCGTCTCGGTGGTGAGGTTCTGGTACGGCGAGCTCCCGCCCCAGTAGCGGTGTTCGAGGATGAGGGCGGCGCCGCCGTTGGTCTGGGCGAAGACGCCGGGGAGCGTCAGGTTGGTCGTGTATCCGATGAAGTCGTCGGCGGCGTACTCGCCGGGGGCGTTGAGGACGACGGGCGAGCCGGGCCCGCCGTAGAACTCGGCGTTGTACCAATACCGCTGCGTGAAGGTCCCCAGGGACGGGTTCTCGTGGTCAATGAGCTGCTGGAACGTCGCGGCCTTGATGTTTGGGTTGGCGTCGCGGCTCGAGACCTTGTAGGCCTCCTCTGGAATGGGGGGGATGTACCCGATTTCCTGGCTGGCATGCAGGGCGTTTACACATGCCGGGGCCGCCGCGAGGGCCGCCATGGCGGCGGCCAGGAGAGATGTGGGCATGGCGATGGCAAGACACGCCTATCCCGGATGCCGTCTCGGCTTCTTGTTTGTTTGTTTGGGGGGGGGGGACACGAGCGAGATGCTGGGAGAACTACGACGAAGATTTTGACGCAGCTTGACACCTTGCGTTTTATATGGTTTTTTCTTCTAGGCGGCCGCATCAGACCACGGCACCTGGCATGCAGCTACACATGCCCCGTGAGCAATGATGACAAAATATCCGGGCAGATATGTGGCTCGCGCAGTACAAAAGATGCCGTCGACGGAGACGGCCCAGCCGACCTTCTGAATAAAGAGAAGCGACGAACCGGGCTGTGGGACCAGCATCCCGAGGTAGGCCTAGCAGTGCCGAGCGACCCCAAGGTCCTTTTGCGTCTTGTCTCCTTCTGAATGCCTCGAGCTGTGTCGCGGTCGAGGCCGGCCGACGGATCACGACGACCCCGCAAGAGACCGAGAGGCTCAGGCGTGTTCAAAAGCACCGGAGATGGCAGACAAGATAGCAACGGATCGTCGAGGCAAGCCACCAACCAGGTCAGCTGGCCCGACGCTGGACCTGAGCAGGATGGTAGCATGGAAGCGGTTTGAAGAACATCGACATCGACCTTCCTAAAGAGGAAATACGCGGCAAGTGGAGACCCGATGCTGCGCGGCCGGGACTGCGGGCCGTCACTTGATCCAACAACTCGGATTGTTTCGGCTGGTCCAGATCTTGGACGCGACTTTGTTGTGGGTGGCACGCTGCCGCTCTCGGTTTGACTAAAACGAGGAATGGATCGTGGCTACAGCCTGCAGACCTCAACTGCAACAATATGCAGCTGCGGTTGGGGGCAAAGAAAAACATCGTCCCGCGGGCCCGGACCGAGGCTGCACAGCTTCTCCGCACGAGGGGCCGGCGGACAAAATATAAGGCTGGTGCCACCAGACTGCATGCAGACGAGCTACTTATTTGAGGTTCAAATGGTCCTCGTGAATCCGTCTCTGCACCTCGCGTCTCAACAACGCTCGGCTGCTGCCATGCCCTAGCATAGCAGCACACGCAACCCGCCCTCCGACTTCGCGCTCTCTGTCTTCCTACGTCAATCAACATCAACAGTGACCCCCTCTCCCCTCCCCACGACGCTCCGTCGTACCTGGCACAACTAAGTGGCTTGGAGGCAGCTTGGTCATTCGGCGCCGCGCCGCGCCAAACAAGGCTCCTTGTTCCTGGCAGCAAGCCGCATGCCGCGACGTGCATGAGGCGTATGGAGACGGCCTTGAAACTGACACCGTCCCAAAGACCAAAGCCCAATCAATATCTTTTATCCACCTTGGAGCCGGGGTACTCAACAGCCGTCGCTATGTCTTACACGGAACATAACATGCCAGGACACCAGCGTTCGCCAGGGAATATATATGTATATATCCCAATTCCAAAGACCACACTTTCACAGCCGGTACTTTCAACCATTCACCGACTTGAGCACCACCAACCGAGAAATGGCAACGCTAGAGGTGTAAATACCGACGGTGCCCGTCCCGCCTGAAATGGTAGCACGCCAGCATGTTCGCAAAAGCCGTGTAACTCGGGCGCGCCAACAGTAGATGGCTACAAGACGACGGGCCTTGTCCCCCCGTCCCCTTCCCATTCCCGCGAGACGTCACAACAGCGAAAGAGAAGGGTGCGAAGAGTTGGTTGTGCAATGGTTCACGAGGCCGTCGGCGAAGAAGAGATCATTGGCTTGTTGCGGGACGCCGCCCGCCCAGTTCCCCCAGCTCCGCAACTTTGCAGCGTCCATGGATGACGCGTGCTGATGAGTATTGCAGTGGATTGTGACACAGCTTGCGGTGCCGGGGAATTTGGGTTCCGTCCGGTCTGGCATGCCCAGGAATCCCAGGAATGAAACGCGGCGAGATTTCCCGTGACATTGGATAGTCATCAGGACGGTCCGCCCCGCCCTGTTGAGGACGGTTAGTCGCCGCTAAGAAAGCCTTGGGCCTTGACCTGAGGGCGTGTAAGAGGTGGACCTGCGGTAGCCGTGAAGCATTGTCGGACGGGAGAGTCGAGTACAACTGCGCCGCGGGTGGCTATCCCCGGGGAGGACGTGGGCGTAGAGAAGACGCGACGATTCTCATCACGTACTGCGTACCCAGGTATGTCGATATCAAGTGGCTATGCGAGGAGATGCTGTACGACGCTGGCATATCAGCGCTTACGTGTGCGCGGCACGCACATTCGAGGCAGACTCGGTCATCGTCCCCGTCACCAACGAATGGATCTCATCTACAACTTCACGAGCACTGTACCGCACCGTTGGACGACCAAACAAGTTTTCTTCAAGGGGTATAGTCTTGGCCGCGCACGACGATGGCCGTCCGAGGCGGTCCATCGCCTGCTATTCGGCTGGGTCCGCATCTACGCCCACGTCCCGCCATACACGTCAACGTCAACACGTCGTCAATGTCCAACTCTCGACCTACACATGCCTTCGTTGTGCCTCTGCGCCCACTCAACCCCGTCCTTGCACGCCTACTCGTACCAGCCATCGAGCTCCTTTTCCAACTGCTCAAGAGTCGTAAGCTCGTCCGTCTCCATCGGGTATGTGCTGTAACTCTGTGCGCTCTGCGGATTGTCCAGATAGAGACTCCATTCTTCGCCCATCGCAAGCGCCACGTCACGGCTATAGTCGACCGAAACAGCGTCACCAGCAGGGCCCCGCGCGCTCTGTCCCCCGACGTGCCTCGTGTCAGTACCAGGTCCGGCGGCTTCATCAGACCGGGCCGCGCGTTGCATCCCATCACCACCTCCGGCATCGAGGCTAGAGCTGGCATCGACACGCTCCTTGGCCTTGCTCCCCCTCGGGGCAGCTACGTGATGAGCTCCGTCGGCTCGCTGTGACTCGGTTCAGCTCAGTTCCGTACTCGCCAGCGCTCTTTACTCACCTCCGCGGCGATTGGCTTCTCGTCGGCATGGCGCGAGAAGCATACGTCGCACGGGGGGGTCCGCAAGTCCGCCAGGTCAATCATACCGCGAGACCGCTTGCCGAGTTCCGCACCGCAGTCTTTGCACTCCATGGCTGCCTATCCTCGCGCAGATCCTACCAGGAAAGACGGCACTGACTGCCTGCGCTCTCCGTCAGCGGCAGGGTAGAACCTCTTCAACGGCAGCCGCGGACGTGCTGCAGGTATCGGCGGTGATGTCGCGCAGGTCGCGGGGTTTTTGCTCTTCCAAACAAGCTCTCGCCCGGCACGGTCTCGGTTCAGTCTCGACGGAGAATATCGCTCGGAATCGTATCGTCTGTCTAAGCAAGCACTCTTTCGCAAGGCGCTCGCCGTCGAGATAGGTTCCAGGATTCCCTCCCCTCCGGCCCGAGGGCACCTGGAGCGAGCGAGGGCATTATACGTCACAGCGGCAGGATAGACAGCCGAGTGCGATTCTTGTTCGGCATTCCCACAGGCGAGTCTTGAGCCCACATGCTTGGAGTTGCGCTCTCCCACGTGGGCTTTCAAAGCTGCGCGAGGCCGGCATGAAAGGAGGCTTCGTCCAGCTCTGTGCACGGGGGGCGGGCGTGTTTTTGTCCCGCCACGGACAAGGCAGGGCCCATTGTATACAATGGCCAAGGCTTCGCTCCTTGTTCTTGCAAGAGTTCTTGCAAGAAAGAGTGCGCCCTGCCGTGCGTGATCCGGCCCAGAGGAGAGGCTCCCTGATGGCAGATGCCGCTCCGTTCAGCCGCGGTGTGGTTTCTCGGCCGCACAGTCATCCCTGCGTCTTGCACTCGTCCGATACTCAGCCCGAAGAGCGCCTCGGTCGGAGGCGATGCAGAAACGGCTCAAAGGCCAGACTTGGCAAAGGGCAAAGTTGCAGTCCGATCCGAGAGCAGGCCGGCGCCGTGTCCACGCGCGACGCGCGACAAGGCCGCTCAGCTACATGCGTAAAGGCACCGTTGCTCTGCTCGAGGCCTCATCGTACGATGCCGCTGGGAGTCGTCGAGACTCGTACGGACGAGCCCCAAGCCGACAAAGCACCGCGCGTCGCCAGCGTTCAGCGCCAGCCCGCCCACAAGCACAAGACACAAGCTGCACATCTACGCGACAGCCATGCCGTCCCGACAGACAGACTGGCAGGCAGGCCTCGGATCCGTCCATAAAGTCTGCTCCGGACCTCCTCCAGCCCAGATGGCCCGTTCGTACAATCCCACGCCTCCAGCATGACCGCTCGCCTTCGTCTTGCCGACACACCGAGAGCGAGAGGCAAGCCAACGAGCGCCGTCAAGAGCATCGCATAGCAGGAATGAGGAAGCCGCCTCGCCCCGAGCCAGGAAGGAAACCAGCAACGATGTACTCGCCGCCTCCGCCTCCGCCGCGGGCGCCGTCGCCGCCGCCCTCCATGACGAGCAACTTCTCAGAGAGCTCCAGCAGCAGCTCGTCCTCGTCGCCAGCAATGTCATTCGAGATGAGGCCCTTCCGCCTGCCCACCTGGTCATGGCGGTGTCCCAGGTGCGCCTTCTCCTACCGAGTGTCCGCCACGGTGCGCTGTCTCGAGTGCGGCCAAAGACTGGGCCGGAGGCTGGTTCGCAGGACAACGACAGACGGGGCGGTGCTGCAGCTCCAAGACGCCACCGACGACTTTGACATCGATGGCTGGGCGGCGCAGAGGAACTGGGCGAGGACGACGCGAGAGATTGCCGCCGAGGCGCAGGTCGGGAGGGGTGAGGCTCTCGACCGTCCTCCACGCCCGCGGCCCAGCTGTTACCTGGACTGCGCGCACCCGGGCGAGTGTTACTTGGCTATGGATCCTGTTCCGCACGACTGGGATTCGAGATGGAGGTTTAGACGTTACTCGTGGATACGGTGACAGGCACGAGGCACACGGCGTGTACATGTCGAGAGAGACCCGTATCCTTACAATAGACAATATACATACTCGAGTGCACAGACATGACTGAGTGGCGTTGCTGGAGCCATCGCCGCCAGCCTAACATCTTCATCTTCGGTGACCACAGACTATGAATACTAGTTGTACATGACTTGACCCGACGGACGAGTTTGCCATCGTCGGACGTCTTTTCAAGAATATCCCATCCCGCGCTAGTCGTCTCGGGTCCGAGCCTGGTCGGTAGAGCAAGTTTTCGCCTCGGCCGACTCGAAATGAAAAACCCCAAAAAAACGAACCCGCATTGACGAGGCACCTCCTCGAAGAGGGGCAGGAGGGTAGCATTGGTTCCAACATCGTGGCCTCCATGGTCTCTTCCCCTCGCAGCAAAGTTTCGACGTGACCACGCCCATCGCAAATTCAAGAACGAGTAGATCCGCATGTTCCCCTAACCGTAACCCGAATACATCATTCACAAAAGTCAACGCCCGAGGTGTCCAGGCAGTGCGAGAACCCGCGAGCGACCACAGCCGCAAAAAGAAAGGACAGATACGAGAATTTGCAAGCAAAGGCGCTTATGCCTCGACGGCCTGTGCCTTCTTCTTTTTCTGTTCGACCTTGAGTAGCAGCGCGCGGTTGATGTGCGGCAGCACACCACCAAAGGCGATGGTGGCACGGATCAGGGTGTCCAGCTCTTCGTCACCGCGGATGGCGAGCTGCAGGTGGCGAGGAGTGATACGCTTGACCTTGAGGTCCTTGGCAGCATTCTAAGAGTCGCATGGTTAGCAGCTTGGTTGCCGAGGCGGCCAGGCGGCTGGCCACAACGCGACCTGGTCACACCATGAGCCTGAGTCGAGAGGGGGGTTACTTACGCCTGCCAATTCCAGTACTTCGGCGGTCAGGTACTCGAGGACGGCGGTGACATAGACGGCAGCCTTGGCCCCAACTCGCATTTTGTTCTGAGTGTTTTGCTTGAGGAAACGCTTGACACGACCGCAGGGGAACTAGGAGAAGCGAGTTAGTCGCGGCGCCGTCGAGGCAATCATGGTTTCGCGATCCGAGATGGAATGAGTGAGTGGCTGGTCCGGGTGCTCGTTTCGCAATTCGGGGCCCGCCAGGGCAAAACGCGACAATTGGCATGAAACACATGGGTCGCGCAAGCCGTTGTTTGCTCGTGACACACATGGTGCAGCCGACGGAAGCCGAGGCGCAGGACCGTCACGGTAGTTTTCGAACGCTGCCAGGAGTAGACGGCCGGTTGATTGACGCGTCGAGATGCCTTGTGCGAGTAGCGGTCACGTCGGAGGGGCGACGAGGTCGGGAGACGATGCTGGGAGGCGATGTTGACGTTCGGAGAGGGCGGGGGGCAAGTTCGAGATGCGCACGCGAGGCCGAACCGACTTGAGAAAAAAAAAGGCGCACTTCTTCCCATGGCACAACTCACACGAGACGCGCACGAAATTGGGGATGGAGTTGTTCTTACCTGAAGACCAGCTCGAGCCGAGTGGCTCTGTTGCTTCTTGTGACCCTCGACGCTGGTCTTGCCGCCGGAGCTCTTGCCCCCAGAAGACTTTCCCTTGCCGCCGGGCATGTTGGTGAGATGCGTGGGAAAAGGCTGAAGCGTGATGGATCGGGAACTTGCGACAGGAGCTGCGCGATTCGACGAGCAAATAATCAGGATGGTGGGATGTTGGAGCGAAGATGGGGGGGTGCGCGGACTGGCGGAGCGGCAGAAATTTAGGCTGGGCGGACGAGTGGCGACGGCAGAGGAGCGTTTGAAGGGCGCGAACTGCAGAGAATCAATGTTTTGCTGTCCAGTGTTGCCTCAGCGCGGTCAACTGGAGCTAGCGCCAGCACCAGCACGATTGGGGGCGCTGAACACTGAACCAGCAGGTGCGTGCGTGCTCGAGAGCTGGCGCAACCTGCCACAGTGAGCACCCGCCTGAAGCCTGGAGGCGGACGGACGCATGTGCAGCGTGAGAGCTCGCTCCAGGGCGCCTGTTCGTCCGGCTGCTGCTGCTGCCGTGGTGCCCTGCTGTCGCTAGTTGCGGCCAATGGGCCAATCAGGCCGCAACACAGAGAGCAAGTCCCGCTTTTCGGATTTGTTGACATTCTGGCCGCCGCATTCCGTTCCGAGTTCCAACCGTCAGGACAACCACGCCGGATGTCACATGACACGGTCGCGGCGGGGCACACAAGCCCGCAGCGCAGGCCCAAGGCATCGTCGACGGCTGCTGTGGCGAGAGGCCAGAGGCGAGCGCTGGATAGATTGCAAGTCATTGTTTGATAGTCGAGGCTGGTCGTTTCTCTTTAGGCGGCGATCCAAAGCCTGTTCGTCCGAGTTGTGAAGCTGCGGCTAGACGCAGAGCCCCGTACAGAGTCGGCAGCTATACAGCCGGCGAGCTTGATGCCCTGCGCCAAGCATTATCAGTGCTGCAAAATGCCATGGCCGGGGTTGTGTTCCATGTCAGCTTGGGGTGGTTTTCAGACGTACCGCTGCTGCCCAAGGCAAGCCGTACAGACGCCGCCGAGCGGATTCGGCATTTTTGAGCAACACGACTCTACTCGAAGCCGTCGTGAGCGCCATGTCGTTGACGGTTGCTCCCAGACGCTAGGCTCCGTCAAACCAGTTGACACCTCCTCGGAACCTGGAGCTGCGTTGTCCCGCTGTGGCTGGGTAGCCATGGGTCGTGGGTGCTGAATCCACCCGGTAGAACTGCCCAGCCACATCAACAAGGGACGTCTTTTGTGGCGCCCCAAAATGAAGTACCTAGGTACCTACTTGATAACGAGTTCCTCTCAAACACCAACATCGCAGCCATATACGATGTGTCCTATCGCACAACGCCGCCCGCCCTGGCCCCTCACAGACGCCTTCACTCCATCGCAACTACAGTACAGGGACCCAGCCTCGCTTTTCCCGCCGCTCATCGTGGCCATCGGGGCACAGCGTCATCCCAGACATTAGCAAAGGGATCGGCCGACTTGCCTGACAAAGGCTCGAGCCTCTCTGAACACAGATGCAGATCCGCCTTCGTGTCGTCTCTTTTCCAAGATGGGCACACCCAACATTGGCGAAATGAGCCGTCCTTGGCCGCCCGCCCACAAGCTTTCTTCAACTATAATAATGCGCGCCCGACACGGCCGGGGGTCCGAATTGCCCGCCCCGCGGTCCTTTCACGCATTTCTTTGACGACGCCTATTCCAGTACGCTCCCAGGCCTTTGTGGTGGCCAAAATATAATGATGGGAAGGAGCTGCAGCGCAGAAAAGGGGCAATTAGCACTGGAGCACAAACGAGGCCCCCCGTCACAACCTCCGTCCGCGGTTCTCTTTCTTCTCCGTCTCCCCCATTCCTTTCTGTCCCGGCCCACTGTCCTTTCGACATGGCATGCTTTCTCGAGAGTTCGCGGCCGTTCCCAGCGCCCTCATTCATGCTACAGCCGTCAAACTGTCTGAACACCTACTGTACGTAGCGCTATCCTATTCACTCATATGAAAGCTGCCAGGCGCCGCCCCCTTCTCCCCCTCCTTTCACTTTTGACTTGGAGCTGCACATGCAGAGGGTAACAAAACAAGAAGAAATGGAAAAGGAATCACAACCACAGGCTTCACTCCTGCATAAGTGACAAAGAATCAGCCCGTGTGGTGAGCAACCACAAACTGGATATATAGAAGTAGAGCCGGCCAGTGGCTGGGAACTGCTCAGAACTAAATACAAGATTTTGGGTTGTTACATCTACTGTTTTTTTCATGTTTGACGGTTGACTAGTAATAGAATTTTCATTTTTTACTTTTAATTTTTCACAGTTGAAAAGACGCGCCGCCACAATGGGCACGCTCGGAAAAGTCATCCTCGGGACCGGAAACTTTGTGCTCCCAAACGAAGAGGTCCAAGACCACGAGCAGCAGCCTCAGTTCCTGCCGCGGCTTCACTGGCCCGCGCAGCCAGACGCAATCGGCAGTCAGGCCGGTCCTGCATTGGGCCTCGACATCGACTGGCTGGACGCAGAGGCCGTCGGCCGGCTCGAGGAAGAGACGACGAGGACGTACCCTCGTCTGATGCCAATGCCGCCGTTTGGCACGGCAGACGGCCGATATGACGGGTGCCGATGGAGCACGCATCTCGCCGTTGCTCACAACTTGTTTCACAAAAAGCTCCGCAAGGGCAAGGCCGTAAATGCCGTTGAGATGGCGGTGCTGGTCCGCATCGTCACGTACGGCCTGTTTCATTCCACGACGTTTTTCGCGCCCTTTATTGTGGACGGCGCAACGGTTCGGTCCCATCTGGACCCCAACAAGATCGGGGGCCGGTGGGAGCTGCAGTGGCCCATCATCATGTCGAGGCGTTCTGGCGACCTCGACGGCGGCGCCAACTTCGGACTCGAGGACAGAGACTGGAGCAGGAGGAGGATATGGACGAGGCGCTGGGTCGTCGTGCCGGTCCGGCACGGCGCGCGCCAATGGGGCATGACGGTATTCGACCGCCACAAGGGGCATCTGTACATTTTTGACTGCGGCGACGAGGCGTCCAAGGGCCAGAGGGTCAAGGCCGCGGTTCGTGTGTGGCTGGCGCTGCTGCGGAACCTAGGGCAGCCGTACAGCTTCCTGTACTTTGTGCCGCGTGTGACGAGGCAGTCTGACGAGGCTGACTCGGGGCTGCTCTGCGTCGTCTGGCTCATGGAGGCGCTCAGAAACCAGGTCGGCAGGCCCATGACGTCGCGCGACGACGGGGTTGTCAAGGTGAACCTCGTGACGGCCGGCACGTCGCCGCCACGCGGGTCGTCCACGACGGGGCGCGGGCACAACTACATCAGCTCTCTGCGCCTGCGCGACTGGGTGCCCCGGGGCTGTCACGCCCCAAGGTCTCGGCTGATGGCTGTCCGGAGGATCATTGGCGTCATGGTCGCCAACGAGCTCGGCCTGCGCGAGCACGAGTCCCTGACGAAGAGGTACAGGGACCGGAGGAGGCAGGGAGGCGGCGCGCACCACGCCGCCCTCTGGCTCCTGAAGGAGGCCGCCAGAGAGCTGGTCAACGGCGGCGGCGCGATGCCAAAGGGGGCCTTCTTCACGGGCCAGGGCGGTCCGCAGTTTGCCTTGCCCATGTGCCATGCTGTCCTGCCCTACGACGCCGAGGCTCCGAGGCGGCATCCCATCCGCAAGCTCCCCGGGCGGGTGCACCAGGTAAGAACAACGCCAGACGAACTGAACGCGTGGGCCGAAACACCGTTTGACTGGCCTGATGACAGCTCCTCCGGATCCTCCTCCGGATCCTCCCCCAGATCCTCCCCGGCCAGGCTGCGTCATACGAGCCCCACGCCCGCCCTCGCTGACTTCTTGGCTACCGACGGCCTTTGTGACGCCTCTCGGCCGGACCTCGAGTTCTTCGGGCTCTCGCCGGTTCGCGACAGGATGACGACCAGGCTCATGTCGAGGCGGGATGCAAAGAGTGCTTCCTTCCGGTGAGGACAGTCGCCAGGGTTATCCGGACGACTGCGGTTTTGAGACTGGCAATAGGCATCATGAATATCGGGGAGACAATAATTGTCAGTTAGCGTGGCTCACCTCGTGCGTGGAGTCTGAAAATATAGAGTCTCTTACAGCTCGGAAAGGACATCATTGTTTTTGCGCAGAGTTGCCGGCTTTCGCTGCGGTCAACGATCGGGTTGCCTGCTTTGGAGTTGGGAGCGGGACGAGCACCAGGTTGATCAGGCGCAGACTGCCTACCCTACAACTAGATTGGTCTGCTTTATTCGTCTGTCAATCGAAAAGAAAGTGGGTTGATTCGATTTAATCATAGTCTGAGCGTCCATTTCTCTCTTTTTTCCAGCCAAGACTCAGACCTATAACCACCGCCCTGTATGGTGCTCACTGCAGAACGGTCATTGATCCATGTACGTTACGGGACAGGAACCTGTACGAAGCGCGATCGTATCAAAACACCGTCATATAACTACCCAGCGACCGCAGACGAACCACGTACCCATCATGTAGTGACCTATAGCTAGAGCTTCAGAATATACATACTCTAACTGAAGCCGCAGCGTGCTCCAAGAAACATTCTAGCTATTCCGCTGAGCCGGCAAAATCTCGTCACATATTTCATATTTACCACCAACTCCTGCAATGGCCGCATTGTTCCAGCTGAACTGCTATTCACGAACATAGCATGGTAGGACAAGTAGCCAATGATGTGATGAACCTCGTCAGATCTGGGTGGGTGGTCGCATAACCGATGGCCGTGCTCCGATGGCCCAGGACATGCACAGCATGTCAACGTGCATGATGCAGCTGCAGATGGAGCATCACCCTGTGCATGCAGACGTGGTCTTCTGGATCGTGCTGTCGACCAGTGAGTCTTGCACGGTTTGCTCTGGCAGCTAGTGCCCGTTGCGACTTTGACTCGACTTTGCTTGGAGGTTTGCAGGCGAGTGCCGGGTTCACCTAGTACTACTTACTTCCTACGGAGTACTGGTAGTCCCGTTAGTAGCAATAGCCGAAACCTGTGCCGAGTCGAGCAAAGGAAAAGCTGTGCTGTGCGTTTCCAGCAACTGTCATTGTACACGTGAAGCAATGTCTGTTGTCGACTTAAGCCGGTAGTTTGCCAATGGGCACCCGACGACAACAGTGCTGGCCCGAGAGACGACAGATAGTTATCTTCCTTTGGTGATGTAAGTTGCCAGTCGACCCGGGCTACCAAAGTCCTATGCGATGGGGGTAAAGAATAGAGTGCCGTGGCACTGGGACGCAGGAAATTTATTACGAGCCTGGGTTTGGGCTTGACGAGTACGAACGTCTTTACCGAAGTAGGAATCCTATAAAGAGGCCCGACCCGACGTTGTTTTCAGACCTTGGCGGATAGCTCCGGCGTACGGTGTTTCCGAGCTGATCACTGCCGCCAGTCTGCCGTTGTAGGGTCTACTTGGCCATGGTCAAATACGGAAGAACGGGCTCAAACTTCATGGATTGGCCTTCAAACTGTCCGTGAGCGTAGTCGTTGGTCAGGAGTCAGGACCAGAGCTGGAGGGAACTTTGGTGCCGCCAACAACGGGCCATCCCCCCCGTCCCGACGCAACGGTGATACCTAGTTAGGGTTCTGATTGGTTGCAAGCCTGCCTACCCATCGCCCATTCGGAAACGGATTTGCGATGATTCCATCTTGTTTATGAAACGTGAGTGTGAGGACCGCGAGACAAGAAAAAAAAGGTTGCCCCTGCATGTCTTGCTGCGTACTACCCTTATCGCATGCATGGTTTGATGCCTTTGACATAGTACATATGTACTACATACTATAAAACAGGAGTCAGCCGGCGTTTTAGGCGACTTTTACGGAGTACTCCGCACGTAAAATAAATAGATGATGGGCTGGCTGTGCGGAAAATTGGCAGATGAGGTCTTCTTGTCCTGGTAAGGGGGCCGCCGTCCCGACAAAACCAGCATGTCCCGCATCATCAATGGCTCATCTTGAAATTGGAATGGCGGCGGGCCCCCTCGCACAGCCAACGCGCGGCGAACCACTGGTCCCCTTGGTTGAATGCGAAGGGTCTGATTCAGGGGCTAGAGACCAGGAAATTAATGACGAGGAAAGCCAGGAAGGGGACCAGCCAACAGACATGTCAGCATGTCAGGACGATATCTTTGACTCTGTATTGGTCCAAGACGTGGGAGCGAGCGAGCGAGTGTCTCTTGTATAATTAGTACCGTCGCAGCCCAAGGGCCAGGGGCAAAAGACAATTAATTTGCTCCCGTGCTGGGTTCCCTCGAACGAGCCCCGCATAATCAAAAGCTGGCGCTGGGTACGGCCTATTCCGTGTAATCTCATCTTAATCTCGATCTCTAAAGCTTCCGTCGAGGAGCAGCCACGGAGGACGAAAGGCCGCGAGAGATGGCGGCCAGTCTCGTGCGTAGTTGGACAACGCAGTTGTTCTGAGGGAGGCGCCTGGACAAGTAGGCACCCGTCGTTGCACCACCCAGCACTCGGCCCGGAGCAGTCGCTGGCACAAATACTTGGAGTCGGACGAGATTTGCCCAAGAGGCAAGATGGACGGAGAGGGCGAATGTCCCAATAACAAGGTCCGTCGTTGCCACGGCGCGTGTCTGTGTCTGGCTGGGCTCTGGTTTCAAGCAAGACTAGAGAGGGCTCCTCACCAAACCGCAATATGATTTATAACTCGGCCATCTCCCGGCTTTTGCGGCATCAATCGCCGAGATCTGAGTGTCGCAGAACGGTCTCGAAGCAATCGAGTACAATTCGGGCTAGAGGGGGTCGAGGCGCCAGCATGCAGCATGCGAGGGGTTCAACATGTCAATTCGAACCCAACGGACGGGCGTCGATCCCTGCCGGCATCTGGTAGGTCGTTTCACATTATAGAAAAACTGGAAAACGAGATACAAACAACACTCGACACGGCGAGTTCACCACGAGCCCAGAAACACGCAACGCGCACGGGGTGACCAGTCTGCGTGGAATAATTTTCTGGCAGGAGCGGAGGGGAAGATCAAAACCGGTCGGTCCAGTCGATCAGTCTGTCGCACGTGTGACAGGTGACATGGGGGCCAGCCCTGGATTGTCCAGATTATCCACGTATGAGCATCACGATTGCGGCGTCACTCATCAGCGGCACTTTGTTTATACACTGCACAGATAAGGAGAGTACAGAGCACAGCAGCAGGCAGGCAGGCAGGCAGGTCGGCAGGCACACAAGACCAGAGACCAAATGGCAAAGACCAGGACCAGGACCAGGACCAAGACCAGCGTCCGAGAGCCACGGAGCCACTCGCGGCATTGTGCTGCCAAACCCTGATGCTAGTCTACGGAGTTCGGAGGACTGCGTAGGGTCAGAGCCCCGGATGCCCAAGTGCCTAATAAATGTCTGGATGATGGCGGCTAGCCATGACTAGTGCCTCCTCTGGACAGCGGCTGAGCCCGTCGGTAGTCTCATCAATTCATCTTCACACCCTCATCATGCGGCAGCCGAAGATCTGAGGCGTGCCGGCGTTGGGTCCGGGATATGCTGGTGACGAATGCACAAACACGAACACGAGAACGGCCTGGCTCGCCTTGCTGTCGCGGCGAAAGAGGAAGGCTAGACGAAGCGAAGCAGAAGCGCGCCATCGAAATGACATCTGGGCCGACCGTACGCCGTCACGTACTCACACTGTAGCATCAACTACCGCCCCCCTGCTGCCCTGCCCGCCTGGGACGTGGGAGCTCTTTGTTCGCGTTCGCCTGCACGTAGGGAGTGAGCGAGTACCTGCTAACGGGAACTCTGGTTGCAAGGTACAAGCCGCCGCTTATTGGACCAAGCGTTGCGCCCGACAGCACAGCACGGTGCGGCCCGGGGTTTCTGTTTGTGCGCACTGTGCACATGTGCAGCCAGTCCTTGATTGAACGAACCGCTTGGATGATGCGAGTACCTGGGGCAAAAGGGAATTTTTCCCCTCCTCATCTGAAGTGCCGTTGTTTCAGGAGCATCGCAATGATGAGGCCGTCATCTCCGCAGACCGCGCGACGTGGAAACCTACCAAAATCCAAAGTGGCCAAGCGTCTCCAGGAGTGGTTGTACGTGTCAACCATACAGGTTGTTGGGTTGATGGGCCATGGGCCATGGCAAGCCAAAAAGTGATGTGGTGAAAAAAAAAGGAAGAAACTGTGGATGCGATTCCCGACATCTGGAGTCACTGGTCCCGCCTCCAGCTGTCCAGGTCTCCGAGGCCCCCGGCACCCGGCACCTGGCACCTGGCACCTCACCTGGCACCCACCCAACGGCCCCAACAGCCCCAACAACAACCTGCCTTGAGTACCTCCAAGGACGCGAAGCTCCATTACCCCAGCAACTCGGTGGCCGTCCACATGACGCTCGGCTTCGGCGAGACGTTCGTCTACCTCAATCTCCTGTACTACGTGAGGTAAGAATCCCCTTCCCACAGCGGTAGCGGTCGACGGGGCTCCCAACTTGCCGCCGCCGCCCCTGCTTACGCCTTGTCAGCACCCTCATGCTTCACCGCGAGTACTTCCCCTTCCTGCCGACCCCGGAGTCGGAGCCACGGGGTCCAGTCGACCAGCCCATGCTGGGGGCGCCCGCCCCCGAGGGCTGGTGGGACGACAGCTCCCGACTCCTCTTCGGCGCGGCAGAGCACATCGCCGCCATTCTACACGAGGCCTCCGAGTGTGGCGTGCATCTCATGACGCCCTTTGCCGGGTTCTGCGCATTCTCAGCCGGCTACCTCAACCTCTACGTGGCGAAATACCCCCGAATGAACCTGGGCCGCAGCCCGCGAGCAAGCGACTGTCTCAAAATGTGTCTCGACTACCTGGAAAAGTTTCGACTTGTCTGGAAAATCGCCGACGGATGGGTAAGCCGCCCGCAAGCATGACACGACCGTGGCCACCGTTGCGCTAACATTGAGAGGGCGGCACGCGCAAGATCAAAACGATACACCATGCATCCGTGCTCTACGAGCGAGCAACCGAGGACCGGACACGATACCAGGGGCGCACACGAGCAGACTTTGATACTCTACACCAGTCTGTCCACGAGTTCCGTGTCGTGGATAGATCCGACGCGCATACTCGGGAGATTCGGGGCGCGGAGCGGCCCTCGGCGCAGGCGACTTGGCCGGTTCAAGGGCACGAGCACGAGCACGAGCACGAGCACGAGCTCGACACTAATACCTTGTTGAACCAGCTTTTCGCGGAAGTCAGCAATAACCTCGACGAGCAGGGGGCCTGGTCTCAATGGTGGCCGGCGATTGATCAGGTGGATCTTTAATGAGCTGCGTAATTACATCCGGGGTTTTTTTTTTCGTTGAAGCTTCCAATGAATGAGTGACGACCTTTGATTTTTTTGATTTTTTTTTTAAAAAGGGCTGTAATATCTGGTTTTCTATACATGTCCTATTTTTATTTCCCGGTCTAGAAAAACAGTCAACAGATAATGCACCTCTTCATATGGCTCCCCTCCCGTCACCGCCAACAAATGCATACCTGTCGCGTCAACCATTCGCCGTTTCTCCTTCCAATCACGCCTTTGCAAAGACCTTTCTCGAGTTCATCAGGCGAACAGCAAGCATAAAGAGCATGCCGACAAAAGGCGCCACAACCACGCCAAGAGGACGTTTTTTGAAGCAGCTAAAAAGGCACGTAAATGGCGTCTGGATTCTGTACTAGATCTACTAGAAATTTGGGACGAGAAGGGTGTACATTATAGGCGAAGAGGTTAATAGCGTTATTAGGTTGAAAATTGGCCCGCCTTGGTGTCCGGCCCGCCTTGCTGTCGAGCACCACCTTTGGTGGTGAGGGCTTTTGCTAGCCGAACCACATAAAGTGGGGCGGGCACGATTAGTAGCCTGTAGGTAGCACCTGAGCACCCGTCTCTCCAGTCCAGCGTGCTGAGCCGGTCACATTGGAGAGACCACCCACCAGGCTGGGTCGTGGCCAGGGCGTGACCAGACCACGCACCGGCCCAGCTTCCGTCCCCCGTCATGGAGCTCCTTCTCCATTCGAGATTCCACGTTGAACAAAGTGCGCCCCCCCATCCCATCCCCATTATCCATGTCCTTCTTTTCTGTTTGACTACAAGGCCAAGCCTCATTCTGTCACCCCCAAACTTGCAATCTTCCTCTCGAGGAATAGAGCTTAGCTGGGTGCCGCCCCTTCTCCTCCTCCTCCTCTCTTGCGCCTTGATCCCTTCCTCCTTTCCCTTCCCGTCTGTGTGGCCCCGTCTGATCTGTACGTACACACGCGCGCACACACACACACACACGCACGGCACACGACACACACACGCCTGTCCACGCACAGCATCTCACTTTGCGTCCTGTGCTGCGGCATATGAGCGCGAGTCGTGGTCAGCAGCCGTCACACCCTGATCTTCTCCTGACCGTCGTCTCTCAAAGCTTATTGGCAGCCTCTCCCGGCCACCGCGGCCACTCTGCTACGCCACCGCTTAACCTCCCAGACCCGGAAACTCCACCTGAGCATTTGTCCTGCGTCCGGTCCGCCACGAGATTTTTCGCATTCTCCATCTCCAGACTGCCTCAATCCTCACGACCTTGCTGGCTGAAGTCTTGCCCGCCCACGGCCAGCATTGTCACTTTGCTGCCCACTGGCCGTCAATTCATCGCCGACAGCCGTGCCTAGCTTGAGGGTGGCCCCAATTTGGACTCTGCCATCACTGTTTTTCCTAAATCACCAGTCATCTGGGCTGACGGTTGACTCCCTCCCTCGCCCCGGGTTCGTGTGTTGTTTGCTGGGCCAAGACCGAAGATTCTGACCCTTTTCTCGTGAAGGAAAAGAAGCCGCTATCCCACCAGAGCAGAAGCAGACTGACGTTTTTTTTTTATGACGATCAAAGCTACGCTTCGTTTCCAACCCTGTCCTCATCGCCATCCACTTCATCGAGATTGACGTCTTTGTGACCGGCACATGGTCACTTGTTACGGCTCCTATCCCGAGGCAAGCGTCGCGCAGGAAAGCTCGTGGGTTTGTTCGTCGAGTAGGCATCAATATTGAGCGCCTCTGAAACCCAGACGAACAGAATCGGTCGAGCTCAACCCTCAGCTGTGAGAAAGCAGCAACGACTCGCTGCCTTTGCCTCAAACGTTTTCCGCAACAATGAGTCAACCACCGCACGACATGGGTGGTGGTTATCACGATTACACAGGCAATCACAGTCGGTCGCCGACGTCGTCACGACAAAACTATGGAGCTGGCTTCTCGTCAGGTCTGAGTTTGCCTCGCCAACCGCAGCGACCTTTTGAAGTCCCCCTGGGCTCTTCAGCGCTCTACCCTTCGGACAGAATAGGCAGCGGATACAATCCCAGGTCGATTGACAACACGTGTGGGCATGGTGGAATGCCTGCCGGCTACATGATGGACAATGGCCAGTCATGGAACTACAGCTCAGTCGGCGTTGCTACCGTCAACGGGGCCATCAATGGATCAAATCGCCAGAGGAGTGTCAACCGCCGAGCCGCGTTGCCTCAAGTACGTCATGTCTGACCTGGAGTCCAACCTTTCACATGTTTTACGTGCTAATGTCACTCTACGCAGACCTGGACAGATCAAGCCTCCATGGGCATGCCTGGCAGCGGGCTCCCGTCGTTCTCGGGTGGTTTGAATGGGGGGCAATTGCCTAATGGTGGACTTCGTGTTGATCATGGCCAGGCTCATACGTCACCAGACCTGCGCTCAACTGCCTCGGATGGCGACCAGCTCATTCCTACCGCAATTGTGATCAAGAATATCCCTTTTGCTGTTCGAAAGGAAACGCTGGCCTCAATCATGCTCGACATGAATTTGCCTCAGCCATACGCATTCAACTATCATTTTGACAGTGGCGTCTTTCGGGGACTTGCCTTTGCCAATTTCCAGTCTGCCGAAGACACCAGGGTGGTTATCGAGGCCATGAACGGCATGGATGTCCATGGACGAAAGCTTCGAGTCGAATATAAGAAAATGCTTCCAGAAGCTGAGCGAGAGCGTATCGAACGAGAAAAGCGAGAGAGACGTGGACAACTCGAAGAGCAGCACCGTGCTCCAATTCTCCACCAGCAGAGCTCGATTCAATCGCTGGGTGGCGTGTCGCAGCCGCAGCAGCGAACACCGTCGTCTCACTTGGGTAGGCTATTCATTCCAAACCAGGCACGCCACGTGGTAGTCATTAATATGTTGATTCTTACTCAATCTATCTTGCAGGAGACGTTGATTTGAACGATCCCCAGAGCCTTGAATTTTACACGGAGCTGGTCATGTTCAAACGGGATGATGGTCGTGAGATACTGGTTTTCCCTGCCGGAATTAGCCCAGAACACCGACGATCTATCCATATACTAGCTCACCACATGGGCCTGGAGCATCAGTCCATTGGTGAGGCTGAATCTCGCCAAATCACGGTGTTGAAGCGACAACAGCCGTCTCCCACGACCAACATCCAAAACGTTCCAGCCAACGGCCTCGATGTGCATAAGCGAGGGCTGAGCCGGGCAGCAACCTTCGATTTCGCTGCAGACCGGGATTCTCGAGCCGCAGCTCATAATTATTCTCACGTCGTGGGCAGACCAGGTCCCACGTTGGAGCTTCCAGGGAGCCCCGATGGCGGCAGCGGTGTTCCTAATAATTTACGCACAGCCAAGAGCTTTGCTGACCTCAGGTCTTTCACGCCCAGTCCTTCGCAAGCCCCCAACTATCTTGCGCCAGGCGGTGGAATGAGCACCGTGGTTCCCGGCTCCACCACTCGGTTCGGAGACTACCAGCCTGGCCACCCTGGCAATCCGGGAACACCAGGTCCCAAGGGTGACGGCCTCATTGCAGGTCTCAGCGCGATGAACCTCAACCCCTATGACTCGAACCCGCTACAATCGCAGGGCAGGAGCGCACCGGGTGCTATTGGCAGCCAGCGACCCGGCATTGCTAGTCACAATAATAAGGGTGCTCCTGAGAGACAGCCCCGTGGACCCGAGTGGGAATCAGCTAGTGGCTTTGCTGGCCGCGGTCGGTCCAACGGACATATGCAGCGAGGTAGTGGTACGTTTTATGTCATGTACGCATCAATTAACGCACAGGGCTAATACTTGCTGGTAGATTCGTCCGACAGTGGTGCCCGTGGCGGCTCCAACCCAAACGGTTCCTCGAGATATCACTAAGACAGACACCTTGTCGAATGTCCACGACTTTACTGCCCACCCTCAATTACGAAGCGACGTGGAGATGCCTAGCCCATTTGCGGCTCCTCAAGATGACGGTATTTTGTAATATTGACGTTTCTTTTCCAGACGCTTGACGCGAAATTGTCTTTGCCTGTTTTTGGAAACCCCTCATCAACACAGACTCCCACACCCCACAATATATATATATAGTCACCGCTATTTTTTTGGTTTTTTATTTCTTTCTTTAAGATTGTCGATTGGAGCTTTGCGGTATGAGTCATTTACTCATGTATGGACGCTGATGATGACGCCAAAACCTCGAGGAAAGTATGGGGGAACATGGACCCGGATACAGCATTTCGACACATGGGCGACCATAACGAGACACGACGACTCGCTTCCAGATGTACCTTGGAGCTCGTTCAATGTACCTTTTGCCGAAAAGAGCTATGAATAAACCTACAAAAACCACTGACGATTACGATGTTTTTAACGACTTTTTTCACGTCTAGACAGCCGCACCAACCTCTCCCGGCGAACGCTGCCTCGCGCCGGCAGAGGAGGGAGTTGCATCGGCGACGGGCACGATGACAGTATACCCACCCTAATACCCCGTCTGGCGTCCAGATATGACCGTTACGACAACGAGTGAGACTTCGTCTGAGCCTCTTTCATGTTTTCGGCGGGAGGCGATTCGAACGTGACGACGATTGCAGGCGAAAATGCGTTTGGCATGACAACATGGCGGAGAGAAGGATTTGTCCAGCATAAGTGGTGGAATTGGCGTGACGCGAAATAAAGAATGACCCCCCCAAACCTCTTGTATTGATTGCTTCATCCGTGTTTGATTCCTTTTCGATCATGTTATTATTTGTTGTTAGGTCTGGTTTCCCTCGGTTCAGTGCGATTTGTGCATGGGAGGACAAAGTATGCTTTCACTGATTATGGGGTTGCTCATGACGGTACAACCTCGATGCTGTGCTGCTTGACATTCAAGGGTTTTGGTTATTCAATTACTCGGCTCGCACGGCGGGTGGCTCTCGTCTCTGGACCTGGTCGACTGCCGCGTTTCCAAGAGGTGCAGTTTTGCACTTTGTGAGCAGACGGAGAGATGTGGACAGACAAGGGTTCGGCATTGGAGACACATACTGATTACAGGATGATAGCACGCAAGCGACGTGAGTGTAGAGCGGCGTTGGAGGCTGCACTGTTGTTGTGTTGGATACTTTGGGGGTGAGACGAGGTTGTGCTGGTGGACTCTCGAACTAGGAAGAGTATGATGTGATTCATTTGGTTGAAATACAGGGAGGGACAAGCCGATACACATGAGGGAGGCTGGAGGGAAGCGGCACGAGAGCCGTATAGTATGGGCAGCGGTGTACGAATTGTCTCTTGAGTAGCGCAATCAGAATTACGTCATGGACTTGGATTTGTCTGCACCTCGACGTCGTTGGGATGTTGGAAGTCAGTCCGTGGCGGCGTTGCTTTGGCGGTAGCGGTAGCCGTCTGGCAGACGCATCTCCGTAGTGACATTGTAAGGGTACGGAGTAGTTAAGCCGAGATCATGGTCAAACTTGCTGGACTGGCTGTGATTGGCTCGCTGCGCTGCTCCGCCCGCCCGCCCGCACGTCGACTCCACCTCACTTGATCTTGATTCTTGACCACGCAAGTGGTCTTGGGACCTCGACATTGGTTGCGAATCCAACCGGTGTTGATTCATTCGGAAAACCGAGGCCTCGGCAGGTTCTAGCGAGTCCCGAGTCCCCAGCCAGGTGCGTCACTTGTTATTCGCGACTCGCGACGCGCGGCGCAAAGAGAGCAAGGAGCAATGTCGCTGGCGTCCTATCTGCCGGGATTCCTGGGCGGCAAGGAAGAGCGCGCGGGCGTGGCGCCGCCCCAGATGAAGCGGTGGACGACGGGGCTGGACGGGATCGACAAGCTGGAGATGGAGGAGGGCGTGGACGTGCCGAGCCCGGGCGACGGCGAGGTGCTGGTCCGGATTCACGCAGTCAGCCTGAACCAGCGCGACAAGGAGGGTGAGTGAGTCTCTGGGTCTGCGTTGGCGCCGGGCAGGGCAGGGCAGGCGGGCTGCCACTGATCCGGGACGTCGTATCCATCCGCTGACCAAGCGTTGCTTCTTTTCTCTCTCTCGCAGTCTGCAGCGGCGAGGGGCACAAGACAAAGACGGCTCCGGCTCCGGCTCCGGCCCCGGCGTCGGGCCGTCGGCAGCCGCAGCGGCTGGTTCCGTGCTCCGACATGTGCGGCGTCGTCGTGCGCAGCCGGTCCCGGCTCCTCGCGCCCGGAGCCCGCGTCGCGTCCATCTTGCTGCAGACGCACCTCGCGGGGGCCGTGGGCGAGGACGACCTGGACAGCGCCCTCGGGCTGCCCCTGCCCGGCGTGCTCGCCGAGTACCGCGTGTTTGCGGCCGTCGCGCTGGTCCCCGTGCCGGCCTACCTGTCCGACGAGGAGGCGAGCTGCCTGCCCGTGGCGGGCGTGACGGCGTGGACGGGCCTCAACTGGATGCGCCCGCTTGGGCAGCACGTCGGCGCTGACGCGGGCCCCGGGGGGCGGCGGGCCGGGTTCGTCCTGGTCCAGGGCACGGGGGACGTGGCCGTCGCGGCGTTGCAGGCCGCCCGCGCCGCTGGGTACAAGACCATCGTGACGTCTTCGTCGGACGACAGGCTGAGGCGCGCGGCGGAGCAGCTGGGCGCCGACCACACCGTCAACGACAAGACGCACTGGGAGTGGCAGGGGCCCGTGATGGAGGCCACGGGCGGCCGTGGCGCCGACCTCATCTTTGAGACGGGCGGCGCGCGCACCATCCGCAAGAGCTTCGAGAGCGTCGCGTTTGGCGGAGTCATCAACTGCATTGGCGACGTGTCTGGCGAGGCGGACGGGGATCCCGACAAGGCGCCGCTGCTGCAGCGGCTCAATGTCAGCGGGCTGGTCTTGCGGCGCAACGTCACGCTGCGCGGCATTGTCAACGGCGGCAAGGACCGGTTCGAGGAGATGCTGGGCTTTTACGAGGAGAAGAAGATCCGTCCCGTCGTCGGTAGGGTCTTTGCCTTTGCCGAGGCCAGGGAGGCCCTGGCGTGCTTGGCTGCCGGGGAGCAGTTCGGAAAGGTGGTCGTCAAGGTGTGTGAGGGCTAGAGTTTTGTCACCCTTGGCTCACTCGGGCATCTTTCACAAACATCTATTACCAGGACAGATGTTGTCTGGGAGAGCAATAACGGTTTTCCCATGGCTATGTATTGATGAGAAATCTATCCAAGGCGGAAGAGAAATGAAGGAAAAGAAAAAAAATCAAGGGTATTTGTTTACTGGGTATCCTCGGGACGTGCAGCCGCTTCCTTCTCACCTTTGCTGCCTTGCCTGTGTGGCTCCCTCTGTGGTATTCCCGGTATTCCGGCCCATCACTCTGGCGAGATGGACCTACCTGAAGAATCTTGGCCATTGGCAGCGCTCTGGTTGATGGCCCGCATGCCGGCGTCGAGCTTTCCAAACTGCCACTCGGGCAGGGTGATGCCCGTCTGCTCGTTGATTGTGGTCATCAGCGGCGGCAGCATCTGGTAGACGTTGCGCACGGCAGCAGAGGCATCGCCGCCCGCCTCGCCGCCGACGTTGTTGCTCCCCGTGTTCCAGACGCTGATCTTGGGCTCTAGGCCGCGGATGGCGTTGGCATTGGCGTTGGCCAACTCGACGTAGGTGCCCTTCTCCATCATCATGTACTGGATAAGACCGGCGGGTCCGCCAAACGCTCTCGCCAGCTTTCCGTACGCGTCGGCCATTGCTGAGATGCCCTCTGCCTCCTTGATTTGCTGGAAGACGTTGGCTTCGGCGCCCTGCTTGGCGGCGTAGTTCTCGGCATCGGCCTCGGTGCGCGTCCTGTAGGCCTCCGAGTCGGCCGTCTGTTGGGCGGCGTGGCTTCTGGCTTCGGCGTTGAGGCGCGTCATGTAGGCCTCGTTGTCGGCTGCAAGCCGGGCGGCCTCTTGCCTGGCGCGCGCGTTGACGCTGACTTCGTACGCCGCGGCGTCGGCGGCGTGCTGCTTGCTCTCGCGCGCAATGGCAGCCTGCACGACGTCCTTGGCGCGAAGCCGCTCCATCTCGGCGGCGGCGCGCTTGATCTCGACCTCCTTCTTCAAGTCCTCGTCCTTGGACTGGACCGCGCGCTCCGCCTCGACGCGTTCGACCTCGACGTCGCGCTTGAAGTGTGTCTGCTCCGTTTGGAGGTGAGCTTCTGCCTTGGCTCGTTCAATGTCCCGCTGTGTCTTCTGGACGGCCGTTTCGGCATAGATCTTGGCGATTTCCCGGTCCTGCTCGCCCTTGCGCTGTGCCTCGCCCGTGTTGCCTCGACGCTGGGCCTCTGCGACGTCGACCCTGGCTTGGTTGATGGCGCCTTCGTGGGCTTTGCGAGACAGGGACGCGAAGTAGACGGATCCGGGGGCATCCTTCAACTCCTTGACACTGTGACGAATCGATTAATAAGAGTCGAGCAGTCAAGGAAAAAGGTGGTCTGAGACTTGCTTGCTGTTGTAGATTTTCAACTAGATGTCGCCAGTGCTCAAGTCAATATTTCTTCCCTGTTTTCAGTGAGGGCAGCTTACACCAAACTGGTCGAGTTCGCATTGGATGTTGCGAAAGATGCGCTTCTTGAACAACTCCCGCTCAGTGAAGATCTCCTCCATCGTCATACTCGACACCAGGACACGCGTTTCACCCTCAATTATTCCCTTGACGATGCTAGAGACGTGGACTCGTGGATCGGCCTTCTTGTCTTCGGAGCCCGCCAGCAGCGTGGCGTACTTCTCGAGGGCATCGCCGCTGCGCTCGCCGTGGTCCATTGAGCATGGGTCGGCGCCGCGGGCATCAACGTCCGGGCCGACGGTGAAGACTACGGGCAGCTCGAATTGGAGCTTCTCCTTTGTCATGGCTTGCAGGTCCATGGCGTAGTCATGCGGCTGGACGCTGAAGCGCGTGCAGCGTTGGAACGGCAAGACCAGGCAGGCTTTGGTAATCTTGACATTGCGGATGCGCCATCCCGTGATGGCCAGATACTCGTCGGGGCCCGATATCTTGTAACCCACCATTGTGAATTACGTCTTGGGTTGGTCCGGCGTTGACTCACGTGCAAGTGGTTTGTCGGAATGGTCCTTTTCCAATGCTAGCAGGAGGAAGAGGAAGGGTTAGCACCAGAAGATGTGTACTTGGCCGCGAGATGAAGGGCGAGGGGGGACGAGGACGAAAGGGGAGAAGATTGTAGCGCGCATACGAGACGTACTGTTTGAGCGTGCTCTCACCCTGTTTCCTCTCCTCGAAAGCCTGCTTTAGATGAGCTCCTTGATACGTTCCTCGACTTTCCAAGGGTCTGCCTGGGGTGATCACATCCTCATATATCTGCCACTTGGGCAACAAAAACGCTCCGTCGCCCGCCTGTTCAAATAAGCCTAGCAGGCTGGGGAATAAGATCTCGTTAGCCTCGGCCAATTCATTGCACACATGACTGACACGTCACACAAGCGAGACTAGCCTTGGGCTTATGGCGGGCTGACTTGGCCTGACTTGAGTTGGACCAAACACTGCAGGCGGGACTGTGCCTTTTTTTTTCTAGAAACTTGCTCTTTCCAGCGTCAGACCTGTGGAGGTGGCATCCAGACATCCCGGCCTATGTCCGGCTTGTGACTTATTCTGGAAGGAGACTAGATGTCCGTCGTCGCATGGTGTCATGACGAGTCAATCCTGTTCAGTTCGGAGGTGCATGTTCGTCGGGCAAAACTCGCTTGCTGCCGTGGCCAGGTCGAGGCATAAGTGAAGCGAGCCATGTCGAGCCATGTCGAGCCATGTCGAGCCATGCAAGAGCCGCACGAACTACGCTTCAAAGCTAAGCTTTTCCAGCACTGCCCCCAAGCTAGATTGGTGATATGGTTCTTTCTTCCGCCTGGAGAGACAGTTCTCTACTTTTCGTCATTTATCGCTTCGGGACAAGTCCGCCTCGTTTGTTTGAACGTAACTCGCACTCTTGGGGGCCGCCACTTTCAGCCCATCTATTCCCCTATTCAAGGGCTTTGCCATTATTCCCAGTCAGCCAAGAGGCGAAAAGCACATCAGTTCGCGTGATCTTTGTGCTGCACCGGTCCCAAAATGCGCACTGGGCCTCCTATACACAGCCACCACAGTCCCAGAATCGTCATGACGCCGTCTTTGTTCATTGTGCTTCATCTGGAGACGTGCACGAGGCTGGATTCAAGGTTTGACCATTGTTCTGTCCGTTCAAAGTCCGGCGTATCTTGGCTTTATGCTTTCGAATAAGCACAAAGACGGTCGTCCCCGCCATGTTAGCCCGTGGCATATAGTATGGCTTGATTGTTCTTTGCTCGTAGTCCCAACCCTGCTGCCTAAGGTTGTGCGAAAATCATACTGTAGGGCTGTACCGAACACCCACGAACACTTGACCGTCAGATCGTGGACAGCTTCTGAAGGAAAACCGCCGTCTTCAAGATATTGGTCTCATCAGCCGTGTCTTTTTCCTGGGACACATCAACGTTTGCTCATCATTTTTCAACAGACATGTCACGACAACCTTTCCACTTGTTGGAAGACGGGGATCAACCACCACCATATTCCACGGTGCCCGTTTTCCCAGGACCTTCTTATTTCTGTGATACTGCTCAGAGCCGAGAACATGTGCCACAGGGCTCGTCCCTCTTCTCCACACAGCTGTCTGCTCTCCGGAGCCAAATGCTAGACGAACAAGCCGCTCTGTCATGCGTCCGCAATAAGCAAGACATCGAGATTATGTCCCTATTAGTTCCGCACGTCGAGGCTCTCATCGAGTCCGTAGCATCGCACGATCCGCCGCCGACGCTGGTTGAGGCAACGTTTGTGCCGGACGAGGCCATCGGCAAGGAATGGACCCTAAGCGATAGCGAACAGAGACGCAGTGGCGAAGTGAGGACGCTGATACGCGTTGGAAGGCAATGCAAGGCAGGCGGAGTTGAGAAGCAGCAGCAATACTCCTCCCCTGGAGAATCAGAAGCAAGCGCTCCCAAAGAATTTGATGGATGGGGCCGTTGGTCCGACGACGGCGAGCACGGCAAATTCGGCGCCCAAGACTGTCTGTGGTGGTCAGACGAAGACATGGCGCGGCGACTAGCCAGGCATCTCCAACCAGCTCGTGCAACCTGGCCTGTTGATTGTCGAACAATTCGGGCTCAAGTCGAACAGAGCGAGACGGCCAAGACCATCGGCCGGTGGTCCATGTTCAACGAGCGAAGACCGGCAAAGACGGCACCGACAGCTTCGTCATCTTCGACACCACACCAGACGTCTTTGGAAGACGTCCGCATGACGGTGAATGCGGAAGAAGCGACGTTTCGAAAACAGAGCGTCGTGGGTCTCTGGGAAAGTCGGACGGGTTGAGGACTAGTGGTCAGACTGATGCTGCGGCGCTTATGATGCAACTGGCGAAGGGAGTTGGAACTGCTATTTCTTTTTGTCCATGGTATGAGGGGAAGAGGAGGTTCCATCATGATGATTCGAAGAGGACGTGTATACTTGAACGCGGAATGTCTGGTTAAATGCAGAGTCCACTCTCAAGGTCAAAATCGACCAGGTGTGAACGGCTGGCGACAGCTGGCCCAGCTTGGCAGACGCGGATCTGAGCATCACGAGATGGGCCAACAACCCTCACATCCCACGACGGTTCCATCGATTCTCTTTTCGTTGACGCAGTTGTCTCCATCCCCGGGCAACAATTGCAACGTTCCAATTCGGATAGGTTGACTCACTCGCCGCTTGGAGCTGGAGATGCCCAGTTGCCCCACTGACTGACTGTCCGGCCCGAACCAGTGCGAGACCCCATGCCGCGCAACAAATATTCCACGCATCAAACTGCCATGTAACTCGTGACGGGGAACTAGACGTCGACTGTTTATTTCAGAGAAGAGCAGAAAAGAGAGACCACAATAATCAGCACCATTGAATCGTCTTGTTGCCAAACACGGGCTCCAAGGCCCCAAGTTCAGTACCTGGTCCCGACTCCCGACTCTCCCGACTCCTCAGTCCTGACCCCTCGCCACCACAGGATGCCATCTCACGATGTTCTCGTCACCGGCTCCTCAGGCCACCTTGGCACGGCATTGATGCTCACGCTCCCCTCGCTGAGATTCAATCCCGTCGGCATCGACGTTGTTGCCTCCCCAACGACTCGGCACGTGGCATCCGTCGGTGACCGCGCCGCCGTGTCCAACATTTTGCAATCCAACCCCATCAAGCACGTCCTGCACACGGCGGCTCTACACAAACCCCACGTGGAAAGCCACACAAAGGAACAGTTTGTGCAGACAAACATCACCGGCACGCTGGTCCTGCTCGAGGAAGCAGCCAAGCTGGGCAGCCAGATCGAGAGCTTCGTCTTCTTCAGCACAACAAGCACCTCTGGACTCGCGTCGAGTCCGAGTCCCGGAGAACCCGCCGCTTGGATCGACGAGACGGTGGTGCCGGTGCCGAAGAACATCTATGGCGTGACGAAAGTCGCCGCCGAGGACATGTGTGCTGTTGTGCAGAGGCAGACGGGGATGCCGGTGGTGGTGCTGCGGACCAGCCGCTTCTTTCCCGAGGAGGATGACGACGAGGACCGGCGCAACGCGATGGGGGACGACAACCTCAAGGTCCTGGAGCTGGCGTATCGGCGGTGCGACATTGAGGACATTGTTTCTGCGGCGGTGTGTGCCATGGAGAAGGCGCGCGGCATCAAATGGGCCAAGTACATCATTAGCGCGCCGTCGCCTTTCCCCCGTGATTCCAAGACTTTGGCTTCCCTGGACTCCCGTCCCGAGGAGGCTTTTTGCCAACTTGTGCCCGCGGTCGACGAGGTCTTTGGGACAAAGGGCTGGAAACACCTCGCGAGGATCGATAGGGTGTATGATTCAAGCAAGGCTGTGCGCGAACTCGGGTGGCGGCCAAAGTACACATTTGTTCAGACGGTCGAGAGGTTGGCCAAGGGGGAGGCGTGGAGGAGCGAGTTGACAGATAGGGTCGGCAAAAGGGGCTACCACGCTGTGAGTACGGGGGTCTACACGGAGCGATGAATCGGAGAATCGAATTGTTTGATGGTGACTTGCGGTCAAGTGGCCAAAGAGTTGCTCTGCATCGACCGAGTGCCGATGGTACCAGTGCACCAGATGGGGCTGAAGTCTTGTAAGGTCGGGGGCATGCTTACCAACATCGTATAAGCTCGTATGAATTGAATATCGTCTATCAGATGGCTCCCCGAATCTAGTCCTTGCAGTGTACTCCCTTGGCCATCTTGGGTGGCGCTGGTAGATTTGTCACTATGCCATGAAGGCACAGTTTCAAGCCGTCAACATTTCCTGGTGACCTTGTTCCTCCAACACTCTATGCACCGTCTCTAATACAGTGCCGTGAAGATGCTCCGGTGCGGCTACAAAACCAAAGTTGGCGCTCATCTTCCTACCTACAGACAGATCGATCGGTCTGCCAAGGACGTCTGTGATCTTCCCCCCCGTCTCTTGGAACAATAGCATGGCGCCTGCGTGATCCCACACCTTGGCATACCGATCTCGTCGCTTGTACACCCACACCGTCGTGTTCCCGAGCCCAAGGGCCAGCGCTGCCCAGCGAAGGACCCAGGGGACGAGATCACACCCCGGGAACGCAGCTCCCAACCTGTCGGCGACGACTTCGTGCGCCCCGTCCAGCGCGGAGTCCACGACGCCGACGCACGTGACGAAGCGCAAGTCTCCTGCGTCGGAGGCGCGAGAGAGACGTCTGGCAGCCGCGTGGTTGTGGCGGGAAGCTTTGATGGGCCGGACGTATGCGCCGTGCCCGCGGACGGCAAATACAATACAGCCCTCGCCCAGGGGGTCGACGTCTTCGTTCCTCAGGGGCGCAACGGCATCCATGGACATGTTGGGGCAGCCGACGGACCCGAGGACCTGCTCCCCATCGACCAACAGCGCAATGTTTATGGCGTATAGTTGTCCCCGTACGTACGTCTTTGTGCCGTCGATCGGATCAAAAACCCATATCCTGCCGGACCCTTTGCCACCAGGCGCGCTTGAGCCGGCCTGATCGATGAGCTGGCAGACGTGCTCCTTGGACTGGGGCAACGTGCACAGGGCGGCGGCCTCACCGTGGCCCCTGATGCTCTGCAGTAGATCCCATACTCGACCCAGGAGATCCTCGTTGTGTCTCAGGCCGGAGGCGTCCTCCTCCGCGACGAATTGGTCATGGGGGAATGCGTGCTTGAACGTCGCTATCAGAAGCGCCTGGACAGCAAAGTCGGCAACGGTGACGGGGCTGAGATCGTCCTTTTCAACGACGCCCTTGTCTGCCGCCGCTATGATGGATTGGCTTAGTCGTGCCGCTGTTTGGAGCGCGCCGAACGACAAAGCGACTTCCTTTACCAGGGGACTGTCCATGGTGGTCAGTAAGTTATGGCGTTGCGGCTCTGGGGAACATGGATGTCGTTTGTCGTTCCCTTCCCTGGTAGATGGTGCGTGCTTGGTTGGTACATGCACGTGACAATGTGAATTGCTCGGGGCGCAGCAATTTTTTGCTCGGTGCGCAGAATTCCCCACCACGCCCCGATTTTGGTCTAGCGGCCACAGTGCCACGCCCCATAGTACATTCTTGGTACAAAGGTATGGCGGCAAAATGCCCTTAATTAATTGAAAAGGTGCTTGTGTACTCTGTAATTTATACGAATTTCTCAACAGCGCCGCGCCGGCGGGCTCCAAATCGCTCAAAAACGCGATTTCCGGTGTTTTCGCTCAATGTGTGCACTATCAGGCCGGATTTTCGAGTTATTCCGGCTGCTCTATTACCCATCCAGTCATATTAATCGGCTGCAATAGCGACAACAGCGTTAAGGGAATGAATTCCTTAATCTGCAGGGAGCCCTATCTTCCAATTGGTCTTCTTTCCCTGTTATTTGTATTGCGATTCGATCGTTGTGATGACGGCGGCGGCTGCTTCTGGCGGCGTTGATTCCTTGCACAGCATTGTAGAGGTCATTATAGCCCGGCGGCGAGGGCGGCAAATTTGAGGGCGGCAAATTTGAGGGCGGATTTGAGGGGTGGTGAGGGCCTTTGTTAGGCATTGCGATATTGTTGTTGAAGGAGGAAAAACGCTGCTGCCTGTTGAAAAATTCGTACGGCTGCAGCGTTGTTGAAAAATTCGTCGATTCTTAATGAAGCTTTTTAGAGTTGAGTAAAGCTGCCATACCTTTGTACTAAGAATGTACTGTAGGGCATGGCAGCGGGGCTTGCCGCATAAAAAGTGGAGCGCGGTGGGGATCCTGCGCACCGAGCAAAAAATTGCTGCGCCCCGAGCAATTCACGTGACAATGCCACATGTGGCTTTCGCAGATCTTGGAAAGGGTTAGGGTTGGCTGGTGTATAAGCCCGGTACCTGCTCTTGCGTCACATCTCGACCACGATTTTTGGAACAGGTTTAGCAAACCAACAGACATGTGGACGTCCCGTATAAAAACGTTAGTAGTCCTATGGTGAATACTTTTTATAGCCGTTCCGTATGTCGGATAGGGGCCTAACAGTAGATGTTGCCTTGACTTGACCTTGACAGCAGCCAACAAGTAGTTACCATGCAAGATGCCACGCGCGCTTTACAACGCACTACGTGGGATTTTCCGGGAGTACATGTCAAGTAATAAACATCTGAACATGCCTCGGGCCGAAATCTCCCGTCAAACTATCAAGTCCAGGCCTACTCGGGGGCCCTGGAAACGTGACACCATAGTATGCCCTTGCTATATGACGCGCTTTGGTATTACAGGTCCTTGTGGAAAGAGGCTGCTATTTATGCAGCAGCTTTCTGCCATGGGTCTCGTGACGAATAGCCCCTGGGTCACCAACATGGGTCTGACAGTGCCCTTTAGAAGGCTAGTCGCGAACGGGCTTATACTTTTACTACTTTTACTCATGACCATGTCAAAGGAAATCGACCTAAACTGCCGTGACATTGCAAGTGTGGAAAGAGCTTAAAGATATATTATAAATCTAGTCTAGGAGAGCTCGTAGGCTAGGACTTAGAACGGAAAGTATAATGAGGCCACTTTATCTTTTCTTTTCTTTTCTTTTCTTTTCTTTTATTTCTTTCCTTCTTTTTCTTTTTTATTTTGTTGCGCAGCACCAAAACCCCCAGCACTATGTAGTTGTAGACTCAACTAACAGTATGGAGTTTGAGTGGGTTTAACGAGGCACAAATCGAAATGACCCAATTCTTCCAAGATCAATCTTGTGCTCTCCATTAGTCGGTCCTGGAATTGATCGGTATGGCTTGCCGTCCGGCCAGCTGGAACTAATATGCAGTGTTAGTATTGCACACTTTGCAGGAAGAAAGTACCATCTACTACTTACACCCAGACCTCCAGCGTGACAGGAGCAGACCTGATTGTAACGCCCTGAATATAGCTATGAATTGATAAATAATAGGTCTTCACCTAGGAAGAGATACATGACTTACGGGGATCCAGAAAGCGAGTGGTCCACTCCAATAGCGCGCGTCTCTGTGCGATCTTTGCCGTGCTTCACATTCCATTTAATCTGCATCATTGTTAGCCACATATACTACCAATTCACATATTTGACATACCCAAGCGGCTCCATCTACAGGGTTACCACCCTCAAACGTGGCATCGTCAATCATATGTTTGGTGTCGTCCTCGCTTGCCATCTTGAGGAAGACTAACGGGGATAGCTTGAATTAAAACGTGGAACTGAGACTTGGTAGAGTTGGTAGGAGAAGAAAAGACTTGGGCTGCCAGATATCCCCCCGAGCAAAAACCCAGCAGAAGGCCATCTATTTATATTCTCTGGTGTGTCTATTACCTAAAGTTTTCACTCCGTCTTCTATCCGTGGCACCATCCTTCGCCCACTCAGACTTCTGACGTCGATCAGTCTGCAAGTTGCACAGTCATCCTTTGTGGCTGGCTGCAATGACCATATGCGGCAGACATGCATATTGTCGCAGCATTCGAGACTAACCCTGCCGAAATAGCGATACCATTGATAACGGCAATATTGTACACTCCTTAGAGTGTGGGCGCGCGTTTACGGCAGCACCTCCTCGTGTGTTATCTTGCGTCCTCCGTCCACTGTACCGCACGCCTGTCGTATTCCCAGCATTTAGGACTTTAGAAGGTCTACCTGGCCCTTGCTGGGCTGAGATGCCAATTTGGCCACCAGTTTGTGTGATGGTTTCTCGAGTAGCTTTATGCACTCTCCTAGCAAGAGTTGGCTTATTGAGACTTCCTGGCGGTCGACCTCGTCGCCCACTTGGTTGATTATCAGATCGGCTACTTGATGTAATAGCTAGGCTTTCTGGGATAACCTGCGCTGTATTCTTTGGCCTTCCACGTAGTGCAGTGGCAACTTTCGGGTCAAGAATTCGTCGGTATGGATCTTGAGATGCCGATTCCCGTAGTCGCCAGCGTGGGTGGACCTCCCATTTAGTGAAACGTGTGTCAGAATCTAGCTTTGCGTAGACTTTATGATAGCATGGGATTCCCAGCTCAATAGAGACCGTACAGTCGTCGTCGCAAAGTCCAATAGAGTCGGGGAAGGGATTCTTCCCCGTCGGCAGAAATTTGCGAGCAATACAGTATTGCTTGTTGATTAACCCAAGTCCTTTCGATGACATGGTTGTTCGTAGTTCACCAAGATAGTTTCCCATCGAACCTAGGTATTGTGGAGCAGTCAGGACATCATCCTGTCCACAGGCATCCTTAAAGGCACGTTCTTGGTCATGTATCATATCCTGCATTGCCTCGACGAGTCGGTAGAGGTGGCTCATGCCATTTAATAGATAGCTTTTGATATTATTGTTGCTTGCTTCTGTGCCGGACGTAACTCGGATTCCGAAGTTACGATAACGACGGATAAAGCAACGTGCCCATTGAGCACTAACAGGCATATAAGTCGAGTAGAGGTATTGTAAGATCGCTCGTTGGTCGTCGAACTCTTTACAAAGATCTCTCCATGCCTGCTCAAACGCTTCCTCAGTCTCGGCATAGAGAACCTTTTTCCACATTAAAACAACGCCTTGGTAAGTATGAGGAATCTTATCACTACTCGACCGATCTTCGATCAGATGCTTATCTGTAGTGCTCAACCCGCCATCCGCCTGTGAGGGAATGTCTTCACTGTCACTAGCGCTAGGGCTAGTAGTACTGTCCTCACGTTGGCCCGTCCACCTAGTCTTCGATTTAAGCAAAACGTTTGAAAGGATATGATGAATACAAAGCTGTTGCTGTGCATTTGGAAACTGATCATTAACGGCAGCTTTCATAGCCTTGTCGAAGTCTGTGATGATGACATCTGGTTCCCTGAGTGAGTGTTTTGTAATGAGCTTGCGAACACTCTCTGCAAGGAATTGGAACCCCTCCCTCCTCTCGTTATCTATTAAGCCAAATGCAGCATTGAACACAGTTCCAAGACAGGTTTGGCCAGTAGCCTGGAATAAAGGAAGCTTGAAGCGATTAGTGTTATATGTGTTATCAAAGCTAATAACCTCGGGGAAGCGCTTCCACATCTGTAGACAGTACGGAAAGGTCCAGACAAGACCAAGCAGTCTATCTGGATCATCATCGGCCCATTTCGCGATGTATGGGATCTTCTTCTCATCAAAGAGTTTGATCAATGCCGCAGTAGGTGTATAGCCATTTAGCTTCTCTCGGTTAATGAACGAACGGGCATTATAGATATCCTTCCGCAGGAGTGTTGTATCGGGGAATTGCTCCTCAACCATAGCAGCTACATCACTGGCTCGAATACCCGCGCGACGGCTTGCTGACTCGATGGTTGCTTTAACTGGTGTAGTAAGGCGGCGGTGGGAAACATGCGCAGATGGCGTAATACTCCGTTCATGGTTATGCTGGTGATGTTTCGGGTCTCTATGTTGTCGAAGAAGCCACTTGCCTTCCTCTAGGGCTTCAGCAATTATCATCCATTTGCAATCACACTTCCGAGACCTTCGGGTTCGAAGACCAGAACCCCCCGAGGCCCGAGATTGTCCAAACCGGTCGCATTGAATGGAGTACCTAATCAACCGTCCCTTATAGGAATATTTATTCCGCCGAATAATACCAAATCCGTTCTCCTTTGCAAATGCGTTGGTTGTTTTAAAAAGAACTTCGGCCGAGGGCGCTGGGTCGCCAGGGATTATTGGGTTCGGAATTGGCTCCGGGGCGGGAGATAGAGACTGTCGCATAGGCGAGGAACTAATATTTTCGGGCGTCGGTGATATTCGAGGAGGTTGTGTGGGTGACCTACGAGGTGGAGAGTACGGTGGAGGAGAGTCATATGCTTCGAAACTTAATGGTGACCATCCCCATCTCTCTCGCCAAGCTTGTACACGTTCGTATGATCGAGCAAGGTCTACAGTTAGCCTTCGACCTTCGCCGGTAACCTCTCGTACTATGCGCATTGCGGACTCGAACTCGGCTCTTGTCCTTGTTGGGAGATGCTGGGCGGATGGGGGTGATTCGGGAGGTTCAGAGGCGAATGGATCAAATTCTGGGCCTGGTATAAGCGCTCTGACTCGCTGGCTCCATCTTTTTCCACGGAAGAAGTCATTTTGAAGATATATCTCATAGTCAGATCGAAGGCCCCATGCAGGCTCATGGCGGCCCTGTGAACCATGGGGGTGTGGGAGACTTGAAAGTGTTTGCGGGAAAGAGGCGAACAGGTTATCGAGTGCATTTTCGTCCCCGAGGCCGTAGAACTGACCGATACTCGTAGCAGAGCTACTCGCGGATTGTGGTCGGTCTTCAACTGTGGAAGGACTAGATCTGCGTCGCCGACTGGATTTGTGTCGCTTTCCTCTTTGTGATTGATCACTGGGACTAGGGCTCCGCGACCTGCGAGGAGGTGTGCGAGGCAAAGACATTGACGTCTTGAGAAGAGAACAAGATTGTAGTGAAAGAATTGGTCGCTATCTCTACAGCATAGGGTGCCGTATTATGGTTTATTAAAAGCTACGAAAATGAAGAAAGCAAGCTCGAGGGGGTCGCCCCGACTGCGCGACCACTGGGTTGCTGCGTAGTAGCTTAGCCGAAATGAAGTAATTTACACAGAAGCAAGGTTAAAATGGCCCAGGTACTTGCGGCTGAGGTGGCAGAATCCAGCGTCGTTAACAGAGACAATGCGACCAATCAGAAGTGGTAAAAGTCATGCCCGTGTAAGAGTCATGCCCGTGTAGCCAAAGTGTCATGCCCGTGTAGCAATTCCCTTTTTGACTTGCCATTTGTGTCCCCTTGCTCCCATGAGATTGATCTCGGCGCAATGCCTGACTGGGGGCGGGCCCGGGTGCGGCGATGCCAACGAGGTTCGAAATAGGCTTCTTGTTTGTGTGTCATGGTTCAATGTATTTGATTGAGGCCATGTCAAGTACTCCTAGCGTAACAACCCAAGAATGGCGACCAAAGTCGTATAAATAAAAGTCCAACGCAGTGTAGACAGTGATGCGCTTGGAGATGACACACATTGTGAGGAAACCTTATGGGCCTCCAAGGCCGCGGTCGGCCAACAATAGTCACACAAGGTGAGGACGAGGTCACGATAGAAGGCCGAGCGCGCGAGCCAAGCAAAGGGGCATCGTCGGGATATCAGTGAACACGGCTCATGTATATGAACCGAGGCCCTGAGTTCCTCGGAATGAACCAAGGACAAGGACGCCGAGACTCTACGGGTCATTACTAGAATTAACGATCCTATTCCACGCGTAGTCGTCACTGCCGCGTCATACCTAGCAGCATTAACGACATAAGGGCTCTTACCACCTTTGGCATAGGGCTTCGTGTGAATCTATCAACATGTTCCGCTCCCGGTCAGGGCCAAACATCACAAGAGCGAACATGTGCAGAACAACTACCAACAAGTGGTCTCGGGTTAGGGTTCGGAGTCGGGGTAAGCCAAGGGCGTGCCTGTGCCGACATGTAGACTCTAGAACTCGTATTGGATTCGCAGCTTTGGTAATGCCAATGCCCAGGTGCCGCTGTCAATTGATTGACAGATGAGTCATGCACCTGCTCCCTTTTGTCGCGGGGCACTTGATGTCAATGGTCGCATTGGCGGCTCTCAACTCGCCTCGTCTCACGAGGTCTCTCTCATTGAGTCTTCCCCCCCACACACGCACACACACACACACATACACACACAAGGGTCAACACGCACGCCGGCGCAGACGTGCACGTACTATACTCGTGTCTCAGTCGAAGCCCGGCGGAATGCTCGGAGAAACAAAGCCCATCAGACGTCATTCAGGATGGACTCGGCCGCTGGAGGATCCTCACGAGCCGTCGGTCGCTCCAACGTCGACGCCTTCGTGGCCACGCTCTCGCCCTGGGATCTCCTGTATCTTCGCGGCAGATTTCGCGGCGGCACCCTCCCCATCACCGGCTTGGCTGGCCTGCCCGATCTTCCCGCAGAGATCGTCTCCCTCATCGCCGTGCAGCTCACGCTAGACGACATTGTGAATTGCCGTCTCGTGAGCCGCGACTGGCACGCATCGTGGACCCAAAGTGCCGTCATCACCGCTCTCAGCCATTTCTTCTTCCCGGGCCTCGTAGAGAAACACGAGCAGCTCAAAGTCCCGCAGTCACCTCGGCGGCTCGTCGACGCGTCCGTCACAAGGGCCCTTCGCAGACGGCACGCCAGGCCTTGCCGCGCGTCCTTCATCGTCTGGCGAGAGCGATGCTGTCCGGTCTTCAGAAGGCCCCGGGAGGAAGACGACCAAGGCTCGGACTGTCGTCGCACGTCGTATCGCTCCACGGGGCCGCCTGTTTTCTACGACAGAGCCCGCCTGGCGTGGCAGGCAAGCGAGGTAAGCGTCATCGTGGATGATCTGCGCACATGCCGACGCCACGACTGCAGCCTGGTAGAGGCGCACGTCCAGGGCCAGAGGCTGGCGCTTCAGGCCATGTCGCGCGAGCTGCTCGTGTTTGTTGCGAGGCGACCCTCGGCCGGACTGAACTACAATACCGTGTGAGTGCAAGACTGCGAGATTGGCGCCCCACGGCCGTGGTCTGCTAACTGCAGCTAGGCAAATATGGCATGTCGACCTGGAAGAATGGCGTCGTACTACCTTGCCTGGCCCTTTGGCAACATGTTTTGTCGAGGGCGAGCGAGCCGCATTCATCACGAGACAAGGTTTGGTCATAGCTTGGTCCTGGACCGGCGGCGCCACCGAGGTCGACGTATCTGGGGAGGTGAGCAGGCCGCCTGAAGACTATGAAGGCCGTCAGTCACTCCCTGGTGTGATGTTACACCCAGAGAGACTGGACACGTTGTATGTGGCGGCCATGTTTCGATCAAAACTGAGTACGTAGTATCCCACTGTCCGGCCCCTCTCGCTCTCTTTCTCTCTTTCTCTCTCTCTCTCTCTCGGTGTGTGTGTGTGTGTTAAGCATCACGGCGGCCAACACCGCCAACTAGGCACCGACGGTTTTCGCGCAACTGGACAGTCTCAGCAACGCCGCTTCTTGATGTCTGTGGTTCGCTACCAAGGCGGCAAACCCACCAAGCGGTGGCAGGAACTTATTCGGAAAGACTCGCTAAGTATCACGTATGACGACTCTACGTGTAAGCCCTTTCGCATCACGCTTGCATGTTCAAAAATGGGCTCCCATGGACTGCACAATCTGGGCACGGTTCTTACAGCAAGCAACAAAAACCACCCGACACGAGTGGTAGAGCTCGCGACTGCAGCATTCAGCATTTACAAGGAAACTTTTATACAGCGCACATTTGCAGAAAGCGAGGGGAGCAGCATGACCGACCGGTCGCCATTACACTTTGAGCCGTCAGCCTGGGGCGTGTGCGAGTACGAGGAGCCGCTGACGACGTGGTCACAACAGCACGCGTCCATTCCGCGATGGGTGAAACCGGACTCTGCAGATGGGCCACCGGACCGCGACGAAGCGGCGGCGGATGACGTCTTCTTGTACTTGAAGGAGCTGGCCAAGGGCGTGCCAGCGTCGGAGCCGTGCCGGATATTTGGCGACGAGGACTTTGAGATACACGTCACGACGCAGGGTATCTTGGTGTGGTCGTTTACCGAGGAGACGAACTTGCCGGCGGTGGACGGTCCACGGAGCCTGGGCGAGACGAAGGATGAGCCCTGGAAACTGGCTGACCCCGTGAGGGGAGTCGATCTGCATCCCTTTGCGGGCTGATGCGTGGGTGTCTGGATGCTTTGTGTCTGCAGTGTGCACAAGGCCGGGTCGGTGACGTGGCTGCGGTGCCAAACTAATGGACTCAATGGATGGTCATTGGTGTCGTGAGTCAAGCGATGCACCCGTGTGGCTCACAATGTCTCGCAGAGACCGAGACCAGGTGTCTCCGAGTCCTGCTGGACTATTGATCGATCATTGGCTGCCAAGGACTTTTTACATGGCCGGTTGATTTGTCTGCGCATGCATCCGCCTTGGTGTTTCTTTTTTCCCGTCGGCCACGAACCAGACCTTGAGAACGATTGCGTACGTAAGCCGGTGTGCCGGTCGGGACTCGGGAGCACTAGAACCAGGCGGGCTAGGGTAGCTTCCCTGCCGACGAGCCACGGCGCGTGTTCCGTCCGTCTCCTAAAAGTTCCGCCCCTTTGCTTATCAAACTCGAGCCACCAATCGCCATGATGCAAGTCATTTGTGATTTGCGCACGTCCAACGGCGCTTTCTGAACTCTCTTAGTCTCCTCTCCTCATCGGCATGAAGACGTAATTTTGCAACACCAGTCCCCCCTTTGCTCTACTGCGAGCCCTTCAACGGCCGTCATCAGCGTCATCGGCGACGATGCCCACGTCCTTGGCTCCCGATGACCTCGGGCGCGTCGCCCCAACCCCCGTCGCCGGAGTCATGGATGGCGAAGCCCCCTCCACCGTGAGCGCGTGTGACGACGACGATAGCTTCGACCAGGAGTCGGCCCGGCGCAGCCGTCTAATCCGGCAGAAGCAAGTCGTTCGCGTCGTCTCCCTGATATTCGCCACCTTTGCTGCTCTCTGTGCCGGCTCCATCGTCGTGTTCTCGCTGTACGCCCCACGATTCCAGTCTCGCCTGCGATACACCCAGTTCCAGGTCAACGGCGTCGCCATCGCAGGCTCCGTCGCCCTGTACCTCCCCATCTCCGTCATGGGGTACGTATGCGACCGCGTCGGCGTTGCGCCCCTTTCGCTCCTGTCCGCCGTCTTGTTCGGAACCGGCTACGGTACGGCCGCCGCGATTTACCGAAAGCTCGATATTGAGTACAACGCCATTGGGAAGCCTCACGGCGCGGGCAATGAATGGTCGTATCCGGCCATGATCTTTGCCTTTGTGTGCGTCGGCACGGCGACCTGTTCCATGTACATGGCTTCGGTGTCGACATGCGCCAAAAACTTTGGCAAGGGCAAATACAGAGGCCTGGCTCTGGCCATGCCTATAGCGGGATTTGGGTTGAGCGGCATGTGGTTGAGCCAGTTCGCGAGCCGCTTCTTGTATGAAACGGCGCCCGACGGATCCAGGGGCGACGTTGACGTCTTTCGCTTCTTTCTCTTCTTGGCCATTTTGCTCTCCGTCGTGGGTTTCCTCGGCTGCTTCTTGCTGCGTGTTGTCGATGAAGAGGATCTTATCGAAGAAGCCATTGAGGAACTCGAGGCGAGCGGCTTGCTGAATGGCAGCTCGCTGCTTGACCGGTCACAGCAAGGCTACGGGTCGGCTGGTGCCGGTTCCGGTGCCGGTGCTGTTACAGACCGGGCCGACATGGAGACACGCTCCCTGCTAGACTCGTCAAAGGACGGCGACGCGCAGTGGAAGAAGAATCGGGTTCTCAACGCCGAGACGCATCGGTTCCTCACTGATCGTACCATGTGGCCATTCGCCCTGTCCTTTTTGCTCATGATCGGCCCCGGGGAAGCCTTCATCAACAACCTCGGAACCGTCATCGGCACACTGACGCCTCCCGCGACCGAGGGCTTTGGCGAGACAACGTCGGCGGCCACGCACGTGTCCATCTTTGGCGTCACGAGCACTGTTGCCCGACTATTAATTGGCACCCTTACCGACTTGCTTGCTCCCGCCCCGGACACTCAGCACATCCAGATCTCCCCTTCCCACCCCCGCAGCAGCCAGCGGTCCTCGGCGGCCACAAGATTCACCATCTCTCGCGTGGCATTCGTCCTCTTCTTCGCCGGCCTCATGTCTATAGGCTTCATATTTCTCGCATCGGGAGCAGTACAAAACCACGCCGACCGCTTCTGGGTTGTTTCCGGCCTGGTGGGAGCAGGGTACGGTGCCATCTTCAGCCTGACTCCCCTCATCGTCACCATCATTTGGGGCGTCGAGAACTTTGCCACCAACTTTGGCATCATCGCCATGTTGCCGGCTTTGGGGTCGACCTTTTGGGGGCTCGTTTACTCGGGAATCTACCAGGCCGGCGCCAAGCGGTCGACGCCCCCGTCTGACGGCACCGGCAGCGACCATTTGTTTTGTCACGGCAAACGTTGCTATTCCGCGACATTCTGGGCCAAGGGGATATGCGTCTGGGTAGCGTGCTTGCTGGTGTTGTTTGCATGGAAGGGCAGGGGCGGATGGAAGGAAAGAGGGATTGTTATTTGAGCACTCCTCTGGGACATGGACACTTTTTATTATGAGGCATTATGAGATGCCCTGGCATATCGGTTCTGCATCGCTTACGACGTGGAGTTTGGCTGGGCATTTGGGACTAGCACTCTTTTTTTTTTTTTTTACCCCCTCCCTTTTCCCCTCCTTCTTCATTCACCTCGGCGGATAAATCGTGGCTGTGTCAAAGTATGTGCTAGCAACAAGTTGCGATTGACGGGTAGTCGTTACTCCACGTAACCGACGTCGGCCCTTTCGCCAAGCCCCTCGTCAGCTCGATGATCGGCTAATATGGGCGATTGCTCTGTATTTACTGCTACTACCGAGTGCGCAGTTTTCCCATGACGCCACGGATTCCCACCTCGGAGGCGTACATTTTTGCCAATATCCCAAAAGGGCAACAATTGAGCCCTGGCCTGGCTTGGCTGGGCCACTCTCCGGGGCACCTAGGTAGATCATGGCGACTTTGTACTCGTGCTAGCAGGAGTCTGTCTGGTTCCTGCATGAATCAATGAATCGAAGTCCCAGCAGTACTGCCAAGCAAGGGTAGGAAATTACCACGACCAAGACCCACGTTACCATCAGCCTGCGGACACCCGTGGTCGCCGCCGCCTCACCCAGAAGCTCATTTGAGAGGGCACGAATCGAGACAAGATATTCGAGCCCGCAGGCACAAGCCCGCTAGAAGCATGGAAGCACGTGTCTTTTCCGCCTGTCGACGTTGTCAACTGCAGCCCGGCCTGGCTGCTCCATCTGATACGAGCCTCTCCCCTGTCTAGCGCGGGAGCCCACGCCGCGAGAGGCAAAATGCGTCGTCGTGCGCCAAGGCCGGGTCGGGTAGCAGCATATGCGTGTGTGTGTGTGTGTACTCCATACCTGCGTGCTGCTCAGCCCTACGCGGGAAAGGGCCCAAGTCGTAAATTGCGTGCGAGATAAAGTAGGCAAAGCGAGATAGATGAGCAAGACGAACACGAGGGCGGCGCGAAATGAAGTGGGGAGAAGGATGCGGAGGAGGAGGTGGGTGATACGGCGTCTGACGGAGCGAATATATAAAAATGATCAATTTGAAGCCTTTATTTCTGTGCAACCGTCATCTCGACGCCTCCCCCTGGTTGCCTTGCAGAGCAGATTGCCTCGCACAACCCTGTTTGTTTATTTTGTTCGTTTTCCTCCCGTCTTCTTTCCAAGTTTCTTTGGTCTTTGAAACGCAGAGATACGACAGACAATACGCAACAGTACTCTCGACGCGTCGGTTGAATTAGTGCGACTTGCGACTTTCTCCTTGGCCGACATGGCGCACGGTACAAAGCCCGACGGCAAGTGGGAGCACGGTCTTTGCAGCTGGGCCGGGTGCGGCAATTGCCTGCTGGCATGGTGTCTCCCGTGCATCCGTAAGTCTTTGCTGTGCCTTTGCCGGTGCCCGAGGCGCGTCGAGCGGCCCGGGCTGTTGTTGGGTATTAAGGTTGGTGTTGATGTTGATTTTGCTGACGAGCGTCGTGGGGCCGAGGGGGGGGGTAGTCTTCGGCAAGACGTCTGGACGGATGGACCCCGACGCGGAAACCAGGGAGTGTCTGATCTTTGGCACCATCCAGGTCTTTACCGGCTGTTGCTGCTTGTACGTAGCGACGGCGGAGAGTCGTGCCCAGCGTTCTTCTGTGAGAGTGGGAGAGCCCTTTGCTGACCGGGTGCCTGCGTCTGTAGGTACAATGTCGCCAAGAGGGCGCAGATCCGGAAGCGGTACAACATCGAGGGCGGCACGTGTGGCGACTGCTGCACCAGTTGCTGGTGCATGTGCTGTGCGCTCACGCAGCAGGAGAACGAGGTCAAGAGCCGCGAGGCCTTGAGGGGCGCGTATCAAGCTCAGCCGCCCATGATGGCGGTTCCCCAGGCGCAGGGGTGAGGGGGGGAGGAGGAGGAGGAGGAGGAGGAAGAGGAAGAGGACGCTGTTGGGCTCTGGACAAGTGGGTTGATTGTCGAGTGGGAATGTTCGGGAGCATCGCCTTGTTCTATTCGCTGTATACTGTGGTGTTGACTGATCAACACACTTTTAACACGATATGATTTGTCTTGTGACCACGGATTGACGGGCGGCTCTTGCCCAAACTGGCCCCACGGTGCGAACTGCTCCCAACCTCGAATCACGGCTGCCGAGTCCCGACTGCCCGCGAGGTCCCTTTGCCCATGCTCCCAGACGCAGCCGTTGTCGACCCTACACGACGAGTCGAGTCGGGTTGACGCAGGTTGAAGGATGAGGGCAGTCCGGTTTCGACACCAGAGATGTGGCGACCGTGGCCGCGTACGCCGTTTCGTTGGCATGCAACGGCATCCCAGCTCATCAACTGCGACGACGACGACGACGACACACGACGACAGGCTAGCCCGTCAGGTACGTCAGGGGCTTGCCAGGATTGTCGGGGTTGTCCCTGGCACGTCAAAACGTCCCGACGCCGACCATGTGGAGCGCGATTGCGTCGTCGAGTACGCGTCGAGGCGGAGTCCCCGTCAGTTACTACCACCTTGTGCCGCGGCACGCTGGGGCAGATGCCGACGACTCACGAGATTGCAGAGCGGCAGAGCCTATTCCTGCCCGGACTGGACTGGACGCCTCGAAGCCTTCTGCCCTGCCAAGCTGTCGTTCCTGGGCCATCTCGGCGCATTCCGAGGGAGGCCCGCCACGGCGCGAAAGAGGCTGCTTGTAGCCGGGCTCAAGTGACGAGCTGCAACAATAAATCGGCTCGACATGTCCAGCCTTGTGCTTGGTCTCCATGAGACCACCAGTGGACACCATGGCTGCTGTGCTGCTTCCGCGAGCGTTGGAGATACTACTCGCATCCACCCCACTGGAGGCCGCGTACGTACATCCACGACAGTATCATGGATCATTGGCGCTAACTTGGGCTCGGTGGGCAGGAGTTCCATGCCGTCGCAAGCTTCTGCTACGGACCATGGGGCTGTCTGCAATCATGAACGGGCCTACATCGCGCTGCAAATATATATCAAAAACGTGCCCCGGCCACGCTGGCATGAGCTGTGAAGAAGCATGGCATCGCATCACAGTAATCTTTTTTTTTTTGGGCAACAAATGAGACCAAGTCCAGACCAAATATGAACAGGACTTGATCCGACTTTGAAGTCGACAGACCACCCTTCACCGGCAGGGCATTCGACGAGGGGCTCGCGTCATCTGTTGTTGTGTTCATCACGATGCGGCTTATTCGGCAACTCGGCAGCCTCGTCTACAAGAACCTCCTCGTTTCCATCGCAAGGCGGCCGCTCGGCTTCCTCATCTCCGTCTACGTAATCCCACTGGCCATACTCGCGCTTCTCCTCGCCATCCCGTCCTTCCTCCCGCAGCTCAATACCTTTGGCGTGTCCAGCGCGGAGCCCGTCAAGTCGCTTGCCTCTACCGTCACCCGCAAGCTCGTCATCGTCAAGCGGCCCGATGTCGGGAAGGACGTTGATGCCGTCATCGGCGCATTTACCCAGCCCGTCCGAAGGGATCTCTTGGTCTTCCACGACGACGAGGCGTCGCTGCAGTCCGTGTGCCTCCCCAACACGCGCGGCGTCAGCGACTGCCACGCCATTGTCATCTTCAAGGACTCTCCCCTGACCACGTCCGAGGCGCGGCTTGCCGATGCTCCCAAGGGCAAGGGCAATCGCAATCACACATGGACATATACGATACAGGCCGATCCCGCGCGGGACAACCAGGTGTTCGACGTCAAGAACCACAGAAGCGACCAGGAAGACTTGTACATGCCGCTGCAGCTCGCCATCAACAACGCCATTAGCAACTCGACGACGGTGCCCGACACGGTCATGTTCACGCCGCAGGAGCAGGCGAGCGAAGACCAAAAGAACTTCAACTCCAAGGCGGCGATCGTCGGCCGAATCTACGCCTTTGCGCTCATCACGGCCCACTTCACCATCATATACCGCCTCGCGAGCTTCATCACGTCGGAGCGAGACTCGGGCATGTCCCAGCTCATCGACTCCATGGGCGGCGGAACCGCCATCGTCTCCCGCGTCCTCAGCTGGCTGCTCACGCTCGACCTGGTTGCCCTGCCGTGCTACATTGGCATGGGCGCCCTGTACCAGCGCCTGGCGTTTCCGAGCTCGAGCGCCAGCGTCCTCATCGGCTGGCAAATCCTCCTCGGCTTTGCCGTCAACAGCTCGACGGCCTTTGCCTCGGCCTTTTTCTCCAAGTCGCGCGTCTCGGCCGTCTACATCATGTTTGCGTTCCTGGTGCTGTCGATTGCGGCGCAAATGTACGCTTCCGAGTCCCGGCCGCACCCGGGCCATTCCACCGTCGCCGTGCTCTCCTTCCTCTTCCCCAGCTCCAACAACGTCTACTTCACGCAGCAAATGTCCCTGTGGCAGTTGGCCGGCCTCCCCGCGGACCTGGCCACGATGCCCGTCGAGAGCGCCGGGCTCTTCTCCACGTCGTATGCCGTCAGCCAGAGCAACCTCCTGCTGTTCCTCGCCCTCGACATCTTCTTGTACGCGGCGGCGGCGATCGGGGTCGAGAAGACCCTGCACGGCATCCACTACCGAAAGAGGCGCTTCACGGCGGCAGCGTCGACGGGCGCCGTCGTGCAGGCTCGCGAGTTGAGGAAGCGGTTCAAGCCCAGCCTGCTCTCGCGCATCTGCTGCTGCTGCTGCTTTTGCGGCAGGAAGAGGACGGTCGCGGCCGTGGACGGCATCAGTTTCGAGGCCCAAAGGGGCCAGATCATGTGCATGGTTGGGCCCAACGGGTCGGGAAAGACGACAACCCTTCACCTGCTGTCCGGCTTCCTCAACCCGACGGCAGGATCCGTCTCGCTCGAGGCGGCGCCCTCGCAGGTGGGCATTTGCCCGCAGCGCAACACGCTGTGGGATGACCTGAGCGTCGAGGAGCACGTCCGCATCTGGAACGGCATCAAGTCGGGCCGGCGGACGAGCGAGGAGCTCGAGCTGCTCGTCTCGCAGTGTGACCTCTCGCCCAAGCGCGGCTTCAAGGCCAAAGAGCTCAGCGGCGGCCAGAAGCGCAAGCTGCAGCTGGCCTGCATGTTTGTCGGCGACTCGTCCGTCTGCCTGATCGACGAGTGCACGTCGGGCCTGGATCCCCTGTCGCGGAGGGCCATCTGGGAGATTCTCCTTCAGCAGCGTGCCAGGCGCAGCATCATCTTCACCACGCACTTCCTGGACGAGGTCGACATCCTCGCCGACCACATTGTCCTCCTGGCCGGCGGCAAGATCAGGTGCCAGGGCGCGCCGGCCCAGCTCAAGACGCAGCACGGGGGCGGGTATAGAGTCCTCGTTCCGCCGTCCGCGCCGCCTCTCGATCATCGCTACCCTTCCACGACGCACCAGGACAAGGTCGTCTACGCCGTCCCGGACTCGGCGGCGGCCTCCCGCATCATGTCCACGTACCTGGACGCGGGCGTGCGCGACGTGACCATCTCGGGGCCGCAGTTCGAGGACGTCTTTCTCAACCTCCTCCAGGACGACCTGGCCCTTGCCCCGGCCAAGGGCTCCGCGCATGTCGACCCGTCCTTTGTCATGAGCCCGGGCAGGACCACGTCGTCGTGGACGCAATTTTGGGTCCTGTACGGCAAGCGCTGGAACGTCATGACCAGGTTCTGGAGCCCCTACCTGTTCGCCTTGGTGGTGCCTCTGGCCATTACCTTCCTCGCCGGCGGCATGATCAAGGACTACAGCCCGCCAGGCTGCGATGCTCTTCAGGACAGCTCCAGCCTGCAAGTTCCCGGGCTCGAGTGGGCCGACTCGTGCCCTCAGTCCGGCGCCTGCGACCGGCTTTCCATTGCGCCCAGCCAGGCCAACGCCACGCTCTTCAGCTTGGTCAAGGGCGGCTACCGGGGCGTCTCCAACGTGAGCGTCAAGGGATACGGCGAGTTTGTCCGCGTGCAGGGATCGCGAGACGACATCCTGAGGCAGATAGAGCAGAACAAGACGGCCGCCGGCTACGGCGGCGTCTTTGCCGGCACCCCCACGGAAGCGCCCATGATTGCCTACCGCATGTCATCGTGGGGCGGTCAGTCGGGCTCCCAGCTGCTCGATGTCTGGAGCCAGATGCAGGCCGGGCTCGAAATCAACTCGTCCCAGGAGGCCATGCCCAAGAGTCGCAGGGTACGTATGTGAATGTGGTTCCCGTTCTTTCGCACGGCTGGCTAACACGACGACGCGACCCAGGCTGCCGACCAAGGCGGAATCGCCTACCTGCTGTTCTTTTCCCTCGTCCAGATCTTCTACCCTGCGAGTTTTGTTCTATACCCGGCCATTGAGAAGTCCCGCAAGGTCCGGGCCGTGCAGTATGCAAACGGCGTCCGGCGGGCGCCTCTGTGGGCCGCCTACGCCGCCTTTGACCTCCTGTGGATTCTCATAATCTCGGCTGGGGTCGTGGGCTTGAGCTCCATGAGGCTCAAGTTCAACGGCCCCATACTCATTCTTTTGCCAATCCTGGCCTTGTACGGCCTCGCGGCCACGCTGATGGGCTATGTCGTCGCGCACTTCACCGACGGCCCCCTCAAATCATACCTGGCAACGCTTGGGATTGGCTTTCTGTCGTGGATCGTACTGGCGATTTCGACCCTGGTGAGAGGCTCCTCCCAGCCGAGATTGGTGCTTCGTCGCGGCCCACTAACATGGCATGGCAATAGGTCAACGGCAGTGCGTCGAATCTGGCGGCCCTCGCATTCGGGGCTGATCTCTTCCTCCCCATTGGAAACATCTTCAGGACGCTTCTCATCGGCCTCAACCTGATGGAAGCGGGATGCAAAAACGGCAAGCCCGTAGAGGTCGGGACCATGGACGGCTTTGGCGGTCCCCTGCTGTACCTCTGTCTGCAGATATTGGCGCTCCTCATCATCATTACGTGGTTGGAGGGCGGCCTCCCAGCCCTCCGTTCGTTGGTGTCGAGCCGCGCCCCGAGCCCACATAGATTCTCAGACGTAGAGCTGGCCAACATGTCCTCATACGAGGCGCGGCTCGGAAGCGACCCCGTATCCAGGGAGGTGTCGCGCGCGGAGAAGACGAACACGGACCTCCTGCGAGTGCTGCACACCAGCAAAAGCTTCGGCACCAACACGGCCGTGGAGGATGTCACCTTTGGCCTGCCTCGGAGCGACGTCATGGCCCTGTTGGGTCCCAACGGAGCCGGCAAGTCCACCTTGGTCAACATGATACAGGGAGAATTGCCGCCCAGCCGGGGAAAGGTGCTGCTCTGCCAGGAGGACGGCAGATCTCCGTCGTCGAGGCGACACTTGGGAGGTATGTTGCTTCGTATAGCACGCCGCCACCGGTCCGCTGCGCTTGACTCTCTCCCCGTGACAAGAAGGATTCGTTCGTTGCTGACCCGACTTCTGCTCGGCTAGTCTGCCCTCAATATGACGCGCCGGACCTGATGAACACACGGGATCACTTGTACTTTTACGCCCGTATCAAGGGGATCCAAAAGGTGAAGCAAAACGTCGACTACCTCATGGCCAAGCTCGACCTCGCGCGCCACGCGCGGACCCAGGCGTCCAAGCTCTCGGGGGGCAATAAAAGAAAGCTCATGCTGGCGGTGGCCCTCATGGGCACGCCGTCCATCCTGGTGCTGGACGAGCCAACGTCGGCCATGGACGCAGTGGCAAAGCGGCAGTTCTGGAAGGTCATTCGAGAGATTGCCAAGGACCGCTCCGTGCTTCTTACGGTGCGTGCTCCCGGCCCGTGTCCTCCCATCCCTCCGCTCGCTCCTTCTCCGCGCCGGGTGCTAACAGAATCGCAGACTCACAGCATGGAGGAGGCCGACGCGCTTTGCACGCGCACCCTCATCATGGCCCGGCGCATCCTGGCCATCGGGACCACGCAGGCGCTGCGCCAGCGCTACAGCAACGAATACTACGTGAGCATGGTGCTTGCGTCGGCGCCCAAGTCGTCCCCAGGCGAGATGAGTCTGGTGACGGAGTGGGTGAGGCGCGCCGTGCCGCACGCCCGCTTCGACCGCGAGGTGCTGGGCGGCCAGATCCGCTTCACGCTGCCGGCGGACAATGGCCAATCCGGCGGCGGGACGTCGATTGCAGAGCTCATCGAGACGCTGGAGCAGAGCAAGCACGTCATCGGCATAGCGCACTACTCCGTCAGCGGGCCGACCCTCGAAGACGTCTTCTTGAGCGTCGTCAGGGAGAACAATGTCGAGGAGGAGAGCGGCGCGGAGAGCAAGGGGCCGCGCGGCCGGGCGGAGAGCAAGGGGCCGCGCGGCCGGGCGGAGAGCAAGGGGCCGCGCGGCCGGGCGGAGAGCAAGGGGCCGCGCGGCCGGGCGGAGAGCAAGGGGCCGCGCGGCCGGGCGGAGAGCAAGGGGCCGCGCGGCCGGGCGGAGAGCAAGGGGCCGCGCGGCCGGGCGGAGAGCAAGGGGCCGCGCGGCCGGGCGGAGAGCAAGGGGCCGCGCGGCCGGGCGGAGAGCAAGGGGCCGCGCGGCCGGGCGGAGAGCAAGGGGCCGCGCGGCCGGGCGGAGAGCAAGGGGCCGCGCGGCCGGGCGGAGAGCAAGGGGCCGCGCGGCCGGGCGGAGAGCAAGGGGCCGCGCGGCCGGGCGGAGAGCAAGGGGCCGCGCGGCCGGGCGGAGAGCAAGGGGCCGCGCGGCCGGGCGGAGAGCAAGGGGCCGCGCGGCCGGGCGGAGAGCAAGGGGCCGCGCGGCCGGGCGGAGAGCAAGGGGCCGCGCGGCCGGGCGGAGAGCAAGGGGCCGCGCGGCCGGGCGGAGATGGCGTTTAGAAGGCGAGGCGGTTGGTGTCGGCTGTAGAAGGGACGAAATGTAGCCTGAGCTCAGAGTGTTGTTTTTTTTTAATATTAATTTGATTAGATGAGCAACTATACGATGGGGGATACAAGCTACACTACTGCACTGCAGACCTGGTGCGGCGTCGGGACGGCTCCGGTGGGAGTAGCAAGTACACGGGTGCATCTGAGAAAGACACCAAGGATACAAGGAGACCTGCACGGGCAATGAATGCCAAACGCGTCTGTGGCGTCTTGGAATCCCAAACGAACCCCAAGCAGCTCTGATGGATATACAGCGACACGGCCGTTCTGCAGTCTGCCAGCCAGCTCGGCGTGGATGCGAATCAAGGCAGATACCCAACTCCAACACCAAAGACGTGGATCAAGGCAGCCCAGCCCTTCCTTTGCCATGGATCAAGACTTGGGTACCGACGCACTCGGCCCACCCAGCATGGTGGCCTCGATCAAATCGTGCCCAATGTCAAACTGCTCGCCGTGCGGGCAGTCGAGGTTTTCAAGAGCAACTAGGAGGAAGAGGGAGAAAGAGCAGCGTCAGCCAGAAGACAGCATCACACACACGTGTAGATGTATATATATATACAAGCAGGGCCCGAACAAAGCCAGGCGGAACAAAGGACCACTCACACCACTCCAGCGTCGCCTCGGGATGAGGCCCGACGAGCCCGACCCAGCCGTCGCCGTACTTGGTCAGCGAGGCGGCGACGCGGCCGCCCTGCGAGTAGCGGCCCAGCACGAGCGCCGTGTCGCCCTCGCGGAGGCCCTTGATGACGGCGCCCTCCTGGAAGTACACCCAGCGCCGGGGGGCGCGCTGGCCGGCCCTGGGGCCCGTCGCGAACGTCCAGTCGACCTGGATGATGGAGTCGGCGGCGCCGGTGACCTGGGCGCCGCGCTGGTCGCTCTCCGCGTCCGTGTCGGCGCCGCGGGGGAGCAGCCCGAAGCCCGGCGTGTGCCCGGCCAGGTAGGCGCCCAGGCAGAAGCCGAGGTAGCGGCCTCCGTGGGCGACGAAGTTGCGGATCGCGGGCGCGAAGGCCTTGGTCTCGGCCCAGGCGTCGTCGAGGTCTGCGCGCCTCGTCAGTCTCGCCGTGGCATTGGTGTTGCGACGTGTGGCGGCGTCATGATGCAGCTCTCGTTCTCGTTCTTGTTCTTGTTGGAACTTGGACCGAGCGAGGGCGGGCGACGCATCGGGCCAAGGAGAGCAAGCGAGCGAGCGCGTGGCAAGCGAGCTGAAAGGGCAAGAAACAGAATACAGAGACGAGGGGAGACATAAACAAGGGGGGGGGGGGGACGGCG